TTTAGTGGTTCGGGTGTTTTTGATTTTATTTATATTTCAAAATTGATATTTTTTCTACGCTCACATATAAGATTATTAATTAGCTGGTAAATGGCATCTGCATTGTTAACAAGCGGGAAAATGTTAGAAAACACCATATTTTCTACTCATGTTCTTACCTTGTGTTTTGGGAGATCATGCTTTGGTGATCTTATATAGTGTTTTGTTATATAAATGTATAAAATCAGTAAGCGTTAATTTACGATATTGTATTCCAATCATGGGTTTTATTGTATATTTGGGGTATCTTCTATGAGTATTTGGGGGTAATTCTGAATTTTTTCATCCTAGAGTTTTAATGGAGGGAAGTGATCAATATGGTGTGAGGGGGTTGTGTGAGAGGGTTGTGTAAGTTGGTTATTAGAGGGGTACTGGGAGACGTGATGAGAGCATGGCAGTGTATCATTCAGTCATATGTTTATAGACAGGACATGTAGATTGACAACTTGACATTCAACCCAATGTTTGCTTTCTCAACAGATTCTTGTAGAATGGGGTACAGACTTTCATTGTTTTTCAGGGTACAAACTTTTTCATTAAAGTGACCTTCTCAGTTTATATACAATTTGAAATTAATGGTGACGGATGCACGGAAAGACCCACAAGAGGGCTACCTGGTCATGAACCCATACGATGAGAATCGTTGAGTTAAAAACTTTTTAGCTTTAAGAAATAGCAAATAAGCAAGGGAAAGATAATGGTTAATACAAAACTTGATAAATCAGAACTTTTTGGGAGAGAGGCAGCTTATGAGGCAGGCGAAATTGCCCTAAACAGCCCTGGTGAAAATTACAACAGACAAAAGAGCAGTTAGCAAGATGAAAATAATTCAAAATTGCATCCACATAAGTGACGGTAGACTAGAAGTCCAAATTGTTCTCTCAACAGAAAAGGACTGATTCAATTTTGATCCAGTATTTTATTCAGTGAAAAGAAAAATTAAATTTTTCGTGTTAAAAAGTCTGATTTATAGCTCAAACGTAGCAGTGAGTTAATTCAACCAAATGAAATTATGAAATTTGAAAGTTTCAAGCTTTTACCAATTCTGATGTATACTTTATAATATTCTGCAATTGCTAGTGGAGCAGGGGTGAAGTACCAGACTTTGGGGACACTATGCTTTGGGGATACCAGGCTTTGGGGATACCAGGCTTTGGGGGGTTAGGGGCTTAGCCACCTTTAACCAACCTCTTTCTGCTTCGTGATATTGTTTTCAAGAAATATGTGTTTATAATTCTCACTGCAGTTTTGATTTGTCTCACCCGATGCCACCAAACCAAAGGATAACTTGCTCAAAATCCAAGTCCCAAATATTACGACGATCCTACAAAAATGTAAACAGGAGGATTTTCAAATCCAAAATATAACTGGTATTTCAGAAAACTATAAAAATATTCCATGGAAGCTAAATTCACCTGCTTCACTCTTCAATGAATAGGTTTTTAGAGACATATTAATTCCTACCAATTAAACTTGTGAAATGCAAACGTCTACAGACAATTTTTTAAAATGTTTTGAGACGGTCTTCAATGCAAATGCACCTAATAATCGAAATTAGATTTGAAGTTAATGCTTCATGCCTTATGAAAGACGGAAAGATAACAAATGTAGTCAAATAGTTTGCATTTGTGACATTGCCAATCTCAACTTCTTCGTTCTTCAATTTACTCAGCATTTTATTCAAGTTCAGATTTGAGTACTGTCTTCCCCAGTCCCTTTCTCTGTTACGACGTAAATGTTCTTCCATCGCGTTAATGTCATCTTTACCTAAATCATTTGCTTTATTAAAATCCTTAGAACTCTGCACGATTCATTCTGCCAGTCACATCTTCTTTTCGAAATACTCAACTCTGGATATCTTCAAAATAAATTCTACGGCGAACGCAGCTGATAGCGATTCGATGATTGCCGAATGCTAAATTCTGTGCATGTTTGAAAAAGCAACACAAAAAATAAGAGCGTCAATATAGTGTATGACCGACTTCCTAGAATGATTTATGTTCCCAATTATAGATACACAACACAAGAAGAAATTCATTTCAAGGTGTAAAATTTTTGTATTCTTTCCTATTCAAAAAAATAAATGAATTTCCCTTAGCTTGCATAGGATTTCAGTTTCTCTTTGAAATGATTGAAGACGGCAATATCTAGATTGTAAAATTATCCCCCTTCAGCCAAGAGAAGTCTCGCTAATGGTTAGTGTAGTGTCCTCTTTTCATTGCTTACCAAGCCTTCATTTAAAGTGCTCATTTCTATAGTGCTTAATGTTACTTATGCAAGTTAGTAGTTGTGCATGTAAGTTTAAGAATACACCAGACAAATATTCGAATTTAGACATGGATGAAGCCATTTTGACTGCGTCATCGTTTAGAAATTCCGTATATCATGCTCAAAGCAACAAAGTGTTTTTTACCTGGCAACACGAAAGACTCGTTTAAGAATGTGCGACCTCTCTTTCATGTAGTGCAAACTTTTTATGGTTTTTCCCACGGTTGTGTGATTGGCTATTAACAGGGTGTTCTAAGACTTGATTTTTTATGCAAAAACATCACCACTGGTAAGCCCTTTCATGTTTTTAATGGAAGGAGTAACAAAAAATAGAGCAGAAATCTGCGTAGCGTGCTTACAGAGAAAAACATTTTATTTTATGAATTTACTCGTGTTGTAAATTTTGATCGTGAGAAATCTGATGAAAATGACTTCATTTGGATTGTTGGATTTCGATTTGCATCTTTTGGAGAGAAAAATGCAAGGGAAAGGCGCTGGATCTCGAAGGGGATCCGCCGAGTTACTTTCTGGCTACAAATCAGATACTGAGGCAAAAGCAAACTACGACAAATTTGCACAGGAACAAAAAGGTAACTTTTCATGTACAGTTTCGCTGTTAATGAAGTTAATGGGCATATGCCAAAACTTTCTTAATGTTTTTTATCGTGTGAAGGTTAAAAGGCCCATGCAACAAACAACTATGTTTAAAACATTTTGAAGTTTATGGCCGTTGGATAAAAATGACACCCATTTCACATACGATCTTGTGAAGCAAGGGAGCCACCAAAGGCCAAGGAGGCAGACTTGAGAAGAAGGGCATTTTGAAAAATAATTCCCAGCTACCTACAATTCTTTTGTAACTATAATTTTGTTTCGATCTATTGTAGGTATCTTGAAAATCGGCTAACTTTTGGTATAAGAAATTTCATCACAAATTTTAAGAAATTTCGTAATGAATAAGGCAGTACAGTCAGAATCTCTTATGAATCTTTTGATAATTACAAACGGCCGGTGTCAAAGACACTTCTATAAAAAGGGCACTTTGGTCCCCCTTGCACCTCCTATCAAAAGGTAACAGGGGTGGTTGAACCCCCGCGCCCTCTCCGGCGTCCCTGCACCCAAATGAATCTATGATTTTGAGACACGTACGCTCTTCTGGGCCGCTCTTCCCACTGGGCCCACAAACCCCAGCCCCTGGGGCCCCAAAATATTTTCAAATGTATTGTTTGGTTTTTCCCAATCGGGAGAAAAATGATAAGCATAATAGATACGTAAATAAATCGAAATGATTCATGGAATGGACAATCCCAAGTCATTCATAATCAATCCCCAGCTATTCATAATCCTGGACAATCCCAATTTATTTACAATCAATTCGCCAATTATTCATAATCCTGGACAATCCCAATTTATTTACAATCAATTCGCCAATTTTACATAATCCTGGACAATCCCAATTTATTTACAATCAATTCGCCAATTTTTCATAATCCTGGACAATCCCAATTTATTTACAATCAATTCGCCAATTATTCATAATCCTGGACAATCCCAATTTATTTACAATCAATTCGCCAATTTTACATAATCCTGGACAATCCCAATTTATTTACAATCAATTCGCCAATTTTTCATAATCCTGGACAATCCCAATTTATTTACAATCAATTCGCCAATTATTCATAATCCTGGACAATCCCAATTTATTTACAATCAATTCGCCAATTTTACATAATCCTGGACAATCCCAATTTATTTACAATCAATTCGCCAATTTTTCATAATCCTGGACAATCCCAATTTATTTACAATCAATTCGCCAATTATTCATAATCCTGGACAATCCCAATTTATTTACAATCAATTCGCCAATTATTCATAATCCTGGACAATCCCAATTTATTTACATTCAATTCGCCAATTTTTCATAATCCTGGACAATCCCATATAATCAATCCCCAATTAGACATAATCCTGGACAATACCAATTAATTCATAATCAATTCACCAATTATTCATAATCCTGGACAATCCCAATTTATTTATAATCAATCCCCAATTATACATAATCCTGGACAATCCCATATAATCAATCCCCAATTAGACATAATCCTGGACAATACCAATTAATTCATAATCAATTCACCAATTATTCATAATCCTGGACAATCCCAATTTATTTATAATCAATCCCCAATTATACATAATCCTGGAGATTCATGTAATATTTCTATCTAGGGAATTTTCAGAGAAAAATTTTACAGACAACTACATCTCCGTTGGTAACTACAGAACTGGATATTCATTAAAAAATTCAAAGAATAAATACATCGCAAATACTATTTTTGTGAACATGGCCGTGCACAGCGGGCTGGGCCAAGGAGGGCAGTAACCCCCCCCCCCCCCCCCAGAAAAATTGAAGGCAGGGGTTTTATACTGTTTCATAATCTGCTTGTAAGCAATGGAGTCCACGGACCAGATTTTGAAGAGCTAAATTACAACCAACCTGACGAAAAATTACGGAAATTTAGCTATATTACCTAAATTTATTAGTAAGTTCTATCATCAGCAACCAAAAGATTACGCTCATCTGCACCATTCGACAATTCTTTTGACCAATTTTCTTTTACCGGGATCAAGAATTTGATAAACTAATATTTTGATTATGCGCCGTATTGGTGCTATCAATTAGCTTTTTACTTACTTAATTTCTTGGATATGAAAAACCTCATGTTTTTTAAGGCATGAAAAATCGCGATTCCATGTAGATTTAAGCAAGGTTCAATGAGACAATCTTGTTTGGACAGCCTTATTTGTCAAAACTGGACCTTGTAGCTTTGATAAATTAATCGATCGGTAGCTGCCTTTCATAGTTGTCTTGCTTTATCGGTGGTATCATGGAAGCACCGCGGTGAATTTGCCCAATGCAAAACTTTGAGAATGCGCTAAAGTATTCGGATTTTAACCGTTTGAATGACTCGGGTTTCATTTCAAATCAAGGTTTTATCATCTTATCTTTTGTATCTTTTGATGGCACTACACAATTAAAACAAAAACCAAAGTCAACCTAACCTCAACAAGAACCAGATGATAACAGATAACCCACCAAATGTACTGATTTAAATCGACTTTCAACGTATTTTAAGCATGGCTTCGATTGAACGATGTCTCGTGGTCCTGAAATTCAGATTTGCAGTTCTGTAGAGAGATGGAAGCGTGATAGTAATTGCATTTCTTTAATGGCTGCCACGGACGACCAAGGTATCGTATCGACAGCGCCAAACAATCTGGGTTGGTATGTAGATGTAGTTGGTAGGACGGTTTTGCGGTGTGTTCTGTAGGAACACGTAGATATTACTGATATTAATAAGAATCCGGAGTAATTTCGAGCGAAGTTAGAAACAAAACCACTAGTACCTATTTCCGAAATCAAGCAACGTCCGGCTTTAGAAATCTTTCAGAATTAGAACTCAATCCCCAATGCAAGATGAAGTTGTTAGGAACCTGTTCCTGTGAATGAGCAACCCAGCATTGAAAGATTTTATTCTGGAGAATTTCGGAACCTCCCGTCACTTCTCGACAATTTTTTCTCTTGTGTGCAATTTTGGGAAAAGGTTCATTCTATCTCCAAGGAACAGCAATGTAATCGATTTATCAATGGTTAGGAACAGCAATGTAATCGATTTATCAATGGCTAGGTCAGGGATGCCATCCAACAAGCCTAAGAAATTCCGATCACTTGGTTTTCGAAAAAGTATGAAATCGTAAACAGTAGTCGAAAAAAGGGAAAATCGTTTCATCGGTGAAAATAAAAATTGCGAAGCGAGTTCCAAGACAGCGAGGGGGGGTTTGAGTGGGCGCTGTAAGCCCCCCTCCCTAATGGGGCTCGGGGCGAAGCACGGGAATATTTTGCATTTTTTGGTGATTTATTTCTAATATGGGCCATTTTAGAAGCATCTGAGCTAGATATCGATCGTATGTAATGCTTGAACTACGTGCATGGAAATCAAATAGATACACAGGATATAACGAAAAACAGAACCAAATCGAGTAGGATAAAATTTCACTCACACTCCTGTGACTATAGCTAGGATGGGGGGAGCCTCTTCCCCTTTTCCTTTCAGGCCACCCCCTGACTAGCGATAGTCACAGGGGTGCGAGTGAGATTTTTTACCAAAATTTTCTAGCAGAGCAAGCTGCTTTTTATCACGTGACTCCTACGGGGCGTGTCCATTCATTTTGACATACAGTAGAGGCTAGACGTTTTTTGTCTTTTCTTGTCTTACTCAAGGCTAACTTTCCTATAATTCATTGGGGGCTTCGACAGAATTCTTGTCTTTACCAAAGCTAATTTTACTATTATTCATTTGGAGTTTTAACAGAATTCTTGTCTTTGCTGAGGGAAATTTACCCTCGTGGATGAAGGGGCTGCAGCATGCCCGCGTAGCGGGCGTAACTGGGGCTTGCCTGTAACTAATACCCTGAAATATGACTATAAAGAATCTTTTACAATGATCTCTATATTACAATTATTTGTTTGTTAAATAAAACCAGCCATCGTCCCTGATTGATTAGTGCTGTAGAAACGAAGAGACTGCTATTATCTTTGGAAGAAAGGATAGAAATATGGGGTAGGGGATACCATTGTCTGTGGACAAGAAGAGAAAAGCGACAACTTGCTTGAATCAAAGGATTTTTATAACTTTTGAGACCCCTTCCCCCACTTAAGAACAGGACTATTTACGGCCATATAATATCATTTGAGGAAGCATCTTTTCCAACAAGGAAGGTTTTCAACTGCCTTGCCTTAAAGGCTGAGCAGGTATATGCCTGATTTATTTCTCAATTCTTGCAATAGCAGTGTTCTCGAATGCTTTAGCCAGTTTGCAGTGGAGAAAATATGAGTTCCAGGCGAAACAACCACTTTACGTTAAAAAAGAAGCGAAAGAGGGACGAAGGTAGGGGAGCAACAATGAAAGAAAGTCGTTAGGCCGTTATTTGAATTAGATTTAACATCGTGTTGTTTCAGAGATATTTCAATGTTCTTTTTTAGAAAAGCGCCAGGAAACCCAGAAAAAGGCTTTCACAAGATGGGTCAACTCCAAGTACTCACAGGTAAAAGGAAACTACATTTGTTCTTATTTGTGGCGATGAATTTCTTTCACTTGCAGTTTTTTGTAAGGAAATAGTTTAGGATAAAAGGAAATAAAGTAGCTCGCTCCATCTGACGCTACTTTTTTAGTCGATGCACATATACAAATGTCAAACATTTTCTCAAATAACCACGTTTTAATCATTAAAGTCAGTACCCTGTTTGGTATATGCAAGTTTTGTACCGATGATAATGAACATATTGGAATTTTTTGTACCGGATATATTAAATAAAACATCGGAATTCATTGGACCAGATTTTCATCTTTAATTTGCCAGTATAGGATTCATAGAAAGATAGATTATAAAAAGTCAAGGAGTCTTAGAATTTTTTACTTCTCTGATTTTCATCTATTTTGATGAAGCACAAGATATTTCATTTTCCTAAAAAATACCTCTTTTAATCCCTGTCTCTTAATTGCAAGGTTTTAGATTTTATCAAATTAAAATCAGCCTCAAAGAATATATATTTATAAGATTGATTTTTATTCATAGGAAAACGATACCACAGTTATCAAAGATCTTTTCGTCGACTTTAGAGATGGCAACAACCTTCTAAAATTGTTGGAAATCCTAACTGGCAGAAAAACGGTATATGCTTCTTATTTGAAATCAATTGGCATTATAATTTTTGTTCTTTGAAATAACCGTCATTGATGTGTGGAACAAGGGTGCAATTTTGTGTTTTTCTTGGTTTAGACCACCACGCGAAGCTTCGAACAGAGCACTTAACTAAATGGTTTTCACTTTCCGGTAGAAATTCATATCCAAAATGAAAAGACGAATACTCTTCTGTAAATCAGAAGAATTCTCAAGGGACATTTTGAATATTATATCCTCCGTCACATTCTCACTGAATCTACCATTTAATGTCTCATCCGAAGAGCATACCACTCTACAAAAATCTTTACAAAAAATTCCTTGGAAGCCCTGTTTTTCTGAAAAATCCTCTCGCTTTTTTGAAATTGTGTTAAAAACCTCGATCATAGAATGAAAAACTATCAATTTCATATGATAATAATGCAAAGAATATCTTAAAATCACAATGTATATATTGCTGTTAAAGCAGCGGTCATATTTCAAATTTGCAGCAAAGAGTTCATGGGAAACTTCGCCTGCACAAGCTGAACAACATCAATGTTGCTCTTGAATTTCTCAAAGAATATGAGGTACCAATTTTTTGTTTTTGTTTTTAAAAAGTTATTTGTGTTTTAGTTTTAATAAGCATTGGAATCTACAGTTTAGAAAGAGAGACTTGCGGAAACCATTGTCACCGTTGCGTTTTTTAACACAGTCATACCTCTGGAAAAATTTAAGAGCTTTAGCGAACAACAGCGGTACCTACATACAATTTTGGCGTATTTCTTTTAAAATTTGTGTGTAATTGCATTGGCGTGGCATCACATGTTAAGTACTCAATGCATTAGCGTGACGTAATATTTTCATTATTATCTAACCTTCGTATTCACTGCGTGCTTAAGCGCGTTTAGGTTGGGCCCTCAGCATCTAGGCATTTGTTTTTCTAGATTTTGACCCTGTTCATCATACTTTGAGAAATTTGCATCCCTGTGGAAATATTTTTTTGAAACCGCGACCTTTGGAACAGCGTAAAAACGTCTCTTTCGAAAGATCTTACTGTCGGTTCTTAGTCATACATTCAGAAAAAATTTCAATACCTTTGGAGAGAAAAATAATTATAATGGCGGTTATTAGGCATTAAAAAACGTGATATGAAGATTTATGTGACAGCCAAGTTTGCCAGGCTACACAACTAAACCTTCGCTGAGCAAGATGAAAAACTTAAAATAAACAGCAAAAGAGATGTCTGTTTTGATTTACTATGAAATATTTTGCAATCGTACCTGCTCTTAGAAATTTTTCAAAGATTGTGAAAAACTGGTAAATTTTCTTTGAAAAAGTGGAGGTGTTAAAGCCTCTGCTAGCCAAATGCCGTCTCTTGCGAAAATAATAGATGCTGTTAGTTGTGAAGCCTAAAATGAAATGGCAATTCATAGACTGACGGTATCTCTGTTGTTATTAACATATGGCTATTCACCATTAATCACCATTGGATATCAACGTTTTGGTTCAGAAAAAATCTATTGCTTTTTAGAAAGTAAATGCTCTGTTGGAAAACAATTGAATGCTCTGTTGGAAAACAATTTGCTCGGGGAATGTTATCTTTCAATAATTGATGAAATATTAATCAATCTTTTATCACGTGAATGAAATTCATTTTCAAAAGATATAGTGCTGAATAAATGATATCATTGCTTGCCATATTCCAGCAAAAGAATTACAATCTTCATTTTTAAATAGCAACAAAGACTTCCGAATTGCTGAAATTCAGATACATTTTTTTGTGCGTGAGTTAGGAACGCTTAAAGTTGATAAGACATCGCAACTTCTGTTCTACCTATCTCAATGTTAGATATTGTGTGATTTTGTTTCAACCTTTAGGATCCTTGTTCTCTTTCTATATCTATCGCTGCAATCGGCAAATACACTGCTATCTTTTCCTAGCATTGTTAATTTTGTGCAGTCGTTTGTGCATGGTTAAACTATTTCCAGTAGGTATAAAGATAGTTATCTTCCGGCCAAACACCACCCTCCAGCAGGCTTTCTGCCTTTGATTTTGCTTTCGAACAAGAGTTTTTGACTGTAGTGTTGTGTTTCCTCTTTGTGTCTAAAAATGATGTTGGAGAAGATGCAACTGCGTAAGTGCTGTTGCGACTCCAGTTTGAATTTTTAGGTTTTCTTTCTGCTTCGTGCCCGTAACAAGACATGCTAATGCGTGATGCATGCTAAAAGGGGCAGTATTCTGATCGATAGCATTTTCGATAGCATATTTGCAGACCATTTGATCCTCATAGGTAGAGAAGACAGATTTGTTTACTCGCAATAAACAATGTTTGGTACTCTGGTGGCCATTTAGACCTCAGCAGCTACCTTCAAGAGAAATTTCCTGGTGGTTTTTGTTAGCAAGATCACACATTGCGAAGTAATGATATGAATTAGTGTGAAGTGTCATAAAACCAAGGAATCAGTTTTGGGTCCTCTTGCTTGAATAAACTGTTTTAGTTGGATTTTGAGTTGCCGTTCGTTCACGTAGTAATCACAAAAGGGCTTCCAACCACCCTTCTTCTCCCAACGTCCGGTGTCATTGTTTGTAGCGAGGTGTGATCTTCGCCGTCTAACGAGCCATCTGTTTTTGCCGATCTTTTCCAACATTTCAACAAGATTATCGCAGATTTCTTTATCACACGAAATCTGACCAAACATATTAATGGGTTGGTGGCACTGCAGAATGTGACGAAAAGAAACGCCAAGTCACGAAATATATGCCTCGTGTTGCAGCTACACGCAAAGCAAAATTGCAGTATATAAATAAAGATCATTGCTGGAGTGTAAATACTAATAAATGCAATCATGATAGACATGAAAACAGTCGTAACCTTTTGCTCGCGGTTAAGATTGCCTTTACTTGGCGATGCCATATTGTCTTGCCTTTCCTCACTATTCACCGCAGTACCATTTGGATCCTGCAGCGTCGATGTAAGGTGATGCATCCGTCGTATAACCTTTAAGTAGGTAACGAGAGTCATGCCGAAGACGGTACACAGTGAAATGTTCACATAGACGAGAAGCAGTGTGACAAAGCCAAGAAGGAAGTAAAAACCAGAAAAACTCACTGCTGTTATCCAAATCAACGCTGAAATGATGATGCATTTTCGTCGAGATAGGTTTCGACGTTTCGATGATAGCGACATGAGCGCGTAATATCGGTCAATAGTCATTGCTGCCATGCTGAACAAACTTGCTGATGCTGATACAAAGTAAGTTAAATGCAGAATGTAAACCAGGGTTCTGTTTATGCTTCGCTTTGCTTCCATGTAGTGGAAAACTGTGGAAACAGGCATCGCTACAACTCCAACCATTAAATCGCTTGCAGCCGCATTTGCAAGAAAAAATGCGAACGGGTTTCGAAGTTTCTTCAATGGATCTTTTGCAATGGCAAAAATAATCAAGAAGTTACCTGTCGTAATTAGAATAGTCAGCATTGCCGAAACGCTTGACGTAAAATACGCAAGTTGGTATGGTGCGTCTGACCCTGGAAAGCATGGATCTGCCATCTCAAAATATCGCCACTTCAGAATTCCGGCAAAATTGTCTTTGTCCAGACGTTAACTCCACATCAGTTTAGTGCAAACCATGTAACTTTTCATTCATTTTTTGACAATCTTCTTGCTGAATTGTTTCGTTAGTGCTTCGATTAATTTCAGGTGGTTATCACTTTAAACAAATTTTCACTGCGGGCAATGCCTTCTCGTGCCAATTGTCAGTCATTTTCTGACACTCGGTCCTTGTCTATCAAAGTGCTTTTTATCAAGCAAAGAGACTTCGTTTGTTATCGATGGCTGTCCTTTCTATCGTTTTCATTGTGTTACCAACAATGGATCTCAATAGGATCGCAGTATTTTGCCTTGCTTTCATAAATTATTCATAAGAGTATGAACAATTTGCAAGATTTAATATGAAGATCCCGGTTTTCTAGTAATTATGGCAAAATGAAGGTAGAATGAAAAGGTGGCATCTGTAGTGTTTCTGGTTGACGTTTTAAGGATGAATTTACTTCTAAAAACGGATCTATTCAATATTCAGAATTCGATCACTGACTTAATTATAACAAGACCGATCGAAATGAACTACTTAAATACTACGACAGTAAGATGTTATCATTCCTTGAATCTGATTGAATCCTTGAATTAATCCTGATGTAATCCCATCTATGTGTAATCCTAATGCAAGATGTAAAATTCTTTTACATGTTTGCAACGAAAAAGAGACGTCAATTCAACGCGACGCTAGACTATCGCAATTAGCAACCCTAGCTTTCCTCCGATACAAGACCTTTGTCTCCTGTGGTACTGTAGAACCCATTTTTGCAGTTGTCACAAGTTTAATTAAACAGCCACAAAGGATGCTTGTCAATATGTTTAGTATTTAGCAGGTCTGGAATTTTTTATTGTTGATGCAAGCGATTAATGTCGATGGTAGAAACCTTGGTTGTGCTGCGATTTTGATGTGGTCCTGCTCGAAAAACTATTATAGACAATGTTCGAATGCATTTGGATTGTCAGCTTGGAAAACTTGCTATTCACCAATAAAAAGTTGGTGCTTAGAAATACTGCTTGTCACTACGACAAAAGATTTGTACAAAGGGTAAATTTGAAATGCAACTTGTACCTGCAGTTTCTAGCGAAGTGGCTGCACTTTTTTCTGCATCATCATCCGGCATTGGGTCAAGATTTTTCAAAAAAACGCGTTTGCAAACAGGAGCTTTTAACTTTCAATTCCTTTGTCCCGTTTTGTGAGTAATCTTACGATGTTCGTAAATTGTCATTGTTTTGTGTATTGAACATCGCTCAACATTTGTATAGCGATGTTTAGTTATTTTGAGTGGGGGTGTTGTCGAGCGATGAACTTCGGACTCTCCGTGATCCAAGACAAGGCAACCCGGTATTTTGGTAGGGTATTTAGGAAAATGGATAAGATGGATTTCGTACACTCTTTTCATTTAACAGTAGCTGCCTGATGAGGGTCAGGATCGATTTCCTTCTTTGACGCGCAAACCTTTGACAATGGAAATGTTGAGCTGACCGGCTGAACATTTTTGAGTTTGTTCAAATTCCATTCAACGTCGCTAAACAACGCACAACACCACTGAACATTACTGAACAGGGTGTTAAAATGCTTTCAACATTTGCACTCTAAAAAAGTTGAGCGATGTTCTGTGAAATGTTGAGAGCGTTTTAACGGGGCTTAATGATTATTATCGTTTGTACTCTTTTCTTAATATTAGAATATAGCTTGTTAGATAATTAAGGCTCAAAATTGCTGAATTTTAAGAATAATTAAAGAATGATTCAAGGCTAAAGCTTCATTAAGACGTAGATTTTTTGACGCATAATAAGTATGACTTTCTCACAATATGTTATACGCTATAAACTTGAAAATGATACTGAGGTCTATCTTGGAACAGAGGTGGCGCCAGAAATCTTCCGACAGAGGGGCTGGAGCTTCCGACAGGGGGGCTAAAATGACTAAAATAAGCAGTTTTCGTACGTTATTTTGTCAAAATTTCTCCGACAATAACCTAAAATTGCCTCCGATGGGGGGCTAGATGCTTCCGACGGAGAGGCTGTAGCCCCCCCCCTAGCCCTCTCTTGGCGCCACCACTGTCTTGGAATTAATGAGATATCGTATTTACTCTAATATTCTCGTTTCTCTTTTATTCCCGTATTCCCGTTTTTTGACTTCGTACTACTGTCTATAAAGCACAATTTCTGCTCTGTCTTGTCTGTGAAAATAAATATCCCACCCCCATTTAATTTTAACCCCCCATACATGTTGAAATTGCATATTTTTTCTCTGATTTGCCACAATCGAATTTAAGAGACGTTTTTGTTGAAACGGTATCCTCAAACTAGACTTCAAGGCATTGAAAAAATAATCCCGCCTCTACAATAATCCCGCCTCTCCAATATACCCGCCTCTCCAATAATCCCGCCTTTTTTGTTGGGTTAGAACGCTAATCCCGCAGCGGGAATATTAGAGTAAATACGGTAAGAGGGGTTAGAATAGTTCTTTTAGATTACTTTTTGTATTTTAATACCACATTTATTGTTCTGTTCTGCTTTTTTATTTTCTTTTCTGATAAAGTAAGACGTCAATAATATCTGAATTATTTTTTTATCTTCAGGCAAATTTTCACCTTGTAAATTAACAAGTACAAAAGCGTGCAAATATTTGATTTCCACTGTGAATCGAGTTAAAGCAGAAATCGCTGAATACATGCAAATGCACTTCAGTTCTAGTAAAAATGACTTGTTATTGACCAAAGAATCGCAGTGAACGTTTAGTCGTATTTAGAAATATCAAAGCAATGGCCGATTTGCGTCGTATAAAATTCATTGTCTATTCCTGTCTGCTTTGTCTTCTTTTTACTTTTATTTGATCCCCTTAATCGAAAGAGCGCCACCGCATGATGGCTAAATGAATTTATACAAGGAGAATCTAAGCTTATTCACTCAGGACTCAGGACAGGATCTGGGGAAATTGGATTGGAAAAAGAAGTCCCTCGGAGTTGCAACAATGAATTTAATGATACTACACAACATGCTGATGAGCAAATCAAGAATAGCCCTAAAAGGGCTGGAAACTTGCAAATTTGCATTGTTCTTCAGCAAGATGCTGTGCAATTCCTAGCGAAATCAAGCAAGATTGCTCTATTAAAGGCAAAATCCAAGAATATTCTACTGAAGAGTCTGCTATTTATTTGAGGAGAAGGCTTGAAAAATCATCTTTGAAAGCATCTGCAGAGATGCACTATCCTAACTAGTTTAGAAGGTGTAACCTAGGTAGTTTATAGGCTAGAAGTTTAGAAAACCAGTTAGTCTCCTGTCAATAGCAAGAAATTATTAATGTAGTCAACAATTTACATTGGTGAAAAAGATGAACGAAAAGATAAAGAAGAACACGAAGCAGAAGCAGAAAAGAAAGTGAAGGAAAAAGAAGAATAAGAGGAAGAAGAGGAAGAAGAGGAAGAAGTAAAAGAAAAAAGTGAAAGAGAAAGAAGAAGGAGAAGAAGAGGTAGAGGAAAGGGAACACAAAGAACTGCAAGAAAAAAACGAAAGAAAGTTTGACAAACAATGAAGCTACCTAAAAGATCTCTATGACAAAACACTAGGATAATTACTTAACGAGAATACATCATAGTAGACAATGAAATGTTTCTTTCCCGCAAATCATAATGACAATGTCATCTAAGTCGCGCATTTCTCGCAGCTAAGGTCCTGTATCTTTAATTACAAAACATAGAAAGTGGACGGTGTGAACTCCCTTCAACCAACAGAATAAAAATCATACGATGAAAGTTAATCAACTTATCAAAGTCAGTATCGTGGCAGTCAGTGTCACAGACACTATGTTATACATTACTTTGAAGATTCAAATTTTGGGCACACCCTCAAGTTGCATAGCTCTCCGCTGGTCTCCGCTTTGAATTGAACTGTCATTCAGTGGCAGCCTTCTCCCACACTTTAAAAGTGTGAATACCGTTGCCCTCATTACTGGCAGCCTAAGCAGGCAGATAACAGGGTTGGTAGCACTAGCTGTAGAAATAAGGCAGAGGACCAAGTCTCGGAACACGTGTCTTGTGTCGCATGGGCAAGAAAGACAGAATTCCAAGAAATAGAGAAATGCCATGGCTGGTATGTTTATGCAAAGAAATGTAATCAACAAGGAAAGGAAAACTTTCGTAACTTTGCGCTCTCGCAAGAAGTGTCGGTCAGGTTTCGATGTCGCATTTTGCTGGTTCGATGTTGCTTCGCCATTTACCAAGTGTTGTGGATTCGACTGTTTGAAAGCCTGTTTGATTTGCCTCATACGTCGAATTATTTTGACGTAAGTGATGAACGTAATCGCAAATGTAGTAACGAGCGAAATGTGGATGAGCACCATAAGTAAACTGATGTAGCCAAGAATGAAGTAAAATACAGATAATCCAATCGCTAAAACCCAGGTCAGTACTGATATCAAAATGCAGTTACGACGTGTGAGCTTTCGGCGTTTCGATGATAGTGACTTGAGCGCGTAGAATCGGTCAATAGTCATTGCTGCCATGCTGAACAAACTTGCTGATGCTGATACAAAGTAAGTTAAATGCAGAATGTAAACCAGGGTTTTGTTTATGCTTCGCTTTGCTTCCATGTAGTGGAAAACTGTGGAAACAGGCATCGCTACAACGCCAACCATTAAATCGCTTGCAGCCGCATTTGCGAGAAAAAATGCGAACGGGTTTCGAAGTTTCTTCAATGGATCTTTTGCAATAGCAAAAATAATCAAGAAGTTACCTGTTGTAATTAGAATAGTCAGTATTGCCGAAACGCTTGACGTAAAATACGAAAGTTGGTATGGTGCGTCTGACCCTGGAAAGCATGGATCTGCCATCTTCAGTTCCTCAATATGGTCGATCTTTGCTTCGCTTGCTTACTGTTTTTCCTGTACCAGATTTTCCGCTTAGTCCTTTGCCAAGATAATTTAGTATGACGCTTCAAAGCGGTGCCTTGTGCTATTTTGTAACAGTTTCAATTCTCGCAGGTGTCCTTGGAGATTCTGACCAATCAACGAGGACTTCTTTCGATACTCATGGGATGTCCCAAGCAGGTTTTCTTAAGCAAAGGCCTCTTTTTCTAGGAAGAAATATTTTTATCATATTCAATCGATTTTTTTATTTTTTCTCAGCAATACATAAACAGCAATATAATGCCAATGCTCTTAATTTGCTAATAACGTGGTTTTCCAGGTGATTTAATTATTATTTTTTATTTCAAAATAAAGAAAAGTCTTTATTTTAATACTAGTTTTCCAGTTTTAACTGATTTTTTTATTTTCATACAGGGTTATACATTAAGTAATGAAAATATAATAACGGATTTACAATGTGCCCTGTCTAAAAACCTAAGCCAATCAACATACAATTCAATAACAAAGATAAACAAAAATTTGGTTAGAAAAGAAAAATAAAAAAATCTGATGCTGTACAAGAACTCGCACACCATTTGATTTTTCAAAGATTGTTTCAGCAAATTTTTGAAAGTAGCCAGTGAAGGGGCACTTTTTATCTCAGTGCTTAATTTATTCCATAAATTCACACCTCGATATGAGTATCTACGTTGCCCGTAAGAGGTTGCAAAGCGATGTATTCTAAGATAAGGTCTGTATTACGGAGAGACCGTGAACTGTTTCCGATAAATTTGTAAACATTAGCTGAATATTTTCAGGAGCTAGTCGATAGAGATACTTGTAAACTGCAGTTGCATCCTAGGCTTCCAATCAAAAGATATTTGGTCTAATTTCCTTTGAGCTAATGAAATCAAGAAACTTTTGTAAACGAGCGGATCTCGTTTTGGTGTACGAAAAATTGTTCACACTATATAGTGAGTATATATCGTTTCGTAGGTCAAATTGGTTAACATCGGCAACATTGACATTGTTGATGGGATTCCTGTGCCAACATTGGGGCTCATTTGGAGTATCATTTACAGGTTCCAGGTATGACATTTCATTCAGACGATTACTTTTTATTGATATTCACCGTAGTTTTCAGCTTGTTTCAAATTACAGTTTATTTACTGTGTGTAGCTGTGCCTTCTGGTGTTTCGTATTTGGGTTGGCTAGCATTGACTGGTAGAAAATGAATTAAAACTAGACCTATCAATATTTAATGCTATTTGTCAGCATAACCTTTTATCAAGCCACATTTTTGAGAAAAACAGTTTGAAATTATAGTTGCCCATTGGGTCGACGGCAAACCTCTGCTCAAAGACATTTCAGATTAGCGTACGCAATGCAGATTTGTGCAGATCGAAAATACTTTTTTTTGGTATTGTTTTATTGAACTTTTGGTAGATTTTACCTGGCAAATCCTATGAAATCTAGGCCTTCTAGAAAGCTTCTGCAAACGGGTCATAATAGGATTCTAATGTTCAATTGTTTGGCCCCTCGCAGCGGTTATTTTTTACTCCGAACCAAAATACAGAACCAAAATATAGGAAAGATGATACGGGCTTTACTTTATTGTCCGAGAACAAAAGTTCGCAAACGCAAGAATGTATCACGTGACATTTCTATCCATATTATATTGTTCAAGGGCTGTTCAAGGTAATGGTCACTACATTTGGTTACTGCAAGGTTTTGTAAACTTTACAAGCAATTTTTTTAAAACAAGTAAAATCACACAACCTGAACTGATAAAATGCCACTATAAATTATTAGGGGTTGCAGTGATTCTGAAGAATTCGCTTAATGTATGAAACAGAGTTAAATTCGTGTAGATCCGAACCAAGTTGAAAATAGGCTGCTGCTCTTTGTGACGTTGCTAGACAAATTCTACTGTTGTCGTCACAAAAAGGGTTGATCCGGTTGAAAACTAGGAATCAAGGCAGCACAATTGGCTATGTTGTGGGGATTCGAAACCTACTCTGACTACAACTTTGGTTGAAGTTGTAATGGTCTTGTAAAAATCGATGCTTTCTCCTGATGGGGCACGCCCAGGGCCGGAAATATTGCTCCCTTCATGACTTGAGTATGCTATTATGACACCAATACAATTTCTGCAGGTTTTTTCTTTGGCAGTCAGCGAAATGTCGAATAAGCAAACTTCATACTCACTTCTAGCATTTCGTGGAGCCTTTTCCGCTTAGAACACAGTGAAAATCAACCACCATCATTCTTCTTTCGCACTGAAGACCTTTAGACCAGTCCAGCTCCCTACATCTCTGCGTCTTTATGTTCTATTCATGAATCTGCCGCAGCTTTTAATCTTTTTGTTCCATGAAATGTCACTTCCTTGGAAATGAAAGTGTGTGTCGGCCATCACTAAAATATGGAATGCAATGCGGTATGTAGAATGAGGATTAGAGAATGTTTGGGAATAAAGACAAACATAGGAAGATCGGGAAACATAGGGAAATTATCGACATTATTTGGCACTGTGTCACTTAACATCAAAATAAATTAATTAAAATTTAGTTAATTAAATACGTAGCTGTCACTCTGACATCGATACTGACAAAAGCGAGTGAAAATCAAATGTAATTGACTTTAGTCGCAAGGCCCACGCAACGAATTTTAAAGTGGGGGAGGGCAAGGCTAGCAAAGGTAGAGGGCCAAAGCTTCTTTCCCTTTTTACTGCAGCTTTAAAGCTATTAAAGCTACTTAGCCCCCCCCCCCCCCCACCTCCCCCCGGCGGCGTGGGCCCTGAGTCGAAAGAAAAGTGAAAATACAATACTTTGACATCATGCAAATAGAAAACTTTAAATTTAAAGCTTTCCTGCATTTAATAAAGTTTCATTACGATTTTTCTGCTAAAATTTTGGACACGTTTATATAAAATCGTACGTAAATTCACAGTTTCTCTGATGAGATGATCACCATTCTTAAGAAAGCTAGGGTTCCGTTCATCAATCAGCGATTCGACTTTTAAATGAATATCAACAATCAGTTAGAGCAGTGCATTCTAGTAGAAAACGGTATTCCACAACATTTACAAGCTCATTTCCTACACTTTCATTGCCAGACATGTCACTTTTACTAAAGTGTTAATCAATCGTGTCCAACTGTCCATCTTCAACTTATAAGCGATGTTTGACAGTCCTTAAACGCACTCAAATCTCTCTTAAATCAAATAGGAACTTGATGAGATAAAGTGACCCTGTTTCCAATCTGTATGAAGTGACCCTGTGGGTGTACACATTAACAAATTTTTTTATTACGCTATTTTCGCTTTTTCTGTTACACATTGGCCGGTTCAACCATAAGTCTAAATGCTAATTCATCTAATATCAAATTAACATTATCAATCCATCTATAGTTTTGATAGTTGTTGAGTGCTGCAAAGTTAAAAACAGTGCGTATCATGCGATTACTATAATTATCTAATTACTGCGATTACTACTAAAATAAAATGAGTTTCTTTTTTATAGTCAGTTTACCAGATATTGAGATCCTTCTTCCTAGTAGCGAAAATAACTTTTTATATGTATATTCATATGTCATTTTATCCACATATAAAATAACAACAATTTTGAATGCCAATTTCAATCGCTAAATAACTAATGAAAACCGAGTCAATTGGACCTTAGATGAACAAGGTTTCTCTGCATCCAATTTACGACAACAATAAAGAGGAATCCCTTGATGAATTTTGGCCACAAAGTTATGTAGTTTTCCAGAAAGACCATGGTCAGCCACTCTTTACATAAGAGCTCTTTTCCAAGTTGTATAAATGCAGTAGAGTTGGAAACGGTTTGCTTCAACCCAAAGGACCAAGTTAAAAATGTGATCAATCGTTGAATAACCTTTAAAAACCTGCAATATTCTATGTAGCTTACAAGTGTAATGCCTATATGAATTGAGGCACATGCCCAAGAACCTTTACGTATCTATAGATCAGCATTATGATACACATTAACCAAAACTGTCCTCATTGCGAACTTTTCTAAATTGACCTGTGAGCACTGAGGTGATTTTCCTCACTTTGTATCAAGTATTCTTTGACTACTTCGTCTAAGCCTGCAGCCGTACACTTTCTCAACTGCATAATGATGGTTTAATTTGCATCCCAATTGTACCAAAAATTTTTAACAAGTTCTACAGTGCCAAAACTTCCCCAACCAACCTTCTCGTCTCAAATTACTTTTTCCAACCGAATTCTGATTGTAGTTCCGGTTCGTCGTTCGTTTTATTGTTGTGCAGTACCCTGAAATTATCTAAGTTGACAGTAGATTGTTTAAACGTCCATTGCAAAAATATTTTTATCACTTTAATTCGATTGGGGGCCATCGGTTGGAACTGAGGAACCAAGTGTAACTTTTAAAGCTTGTGAGATCAAATTTTTATAGGCCAAGTAAGGTGTTATAGGCACTTATTTGATCACAGGGAAACTGGTTACATGAATGAGCTGTATCAGCAATGTCTTTGGAGATTATTGGAAATGATTCCGAAGAATATTTATCTTTTAATCTATAATAATTCTAAAAAAATTAACAGAAGCATTCATAGGATGCAAAGGGGGCCAAATGAAACGCTCACTAAACGGAAACCAACGTCTAAGAGTGGGAATCTTTTAAGGGGGGGCCAAGCTAGAAATTAAGATTTTTTTTACTCAAGATCGAAGCACAAACAGAGAAAGACAGATGTACGAAAAAATAGATGTACAAAAGCCCAAAGTCCCAGTTTCTGGTAAAAAAGTGATAGCAGACAGGAGGGTCAAGGGGTGGTTGTAATAGGGAAAGCTCTCGGTCATGCTAGTTGAGTCCTGCTAGACAACGATGAAAATTGCGCCGCCCCATAACCACAAAGATCTCATTTTGACGCTGCGAATTTGTGTTTTAGATTCAAGGCGCGCTTGCTGACATCATTCAAAGCAAGAAAGGATCGTCAGTTAATGAGAAGGACGCAGAAAAAGCCATTCTTCAGTGGTGTGCAGCTGCTGTTGAAGGGTGAGTAACCAGGGACAAAAATAAGTTGCTAATTTTGGAGGGGCGTGGAAGGATGAAAATTCCAACTTTAAGTGAGAAATGTTTCATTCGACCAGTACTGTACCTACCAAATTGATATTTGTGAATAGCCCGAACACCATAGTTCTATTTTCTTTATAATTACCAAAACTTTACTCAATAATTAGCCTAAAGCATAAAAGCCTAAATCTCTAAATTTTGATTAACATGAAACAAACATTTAAACTTACTGTAAGAAGTAAAGCAACATTTAAGCAAAACCAGTATTAGATATACTTAATGATTAGTAGTATTCTTTCAGATCAATTGATCAATTTTATCTAAAATACATTTTTTCACGATATAGAAGCACCGAGAATTTGGGCCTTTTATTTTTGTCCTTGATCGAAGAAAACCACTAACAATTTTCAGAGGGCCAAATGTCTTTACATTCTTTACAATTGAAATGATGATTTGAGAACAAACTTGTGCATATGCCTGATTCGAAAGATGAAACACTCTTCTTTGATCAAATACTTCTACTGCAGCTTTTGCAATGTGTTCTTGCTTCACAGCAGTTTTGTGATAGGAATTTATGATAAGGAGTCAAGGACGTTAACAAATAACAGGGGGAGTTTAGCATAAACTCGTTTTTTAAAAGAAGCGTTGAGAATTTTTAGTTCTGAAAGATTCTTAATCTTTTATTGAATTAACTACTCGTAGTTTCTTAAAAAAACTCCCACTCTAATATTTTCTGATCAATGCGGGTATTATTATTCCAAACTGTAAAGTTTCAAGTTTCTTATCCGGAAATTCACCTTGCCTGTTCGTAATTTGATTCAACTCCCGTCAGAAAGAAAGCTAACGGGGCAATTGTGCAATTTGGATCCAGTGGAGACGGGATTCACAATAGAAAACGATTGGATGGGTGTGAGCTACAGCTTGTGAATTTTAATGTTTAGAATTTTAACATTTAAAATAAAAAAACTTCTTAAAATATAAAATTCACAAGTTTGGGCCTAAGAAAAAATTTCCAAGTCAACGGTTAAGTTTCCAACTGTAACTGGATTTTCCAAACTTTGGGGGGGCGTTACGCCCCCCACGCCCCCCTATTGTTTACGTGCCTGTGAGTAACCACCCTCTTCATATGAATAGGCCTAATACAAGATGTCTTCAATTAGTTTAAGAGTTATATTAAATATGTTGCCTAGTTAGGAATTCGTTTTAATTGCTGAAAAGAGGTGTTTTTGCTGAGAGCAAATTTTACGTTCTCATATATTACCATAAAACTTGATTTAAAAGCTGATTCTTGTCATTTTTAAATAAAAAATAGCAAGTGAATGAATGAACAAGAACTGACAATAGAACCCTTAGATTTATTTTTGTTTCTCAAGAGCTCATATAAAGTAAACATATTAAAATGAATCATCAAGAACACAACAAGTTAAAATGATAAGTATGGATATATTTCATTGATAAAATTCAGGAACAAAGCAAAACGGCGACGAGAATCCAATGAGAGAACTTTACAGGGCTTCATCGATCAGAGTGAAAAGAACGAATGATTGAATGAATTTGAAATGTGAGATGGTGATAGATTCCATTCTTGTGGAAAATAGATAAGACTGTCATGAAGATAAACAAAATGATTAACAGTTCACAAGATTGTAATTGCAGACACAAAGAAAAATATTTACCATCAATTCAATGAAAATGTTCGGCCTAAATGGAAAATACTAACTTTGTTTGTTCATTTTCTTGTTTCTTACCAACTTATAGTCTTCTCTTTTCTTACATCTATTCAAAATTGATGGTATTAAAAGATTTTCCAATTATCGTAAGAAAGAAAGCTGCTTAATGTAGGATGATTAAAATTTTGGCAAAGGTTATGAGCAGATGGAGATTTAAGCTCAATTTTTTCTTGGACATCAGCGAATTTTTTCTTTTCATTTCGATGTAGATACGAAGGGGTTGACATCAAAAACTTTTCAACAAGCTGGAAGGATGGCCTGGCATTCAATGCACTTGTTCACCGATTTAAGTAAGTTCATTTATTCACTAACTGACTCATTCTGAATAACTTTTAGCAGCTCAAAGAGCAGCACCATACTTGTCGAAAAAAGACCACTTTGTATAATCAAGACATTTGTATAATCTTATTTTCACATTTTGGTGTTTAGTAGCCTCTTCCTTGTTACATCCAGACATTGTGAGATAGGTAGAACGTAAAGTTTTCAAATTGATTCGTTGGATGCTTAGACGAAATATTAATGTGCATTTGGCATGAAGAAGCAGAAACCTTTCCCTTTCTTCTGTCACTTTTGAACGCTTATAATTTTCTGCATTCATTTCTTATAATTGTTTCGTGAAGTGTAACAATCGTGATATTGATGTTGTTACGTTGTATGTAGAGCTATAAACACGTCTGACACTTCTCCTTGCCTAGTCTTTCGTTTGAAGACGGTCTGCCTAGACTATTCTGTTCACTACTAACAAAACTTTCATGAAAAATACGTAGGTTAATGATTTTTTTTCCAAATTGCTTTTGCCAATTAAGCAAGTTTTGTTATTGTCATTTATTTTTTTTATAGTTTATTTCAAAACTAATCGACATTTGCCTCGTTTCCAGACCGAACCTCTTTATTTACAAGTCTCTCCTATCCAATGGACCCGTTGACAATCTTGAACACGCATTTTCGTTGGCCGAGAACTCATTTGGAGTCGACAGATTATTGGAACCGTCAGGTAACTGTTTGTTTTCTTGTTCTTTCTGAAACAAATGTTTTTAAAGTAATGCGAAACTCTTTTGAGGCGAACACCTCAAATCCTAGGCTAGGTGTCCGCTTTAGCCAGGTGTCCGCCTCGAAGAAACTCTCCTTTTTTCTGTGTGAGGGCAAACGTTCCTGTTGTTATAACCGCCTTCTTTAGCATACATAAGAAAAAAAGCTTCTTTAAAAAACAGTTTTAAGAAGATAAAAAGTAAACTGGAGAAAACGATCAATGAATATAAACTTTACACTAAACAAGTAACTGTGAAAAGGGTCGCCGAAAAGTTTTGGAGACCCTGGGTCAATTTTCCTACCCCTTGTCCCCTTCACGGCGGCCCTGACTGTGAGCAAAGAAAAAATTCTCGAAAACGAACAGCTAGTAATGGCGAAAATAAGAAGGAATACTGTTAACTGTTATGTTTGCTCCAGTGACAGGCAGTTTGCGCCTTGCTTCAAAATGTCAATGTTTCCCAATACGGGTCTTCTTATACAAATTCAACTTTTTCTTTGGGAATCGGTATTTATAGAAACGCACCCCACAAGAATGATTATGAAAAATATGTCAGATCTCTACAGAGCCTTGACAAGAGAAAGCTTTACAGAGCCTTGGCAAGAGAAAGCTTTAAGAAGGTTATTTTTCCAGAGAGGGGCGTCCGCTATCCGCTTTTTAGAGTTGTTCGTTTTATACATGATACTTTTTCTTTATTTCGTACATGATTTGGCAGAGACCTGACAAAAGTTTCCGCCTTATAGAGATGTCCGCCTTAATGGCGTGTCCACACAGGTTTCCCTACACTATTGATGTTCGGGTCCAAAAATCTCCTGTTTCCATGTTACAGATCTTCAAGTTAGTCTAAAAAGGCATCGTCATGGCAGAACAACATCTCATTCCCCCTGCACGTGATGCTCCAGGAAAACATCAATGAAATTGTATTTAAGCCTGTCAGCTATCCTGGCTGTAAGAATAGGATATCTGCCTTGTTGCCTCTGTTATTGAAAATCTTCCTATATTTAAGCAAAATCCATCACTGATATCATCGATGTTACTTTCTAGACTTTCAACGCGAGATGATCGATAGCCGACTTGTCGTTCTTTACATCAGTACCCTGTATGAGAAGTTAAAAGAGCTAGAGCCCAAAAAGGTATTTCCTTTTAGGTCGATTCACAGTTCACAGTTTGCTGAAGTTGAAAAATCGAGATTCTCCACACTTTCGCGTTCCTTGACATATAAGCTGCTTGCGATTCTTTCTTTAATTTTTCATTTGATTTTGTGTCTGTATTTGAAATTTAGGTATTTCCGTACCGGCACGAACCGATACTGGATTGTGTGCTCATTCTTCCGAAATGTTGGAAAATGCATTCATTTTTGTGAATTATTCCAGTTCATCTCATTTGTTTCCATACAAGAGATTTTATCTTGAAATATATGTTTTATTTATATTCGCAGTAGTATTTACCAAGGACCACGAAGCATATTACATATTGAGGGGGCTAAAACGCTTTTTATTTATCCAAATAAAATATTACAATACAAACTACATTATACTATACTTGTTAATTACTCTATGATACTACAGGTGCGATTCCATGGGGAGCAAAGGAAAATGAAAACCCCATGGCCATTACATACAAATACAAACAGACAAACACAAACAAATATAATTGCTATGCGTATTTATAATGAATGTTAAGAAAAAGAAAGAAAAAAAATTTAGAAAACTACAGGTACAAGATGGTACGTTTTAATAACTGAAAATAACAAATAAGTGGGTTGGGCACAAGAGATATTTAATGAAAGTGATCATATTATCATATGAAGCATTCCGTTCTTTTACAAGATTGTAGATTCCAGAATGAATTTATTTACTTCAAGTGACAATTTTTTCACCGTACAAAGAATCTTTAAAAGGACAGGATTTGGAACGTTTGCAAATTCAAATTATTGCAGTGCCGGTGTAATATGCGTTTTGGTACCCTATGCAAAAGTGTAACATTGTGAAACGCAATGTGTTTCAAATCCTGTGATTTCATCGTAGTGCAATGTTATTTGTATTTGTTGCTACCTAGCATCCGAAGGTAGTTTTTAGGACACTGAGAAGCTTATGCTTATCAAGCAGTGTCCTGGTCCTTCCTCTCGATGTGACCACACCTAGTGATTCCTACGCCTGGAATTACAGAAAGCTGGCGACTCTCCACACTCTGGTCGAAAGTTTGGTCATGCCAGGGACTCGAACCACAGACCCTTGGGTCTGTAGTCAGCGCCATTCGTTCGTTTACCAGGACCGTTTTGCATGCTAAATTCCACCATTTGTTTTCGTACCAGAATGTTTAAGTGCTTGGGTACGTTTTTGCATAACCAAAATTATCATGCGTTTGTGTACCCGGACCGTTTTGCATGCTAATTTCCACCATTCGTTTTAGTACCCTTTTGTTTAAATGCTTGGGTACGTTTTTTCATAACCAAAATGGTCATGCGTTTGAGTACCCGGACCGTTTTGCATGCTAATTTCCACCATTCGTTTTGATACCGTATTGTTTAAATGCTTGGGTACGTTTTTGCATAACCAAAATGGTCATGCGTTTGTGTACCCGGACCGAAATGCATAAGGTTCGACAGCAATCTATTCTTGAAGTTGTCAATGGAAGGCGATTCTCTGATTTCAAGATCGAGTTTACTTCATTCATGCAAGCTGTTGTTGAAAAAGCTTGACATATATTTTTCAGTTCTGGCCCTAATTTGTCCAACAACGGGTTGATTGCGAAAAGCACAATTTGGTTGATTCAGCAGTGGAATAGGATCTCTTGTATAATCTGGCATCAGATTGTTGATTATCTTGTAGATCATAAAAAGTCTTCTATTCTATCTTCTCGAGTACAGAGATTCCCACCGTAACTCTTGATACAGCTTTTCACGAGGGGTACCTTCCATGTTCCTGTTACTGCTAATTCTGCAGAATATTGTACCGATTCGAGTTTTTACATTATGATATTTCCGCGGCTATTTGGACTGGTTTCCTTGCATAGAATGTGGTAAATCACATCTCCATAGTCTAGGTGAGATCTCACATAAAGTTTGTAAAGTCTCCCGAAGAAGGTATTTTGAAAGAAACTTCAACATTTCTATTGCTTTTCTCGATATGGCAATAGCTGCATTGATGTGACTAATGAAAGAAAGTCTTGGGTCGAGTGTTAGCCCAAGATTCTTATGCTCGTCCACTTTCATTACTTGGATATTGTTAGAAAATATCGCAGGATGTTCAATTTTGTCTCTCTTTGTTGAGAAAATTATCTCCACAGCTTTGTAGGATCAGGGTTGAAGGACATTCTAAACTTATGTGCTTATAATCGCATACGATCAAGGTCATGGTTCATGTCATCAGCTGCTAGTTTAGGATTGTTTACATTGGTGAAAAGAGAAGTATCGTCAGCAAATAATTCAACAGTACATTCCAGGCCTTCAGTCAAATCATTGATATACATATATATAAGGAACAGTAAAGATCCCAAAATTGAGCCTTGTGGAACGTGGAATATTATTGAGCCTTGATTGAGCCACCACACCTATGAAGTACCGCGCGAAGCGATCACTGAGATTCGTATTGATGGGGATTCCCCTTAAAGTGCCACTGAACTGAAAAAATCAAAATTTTTTTTATTGATGTTCTAAGTCAAGTCGGTGCTCCTGAATCCGATGCTGAAGTTCGCTTTTCGGAATTGTGAAGTGTTTTGAAGCTACAACGCTTCAAAGTTGCGATTTTCAAGACTTTTTGTGCGAAAATTTGTGCGCGGTCTGTGAGGAATTTCAGGAATGTGTGACGCATTAACGTTTATAAGTCGCGGAAGTGATGCGGGCTTCAGTACTGAAGACTGTATTTCGAGTGCGATAAAAAACAAAAAAACGTGAAGTGGATGGAAATAGTGCGATACTTGTGCTCTAAATATCACTAGCTATCTAACTACAAGACATGTGCAAGGTATTTTCTTGTGAAAATTCCGAACCCATATGAAATAAGCAAACTTTTTGCGTGCAGTTTTTACCAAGACTTCATGCCGATCATTTACCTTTTGTGAATTATTGAGCGTGTCAAATAAGAATGCTTTTACGAACAGCTTTACAAATTATGAATAAAAGTGAGCAAACTGATCAAGGGAAAAAGTTGATCTATTATAGAACCACACAAATTGCACATTTTTCGGCGCTTTTCCCACTTTCCAACTTGCGTTGCCACTGTCAAAGCATCAGTTATTGCCAGGGCCGTCAAGATGGGATAAGTTGCCCCAGAACCTCGTGGTCAGGGGACCTCAAAAAGTAAAGAAGTTCATTTTAAATGGAATTGATTAAAAGTCCATAAGTAGCACGGTGGGATATTTTTAAGCGTCTATTCACACCCCATCTTTTTGGCGTATCAAACTGCCTATCTCCATCAAGTTTCATGCTGGTATCACAATCTAATGGTTAAATTGTGACAATTACTGCTAAGAGGTTTGGAATCTAGTATCCAAGTCTATAAATAGCACAAGGGAAATTTTTCGGCGTCTATTCGCATCCTATCCTTTTCAGCGTATCAAACTGCTCATCTCTACAAAGTTCCATGCTGATGTCGCGATCTAAAAGTTAAATTATGACAATCACTCCTTAGAGGTCTGGGACCTGGTACCCCAGTCTATAAATAGCATAAGTGGTATTTTTCAGCGTCTATTCGCTTCCTATCTTTTTTGGCGTATCAATCTGCCTTTTACTACCAAGTTCCAAGCTGGTATCGCGATCTAATGGCTAAATTATGTCAATTACTGCTTAGAGGTCTAGGACCTGGTACCCCAGTCTATAAATAGCACAAGGGGGATTTTTCAGGGTCAATTCATATCCTATCTTTTTCGGCGTATCAAACTGCCTTTTACTACCAAGTTCCATGCTGGTATCGCGATCTAATGGCTAAATTATGTCAATTACTGCTTAGAGGTTTGGAACCTAGTACCCCACTCTATAAATAGCACAAGGGGGATTTTTCAGGGTCAATTCATATTCTATCTTTTTCAGCGTATCAAACTGCGTATTACTACCACGTTCCATGCTAGTTTTGCGATCTAATGGCTAAATTATGTCAATTACTGCTTAGAGGTTTGGAACCTAGTACCCCACTCTATAAATAGCACAAGGGAATATTTGTCAGCGTCTATTCACACCCCATCTTTTTCAGCGTATCAAACTGCCTATCTCTATCAGGTTTCATGCTTGTATCATGTTTTACACAATTTGTAACTTTTTATCTTCTTACAGCCCTCACTATGGCTGAAATGACTATATAAATCTGAATGCGTCACTCGCCCCAGCCTCTTTTCGCACGACCTACTCGCAAAAGAACCCCAGAAACCCCTATTTGTGGGCTCCAAATTAAAAAACTAAACTTTTTTTCGAAATCAGCGATGATTAGTCTACCAGAATCAACAATAAAAAAAATTTCATTTTTTTCAATTCAGTGGCACTTTAACCTAGGAATCTAGATATGCTTAATTCTGGCTCAGTAGAGAAGTAGCAATACTCATCGCTTAACTTTAAACATAGCCTGCAGTCAATGTCAGCAAAGGCAAAGCATCCATCAATTTTTCTAACAAGCTATTAGCTTTCTTGAGCAACTTGATCCGTTTACGTGTCAAATCAAGGCGTATTTTAAATCTTTGGCGACTTTTCTTGCTTTACATACTTGCGTGCGTTGACGCCAAGTTGCAAAGCGAACGATAAACCTTCTGTGATATTGCTATATTGACATCGGTTCTCAACTCAAGTTTCTCTATTCTTTCATTTATTGCGTCAATATCGCTATTTTTTCAGACGCTCTTTTCTCTAAACCCTCGATACGTTGATCGTACTTCTCTATCAAAACAATTTTGGCCTCCAGCATTTCAAAAAATCTTCAATCTCTGTTGATTGATAATATTTTTTAAATCACTGATATCTTCTTTAGTAGCTAAAATAGCCAATTTGCTGTCGAGGATTTCTGAAATGGAATTAAGCATTTGCTAGGTGGATTGCTCTACCGGATCCTTCAACTCCTCGGTAGGGCCTAAGGGCCCTCTAAGCGTTCTTCGGCACGGCCTGCTTGTTTCTTGCTAGACTGCGCTTTTCTCGACAATTTCTCTGCTCGGCGTGTTAACATTTCCACTCAGCCATTCCAAGATCAAAGTTAGACTATGAATATATGACATCCCTATTTGGTTATTAAAGTATTCCAAATGTCCCCACTGCAATTGGAGTAAATAACTCTTTGTGGCACGTCATCACCCCACCATCAACTCCCCCCCCCCCATTAAACGTTTTTTAGAGGGGGCTAAACATGCCAAAAACCAAGAGCAGGGCGATTTTTGTTTGGCTTTAAGTACATTTTGAAAATTATTGGGAGGCTAAAGCCCCCGTAGCCCCCCTTGCTTACGTGGTCCTTGGTATTTACTACACACCTTCAAAAAAGACTTTTAATGTTGTTGATAACTTTATCTTTCATTCCAAGGATGAAACAGTGACACTGGAAGAAATTCAGGAACTGAAGTCCTATATTGGATTGGAAATGGAGTTTTTAAGCGGTTGCGAAGAATTTTTTGCAAACGCGACACTTCTCTCAGATATCAAAGATACTGAACTTCTGGATCAGTACCAAAAATTAATGGTAAGTTAGCAGCAACGGTCTCAACAGGAGACTGGATACGTCATCCTCTATCTTAATACCATCCAGAGACTTGCCTCGAGTGCTGTAACAAGCATAAACCCTTTTAAGATTTGAATGAGGCCATCCTTCGTTGTTTCTATTGGTTTTCTTAGGAACAAAATTTTTGCTAGGCCTTTGATCTGATAATTTTTATGAATGCTTTCTGAGTTTGAAATTTGTTTTTTTTAACCTGATAAACCTGAAGCATTTTTTTCTTGTTATTTTGTTTTAAGAAGATCTGTATTCCGATTCAAAAGCATTGGCAGCTCTTTCTTGCTCGTAGATTTCCAAACTTCAAAGTCCTTATTTGTTCGGTAAAATCATCTATCAGGAGGTGAAAAAGCACCTAAATTCTTCTCAATCTATATCTTCGTCGGCAAACTTTTCTATTGATGACCCTCCACCCCTAGTCTGCAAGGTCAAGCGACGCCACTGAAGGTAATTGAGTTGTTACATTTGAAACAACCAAAAATACGTTTTAAAATTAGCCCCAAACCTCGAATGAAATTTTGAACTCGATTGAAAGTAAATCAACCTTCTGCTGCGGTGGTCTATAAAAACTAGGCCTAAATTTCCTGTCAACCTGTGTCTATCTCGAATAAAAGTTGGCGTGGCAACATTTTTGGGATTGCTGTTTTGGCAGGGGCGTCATTTCATATGTTGGGGGGGGGGGTGGCTGCATATTTGCCCTGGCAAAAGTTGGAAATATTATGAACTGGCCCTCAGTTCCAATAACACTAAAATACCGCTAAGGTCCTTGCTCAATGTATCCCCACGTTCACCGAAATGTTTGCCTAACCTTGGGGAGACGAGCAAGAGAAAGTTTTTTAATGAGTGAGGCAACCCCCCATCCTGGATTCAAAGAGCATGAGCTCATTTTTACAACGCACTTTCGATATACACACTAGCATTCCACAGGATGAAGGTATCAAAGCTTCCCTCTATGACATCAAAAATCATTATGGGGAAATTACCCTGCTGCATATAAAATACAACAGGTGATTTTTATTCTCAAACACAATTATATTACCTTTACACTCTCTTTATATAAAATTTTTTTTATAAAACACGAGCTTCAAAGTTAGTCAAAAGTTGAGAACAAATTAAGAATAAGCAGAGGCTGAGCTACCGTAAAATGTAACTTTGAAAAATGAAAAATGTCTCAAAAACGAGGAGTTTTTTGCCATCTTGGGATGCTTTTTCGGTGAATATTCAAACATGGCGGCAAATGAAGGTGTTCTCACGCACTTGGTTGGCAAATGAGGCCTGGACACCTCCCTAGAATGAAAAGCTAGCAATCGCACTACTTATACCCTATAAATCTAAGAACAAATTAAGAACAATTTAGCCTCAGATTTTCGAAAAAATTAAGAACTACCAGCCTGAACTTCAATTTACTGTCTCTTATAAAGAAGATTGTAATGGTAAATTTTATTAACCTCTTTCTCATCCACAGAAAATAGATTTAAAAACCGTATATAGTTGGCTCCTTTCTTAAATTCACGCTTCTGGTTATGGTCAAAGCAAATTTAGACCCAAATATGCAAAACTATTCCATCCAATTTTGACCCAAAAAACCCCGTTTACAGCGGTGCTTGTCTTTCTAGTATATGGTTTTTAAATAAGACACAAATATCAACCAACGGTGTAACCATAGAAATGGGTGTAACAATTAAGGAAATCAGAAATCTATTCCATCCAGCCCAAGATCACGCTGGCAATTTCTACTTCGTGTCACTGGTAGTCTGTATCATTTTACTTTTTGGGTAAACAAATGACAAGCATAACCTACTTTCTTGTTACAGTTACATAAGAAAAATAACAAAACAGATCCGTTGGTAGAAAACATTGCAAAAATCATTTTTTTTCTCTGCAAAAAGGCCGTACTTTCATGGTTGGGGGGGGGGAGGTTTCGTGAACTATCCCCCTCCCTCCCATAACCCCCTCAAGTGACGCCCCTGTGTTTTTGCACTCGTTTACCTCGAAAGAACGTCAGTGCAGATATACATATGAAGGACTGTAACCTATTTGTTTCTATACATAACAAGAGTCTTGATTTGATTCATACAAAACATGGAAATTCACCTTAATGTACATTTGAAATTTCAGGGCTTCGTTGAGGAGCTTCAGCCGCATCAGTTGAAGGTTGGCGAGCTTGTGAATCAAATAGAATCGCTGATTTCACGCGATTTTATTGCGGAAGAAGAAATTGAACCTCTACAAGAAGAATTAAATTCCTTAAAAGTACTTTGGCAAAAGATTTTCGACCAAACATCCACGCGACAGGAAGGGTGGGTTTAGAATTTCGATGGTGGATTCATTGGTTTTTGTAAGAGCAAAAAGTGACATCCAGTGCTTAACGCTAACAATAGTTTCTTTAAGCTGAACATTTTCTTAACAATCCTCCGCTACTTTCTTCGTGGTTTAAAATGGCAATTGCTTTTAAATAGCATCCAATTAAGGTATCCGGAATGGTAAAATAAACTGTTATAATCTAGTGTAGAGATTGAATTTTAATGATTTTTTACAATGCGCCTTATTTTACGTTTTATGCATTTTCCCCTCTAAATGTCATGCTTTTATCGCGAATGTCATTTGAAATTTTCATTTGGTCATTCATCTATGTTATTCAAAACATAGGCTTATTTTTTTTGCTTTTTTCTTCAGACTTCGCGAAATGCTTCTTGACTACATTGAAGACCCAATCAAAAAAGTTGACGACGAGCTTGTGAAGAACAAAGAGAGGCTTAGGGCATATTCGACATATCCCTCGCAACTGGAGCCAGCGTTCGATCAATATATGAATTTTCAGGTAAAATCTGCCGTCTGATTCATCTTAACATGCGAAGAAAGGATTCAGGACAACGAGGGTGTTTTCTTATTTCGAAAGTCTATGGAATAATCTGTATGATTCCCCTTAACAAGTCAACCCTAAAAACAAAAATATCATCTGCTGCAGGAAGTGCTCCTTTCAACCTACTGCTACATTGAATCAGGTATTTAAAAATGTGTACTGCTGACTAAGTCAGAGCTGCAGAACATAATGGAAGCAAGAAAATGACTGCTCTGTTTCTTTGGTTTACATGTTCCGGTAGTAAGCAAGGCGGTGGTTGCAGGGTATTTGTCGAAGACCGGTCACTTGTTGGAGCCATTCCTCCTAGTTAATAGATTCATTTTAACTTTTAGTCAAAGTAAGGTTTCTTTGTCTTTTCAGGATTACGTTGATGAACTACGTCTTCTTGAATCGAGAATCGAATCGATTAGAACGGGAGAAATGGCTGGCGATTCGCTCGATCTATTATCGGAAGAAGACGCAGAAGTAGTGACGACAAATATTCAAGGGATGATTGAGGCCTTTGTTGACTTGGGAGAGAACGTTGCAGCAGTGAAAAACAGGTACGTACAAATTCACGAATCACAAGCCATTTTTATCTTCACAGCAAAATCTTAGCGTCCCTTATTCCAGAGTATATGTATTAATGAATTGCCTTTTTTAACGCTGTTTTTTGTTACATTGATGATAAATGATAATCTAACTCTGTAGTCCTTTTTGCAGGATTACTGATAACCTATATGAACTGCTCGCGTTGCCCGTTGAAGAAATAAAAAGGGCATTGCAGCGAGGAGAAGATCTTTTAGCAGCTGATGCCAATAATAATGCAATGGAGAGTGGATTACAGGAGAAGGCGCGTGAATATCAGGTACTGTTATGGCGCAGTTTGCTGGTTCGCTTTGCAGCTTTCTTTACAAAAAATCTGCTTAGAGAAGATCCCAGGAATTTAGGCATTTCCAGGCTGTTTCAGGATGTTGCCAAGGATCGAGCAGCTTGTTCTTAGCACCCTTTTTGGCTATACAAACCATAACTATTTCCTTTAACTGTCCCCTGAACTATCTTTTGTAACGAGACATCCCTGTTACCTTGCATAATCGAAAAATACCCTTTCAAAAGACATATTTTAAAAAAAACTTATGTAAGAGTCTCTAACCCTACAGTTCTCATATGCATCTTCAAATAAGACCAAAAACAGTCTGTCTCTTGAAAAAGTAGGATCTCCTTTTTTGGGGAACTTTCTGTAGGATGGAGGTACTTCATATTGATGTTTTTAGTTAAATTCTGAAGAACTATATTTCTCATTATATCTGTCCACTTTAACCAAATTATTTCATTTGTACTTATGATTTCCTTTCCTTTCCTGTATTTCTTTCTAACTTTTCTGTGTTCTGCATGTGTGCACTTTCCTGAGCTCATTTTACTGTAGTTTTGTTAGGTTTGTTTAATGTCTTTGAGCTGCCTGTTAATTCAACAGAAGGAAGTAGCCTTTTCTATTTTCTCTTGACATTTTATGAGATACCCAGTACCTTTGATTCCTTACTTGTATCTTTTCACCTCATTCTCCTAGGATCACCTTTCAGTTATCAGCACAATGAAGCCCGATGCGCAAATAGTTTCTGACATTTCAGAAAAATTAGACGACAGTTTCTTCTCAGAAAAAGACGATTTTCGACAAAGAGTTTCATATCTTGTTGAGGATTGCGATAACCAGATAGACTCACTCAATCAACAAATTCAAAGGTAAGGGATCGGTAATCAAACAGTTAAATTTTTACTCCCAACTTGCGAGGTATTTTCTATGTATATCAATGTTTCCATGTCAAAACTTCTAAATCAAAATTTGCCACGAATGTCTTATTTTAAAGTTATTCTTTAATTTTCAGGTAAAACCTTTTTTAGTTAATTAAAGTCTTACTGTCGCTATATAACGCCCGTAAGAATCAAGCGCTAGAGCGCGGTATTCGAATTGCGCGGTGTTCTTTGATCTCAGAACAGTTTGATTCTACTGTAATGGCTGGTCGGCCTAAATATAAGGAGTCGTATTCAGCAAGACTTACGTTGCTTGTTCAAAGGAAACGAAAGAGCAATATTTTAATTGTCGAGCGCGATGCCATCAAGCCAGAAATGGAGAATATTTACAACGCTTGCTTGATATTTTCGAAGACATTTCTGACAAAGCTATCCAACAAGCCAATGATCATGATAGACCGCCCGAAGATAAAGCGAATGTCTAAAGGACGTCTGTCGAAGGAATGCCAGAAACTGACAGAATGCAAGACATAGAATATGTTCATGTTATTCACAAAATCAGCAGCGAAGTAACGTCTGCTCTCGAAAAGACAGTTTAATTGACATACTTGTTGTGCCTAAACATATGTTCGGGTATACTACTTGTTAATATGTCAAATCAATCAGCTGCAATGTGTTCAGGCATGTTCCAGGCTACGCAAAACAGTTTCCCTTCTATCAAAATTGTTTTTTTTCTTCTTGAATGGGTTTTTTACTCTGTCGGTAATTTGTGTCCAACAAAAAAACGCTTCTAGTGTGTGACCGCCCAGGAAGGTTTCTTGTAACAAATGATCAAAACGAGGCTGTCAGGCAATTTATCACGACAGTAAGACTTTAAAACCTTTATGTTTGATATTAAGATATAATCGATTTTTAAGAGATTGTAGCTAGTGTATCGCAAAACATATAGATAATGCCGAATAGAGGTAACAGCTGCCATATTACTATCATAGTAAAAGTGTAAGCCGTAAAAAATCTTGAAAGAAACAAACGATGCTACGTATCGCACACTTCAGGATTTCATATTTTCTAGCAACAATTAACCAACGATTTTTCATTCAATGTCTGATGTTTCTTGGGCTACTTCCCAGAGACTTCATTGAAAATGTCAGAAGGAAGAGGTGTAAGATTGGCTTAGGCCGGAATGTCATTGAATGTCTTGTCTTTTCGTGCCCCTTATTCAAGTGAACCCTTAGGACTATGTGTCACGTCAAAGCTAAAATAGAAGCCAATCTTCTTATATCATAAATGGTCTGCTTATGGTTTGTCAGTTGGCTGAGATAGAAAACAATTTTTTTCGGCGGATTTTTCTGTTTGCCTCTAGATTAATGTAGTGAGAAAAGGTGGCAGTGGTCGTTATCCTCTTTGCACCAAAGTTATCTATGTTTTCAACAAACAAGATAAGGAGTTGTTTGCAATGAGAAATAGCTCTGCTTCGTCGTTGCTTGTTCAAGGAATTCCATCTTTGATCAAGGAAATTTCCATAATATTTGAAGTGAAAAATCAACGAGTTCAGTTGGTTTTCATGGTGATACGAAACTCCACACAGTAATTCACTTTTAGCTTTAGCATTGTTCTTTGAGCCTTTTGTTTTTTTTCCATGTTTAATCAGAGATTCCTCTCCATTTTCAATGTTTTCTAAAATTTGATAACTTTTACAGGTACCTCTGTAATCAGTCTGATCTGAACATAGACTGATCTGAAATAATTCTCTATTTTTCTGAAACTATTTATGTTTTTATGTGATTAAAAAAATGCAATCCCTCAGGCAAAAATGAATTAGAAAAATCTTCTAGTAACGTGGCACAAAATCATACGAAGGATTTGACAACAGTCACCGACATTTCTTTGTTCTCGTTATCTATTGTTCGTTCCATTTTATTCTGAAGCATAACCTTTTTGTTCTCTTCTGCAGGTATTATTTAGATATAATCTTTTGCTGAACCAACCCTTTGCGCCAGCCAGTCTGTAAGTGAACCAGCCAGCCAGCCATTTTGACGCGTTGCTTAAATGCTTTTACTTTACAAATACATTTTCTTTGTCATATTTCAAATGTTTCAAGGCAATTGCGTGTTTGCTCTGCATCAACAGAAAATGTGGGCCTTTACACTAGGATGTAAACAGAATGTTTTGTGATATGCCCACACTAAAGGCCGTATCCTGAACATCTTACCAAGCCAGTTTGCGCAAGGAAGGAAAATGGAATCAATAAGAAGTAAGTAATGAGTTTTTATCGTGATATATTTATAAATTGTCATCGATGGAAGGGTTTATAGTTGAACCTGTATATGAAGTACTTCGTAAGTAAGATACTGGACGTGTCTCTTCTTCGCTGATCCACTACGCTTCATCGACTTGGAAATACCTCTACTTTGTAGATTTCAAGTGTGGCCTTTATCAATTCTATAGAAAAAGATAATCCTGATTATTATGTTCAATTCGTTGCCATTCGTAGTAGAATTCCACATGAACCACATTCAATTGTGGGCCACATTCGGTAATTTTTTTCTTGTCTACAACCGAATGCCTTTTGATGCCAATTTCTGTAAGCAACTACCAAAGGTTGGTGAATTGGCTTCTTTTGCTGTTTTCATCGAAAGGTTCATACGCGTCTCTTAAGGTAAAGCTGCAATTTTCTACTCAAATACCGTCTTCTGATTCCAAGTATTTGGTAATATAAAACATTCAGCCATTACAGTAGTCGGAGACATTTCTTTCCTCCCAGTAGAATTAATTATGAAATACATTGAGGATACCCCTAGGTTATGTTATGCTGTTATGCTAAACAAATTTCCTAATTGATAATGGAATGAACAGAACTGTTTATATTTATACTTCCATAGCCATGAGTTTCATTTGCCCAGATGCACTTGACAACTGTCTTTGGAAATGCATTTTCTTGCAGAATATATTTTGATAGCCCTGCTTTTTAACATTAGAACGGTTATCAGAAAGCGTACGAAGATAATAGGAGTAGCTAATGAAGAGACTTGGTAGTATTTTGCTTTTCGAGCTACTAACCACCTACATCTAAATTTTATTCTGCAAACCTGATGCTCAGGCCAATTCTTTTAAATGCAATCAAGGCGATGCAAATGTACCAATGAATCTCTATAAAGCATTTCGCCAGTGGTGTTTAGTCTAATAATTTTTGGTAGCTTACTTCAAAGGGTCCTTGAAGTATTTAAAGTGGTTAGAATTTAGTATCAGATTTTCCATTTTGTCTCATTGAAATGATCTATCATTATTTGAAGGTATGGTCGATTTTGTCGAATATGGAGAAGCAGGGGTGTAGTGCTATCAAAATAACAAGGGGTAGAGGCTCTTGCGCAAAACGCTGCTAAAAATGATAGCCAAAGTAGAAATTGGCTAGTTTTCAGCATTAACAACAAGGGGGGCTCAGTCTCCCTCAGCCCCCTTGCCTTACACCCCTGTGGAGAAAGGATGCCTTATGAAGTTTCAGCTTTATTAGCTGAACTGATTATCAACTGCACACCCGCCGTTCTTTAGTTTTAGTGCCCTAGGAAATGAAACTCAAAGAAATGACGACTTCTTGCTAGTGGCTGTATTCTTTTTCTCCTAACCCCCCCCCCCTCATTAGCCTACTGCAGCCTACATTTTTTATCTATACGACTACAGCTATTCACACAGCACAGATTATCCCAGACTTGACCCAAGTGAAATGTAATCATCATTGGGATCGACTTTACCCGGGTTTAACTTGACCCATCCTTAGAGGTGAGTTCGATCTGGGCCGAATCTGTGTTCTTTATGACAAGGGGTCGTGATTAGAAAATGTTTAGTTTAGGCATGGGTGAGCTTTTTATCCGAATGTGTGGTTTATTCCCCTGCTAATTTTCATTAGCAAATGAAAAAACAGTTCCCCTCAATTTAGCTAATCGAAAAAGCAACGTATTTAAATTACCATTTCTTCAGACGCTTTGATGAGCCAGTGTTACCCAAAAACATTCGGGCTCTTCCTAATTGATTGTTGCATTTGGAAAAACAAATTTTTTGAGATCCCAGCATCTTTTCTATGAACGATTTTTAAAAAACTTGGCACGGATATGAAACGAGGCTGATTAATTCTCCAGATTGATGTACTTTGAGCACAGTACTTCGACATTTGGTCCGATCTTGCTATTCTTTTCGCCCACAAGATGGAAAATACAAAACAAGACGGGGGAAGTTTCACGAGTTTATTGATCAATTTAGCAAACAGGCTCCAACCTATAATTTTATTACTCCATCGTGATATTAAGAAACGGGGCCCTTTTCTTCACTCAAAATACACAATTTGTTTTTCTCGGCCTTCCTATAAATTTAGCGGTATTTTCTTTGTGTTGTTGATGGCATAAGCAATACGCATGACAATTCCTTTCAAAAGGGCCTAGAAAGCCGTGCTGTCCAATCCGGGATCGACCCCGTGTAAACATCTGCGAAACTGGTTTCCTCTTATTGTTAACCCTATCAGAATACAATGACGGATTTATCACGCTGTACTTTCTAGATTTTTAATGTCGTCATTAAATGTATTTAAAGATGCATCTGAGATTCGGCTGCATTCCCACCACTCTCAATCAGCTTATTTCTCTTTGTTTCCCCTGTTATCAAGGCTATCTATAACAAAGGTACGAACGAGGTCGCAACTCCCAGCATCATTAATTCGTTTCGCTCTGGTGATTGCGTGTTAAATATTGTGATGCTAGTCCATGTGATGGAAGAATCTGCTCACATTCGCATTGCCATCCAGCTTTGTGACTTATTTTCTTGTGAATATCATCAAAATGGATCATAATGACAATAAAAACCCAGCTTTGGAATTTGTTTTTGAAAGACACGAAGTGTTCAGCTCTTTCAACGAATCTGACAATGTTAAATCAGGTATCAAAAGAAACAATTTCTTTTCAGCTTTTTCCATCAGCATCAAAATATCTTTTAATCCTTTACTTGTTAACTCTATTCACTGACTATGGATAATAAATATAGATATTGAATAAGGAATATATGCAAAGGTAAACATCTAAATTAGATTGTAAACAAACAAGAATCTATTGTTATCAACCTATTTTTGTAGGCTTTCGCGCGATTCCTTTTAGGAACAACTATTATTTTATTTCAGAGTCTCTGAAAAAGATCTGGAACTTTCAACCTGCCTAATTCGAGAATTTTGCTGCAGTTTTAGACAGATTATCGCCTAAAAATTTCAATGACCGCAACGCCCATTGAAATCAATTTAAAGTTATATGAACTTTCCGGTTTCATCATCATCAGGTACCATCTTCTACTAGAAGGTTGGCTACCGTGACCCTTCACCTATCCCAAAATCGGAGTTTTGGTTTGTTGTCATGGTCATAGATAGAACTAAGGGCCTAATAGTAGAGATGGGCCCCCAGAACCACCTCTACAGTGTTTTTAAAGGGACCCCATTCCTCTTTCCAGGAGCTCTTCTGCCCAAAGCCCTCCTTGCCGGTTTCCGGTTTAAAGGCCTGTTTACATGATCCCGATATGCCGGGATATCTCGCTTTGCCAAGATACCACAGCTGCCTATAGAAGCACACACAATTGTCACTTTGCGTTTACATGCGAGTTTTAATCCCGTCCCGTCTTGCCGGTGTCATATGCGTTTCGGTAACCTTATGCATTTCGGTCCGGGTACACAAACGCATGACAATTTTGGTTATGCAAAAACGCACCCAAGCATTTAGACAATAGGGTACCAAAACGAATGGTGGAATTCAGCATGCAAAACGGTCCGGGTACACAAACGCATGACAATTTTGGTTATGCAAAAACGTACCCAAGCTTTAAACAATAGGGTACCAAAACGGATGGTGGAATTTAGCACGCAAAACGGTCCGGGTACACAAACGCATGATATATTGGGTTATGGAAAAATGTACCCAAGCATTAAGACAATAGGATACCAAAACGAATGGTGGAATTTAGCATGTGAACTGACCTGGGTACAGAAATGTTCTGGTTCATATTTTCCAGAATGTAAAGAACAACCGAACTATTTTTAAAAAAGGGGGTGCTAATAAGAGGCGGTGTTGTGATATCCCTTGTTACGTTTATGCAAAAAAAGTTCAACATTAATGGCGACTCCAATGTTTGCTTGATTGAAAAGTGTAAGATTTTAAACTCGAAACGCATTTTGGTCAATTTGTTACTCATAACGTGTCATAACATCGCACTACGATTAAATCATATGATTTGAAACACATTGTGTTTCACAATGTTACACTTTTGCATGCAATGCGCATGCCTTTAACGTGAGAACCATGTCACCCAACGCTTTCTAAGGAGTTTACGAGCAATTTTAAGGCGCATTTTCAGTTTTTAGAGGTTCTTCTTCAAAAGCACATTCAGAGCTGGAGGGTAGACAACAAAATTTTCATATAACTTTTCAATCACATTCAACAAGTTTATGTTACAAATTGTCAGAAACGATAACTGCATCAATATCATGGCAATGACTTTGTCCTTCTTGACCAACAAGCTGTGAGCAGCCATTTTGAAATCTGAATGCGCTAATTTTTCAAAAATAGCACGAAATGTGTTTTCAAAAAGGCGTCAAATTTCATCCCGTCCCGGCAGTGCTTCTCGTGTAAATGCAAATAAAAAACGTCCCAAATAAAAAAACGGGATCATGTACACAGGCCCTAAGATAAGCTGGTTCGGTAGATTGTGCTAAAAACAAACATGAATGTAGCCTTTAGATAAAGGGGACGTAAACAAAACCATTAATTATGCGCCCCACCAGACATCAAATTCAAATGAGAAGAGATGAGAAAGAAAGCCACGATGTTTCCGTGAACGAGTGAGCGTGCAAAGTTACGTCGATTTTGAGGAAGCTTAATTCTTTATCTTCCCTAAGCAATGGAACACACTCATGACACCCAGATCTCAAATTGCCACACCCTTTACTTGGTGTGCAGGGACGTATAGAAACAATATCTTGGGTGTACACTTGCCATACTCTGCAGTATGGGGCCTGCAAAGATGTAGGAATCTAATAGTCGTCTTTAACACCCCTTTATTCGAAAAAATTTGCTTTGCTGTGTAAACGAGATTCTACAACGGAAATTTTTTGGTGGGTGGCGACTAAGCGATTCTTTTTTTGTTGAGTTTGTTAACAGTTCTGTGATATCTGATCGGTCAGTATTTTGAGGTGTGTCTGCTGTGGTAGCCAACCGAATATATTAAACCCCCATCAGTTCAAGAGACTGCTTTTCAGGGAGCCGTATCAAATTTTTCGATATATCAAAGTGAAGGAATTAATTAAAATTATATCGATATTAAATATTGAATAAGAACAATAATATAGTTATACTGTCTATAAAAGACACGAATCCTCTTTACAAAAGACAAAATTTTTGTTACGTCTAATTGTTAAACAGAGGGTTTTCATTATCAGTATTATGCACCGAAAAAATATTGTTTACAATATCAAATCAGTTTTGTCGATTGAGCTGGACCATCAACAGCAGGGAAGCTGGCTGGGGCCTGCACCTCAAACAATTTCGCACTAATGATCTACTATTTCTATAACAAAGTCTTAAATAGGATGAAAGAATAATTTGTTCTCTCCCAAATCCCCCCTTGCCCCATTAATAAAAATATTTTTTCAACAGCCCTGTTAAAAGCCCTTTCAAACCAGCTCTTGGTTTAGAAACATCGGTCCCCTGTCGAGCTTTTAAATGAATAGCATAGTTTCGAAATATTGTGGATTTCCAAGGCGGATAAATTGAAGTTCCAGTGAGTGATTGCATTCTTATCGACACAATGAATGTACATTCTTAACGTAAACCACAAAAATGATTCCTGTTTTACAAAGCGCAGCCTAACACGCCTAAAGTCGAAGCATTCGTGAGCCTTAGCATCTTGTTCGTCTTTTCAGGGTCGTTGAAAATGAAGAAAGTAAAAAAGGCCTTTTCAAGAAAAGGCAAGAAATCAAGGTCCGCCTCTGCCAATGGTTCAGTAGATGGCTCCTCCCCAGGCACACCAACGACACTGGAGAGGACGGAGTCTCAGGCTTCTAACAAAAGTGTTGACTCACTGGCAAGCAGCTCAAGCTAGTATGTTCACTTATCAGCTCTCTATTTCTCTTATTCAAGTTTCTTGGCAACTATATCTTTGCAATCAGAACCCTTTGGCTTTCATTTGTTACAGTTAAGTCTTATTAGGCGTCGCTTTAGAGAATATTTTCGTATATTTTTAATTCTTATATGATTACCTGCGTATTGTTGTCAGGGGCGCCGGAAGCACGGGGGCAGCGGGGGCAGCGGGGGTAGCACTGTGCCCTTGTGAAAATGGCACTGTTATTATGCGAATGGAATAGTGAGATAAAACATTAGTGCGGTTAGGAACAAAATAAAAACAATTAAAACATTGGGGCATTTGTTATGAACTTATGTGCAATAATGATATTTCTTTCGGCAACACTCTCAAATGTAGGGAATTACTGTAGAATAAGGTGAGTAACGAAGGCATCTGGGGTCCTAAGGGAAAACTGAGATGGGACCCCTTTTAACGGACTCTAGTAGAGCATGTCAAACACTAATGCAATACGCAACACTATGCAATACGTTAACTAATCCAAGTTAACTAGTAGAAGCTTCAATGGAAGTAATCTTAAAGCTTTTAAAAATGAGGTGAACTTTAGCAAACTCGTTAGAATTTATAAGAAAGAAGATGCCATACCAATAGAGAAGGTAACGAAGATGGAAAACCTTTGATCAATCATAACTTCAATTTAATGCCATAAAGAATGTCTGCCAGAGCCCACAAGTCATTGCAATTGTACTTTTAGCAGTGATGATGAACACTTTTATAATTTGATGATGAACACTTTTATAATGTCACAATTCAGCTACTGCCCATTAATCTGGATGTTCCATGACAAAAATATTAATAACAAGATAAACAGGATACAGGAAAGGGCCCTTCGAATCGCATACAAAGACAACACTTCTCTTAATGAGAAATTGTTAGAAAATGATATTTCGGTATCTATGCATCAGAAGAACCTACAGTTGCTCATGGTTGAAATTTACAAAACAAGCAATCACTTGACTCCCTCGTTTATGATGGAAATTTTTGAGGAAAAGGCAATGCCGTATCAACTAAGAAGCTCGAGCAATTCAAACTTACCAAAAGTGAGAACCACATGCTATGGTACAGACACCGTAAGGTTCATGGGTCAAAGAGTGTGGGCAAAATTACCTATAGAAGTGAAAACTTCAGTCTATTTGACTGTTTTTAAAAAACATCTTAAGAAAGCAAAATGCAAACATTGGAACTGTAGGATTTGCAAAACTTTTATATATGGTTTAGGATTTTTGTAATTATTATGTATTTTCTTTGTATGCACCTTTTGTAAATAGTTGGCCTTAATTACCTTTTATTTTTAGCTATTTCGAACAGCCAACTTTAAATCAAAGTATTAATGGAAACTTTTCATTTTGAATTCCTGTTAAAACTACAATTACAAATCTCACTATTACAAGGTAATTTGTAACTGGCTAGCCTGTGTTTACAAAATAGAAACTATTAATAATAATAATAATAATAATAATAATTAACACAATGCAGCATGATACGACACAACAGCCAACAGCTCACGGGGCTAGGGGGGATTGACTAAGCCTAATTTTTAAGGGAGACGTGTCATTTTGGTTGAAAAGTTTTGACCCATAATTCCGTACATGTCTGAAAAATGTGAACCATAATTCCGCAGTCATGATGAAAACTATACTCATAATTCCCCAAAGCATATAACATTTTAAAGCACAATAAAATCATCAACCAAATTTTGAATGTTCCTTGCCAAAAATCTCAATATAACACATATTTCATACTTTTATTTCTAACTGGACATTCATTTTGCTAATGCTCAATCTCCCTCCTAATAATTTTGTAACATTCTTCGAAAATGGTACCCCTTGTTCTGCACATATTTCAAAACCTGATACCGATAATTCCGCATTTTTCAGAAAAAGGTACCCCTAAAACATTGCACGTCCCCTACCTTCAAACAGGTTAAGGTACACCCCTTCTCAACCAAGCAAAACCTAAACAACAGAATGGGAAGTTTTAGACTGGCCTTTTAGATTAAACCTTTTATCGGTACCAAAGTACTATGTTTTATCATTTTTTGTTATAATTCTAATAGTAGTCATTGAAAATGTGCCATTTTTGAGTAGCTGCCCCGGCGAATGCTTCCGGCGCCCCTGATTGTTGTGCAAAGATAAAGTAGATGAATGCCTATAGAGGTAGCACTAAATGCCTTTTCCGTAAAGGCCTTTTCCGTTGGATTACCAATACCAATGTATACATCTTTTCGATAGCCGCGCGCTTAATTTGCATAAAGAGACTGGGGCGAGAAATTGGGAAAAAAAGTTGCCACAGGCCTATGTTTACACATAGGTACGGCGTTTACTGGCGAATAAATATTGCCCGAATTGGCATCAAAAGTATCCGGAATTTCGCTCTTAAACATGCATCCCAAATATGCAATCTTTGCAAATACTTCATGAATGTCGTTAATCTGTTTTCTCCAAGTCTTTGCAGGCAGTTTCTAAAAAAGATGGCGCAATTTCCATTGACCATATTTGAAACCGGCCTAACCCTGCGTAGCCTCTGAGAGCACGACATCTGACAGAAGCTTTTAAAAAAGTTATTTTAAAAAAGTTAAAGTTATTTATTAAAGAAGATGTTTAGGAATCAAATCCACAAAATTTCGAATACATTTGATGTAAATTCGTGCTGTGATTAGTTGCTAGTAAGCGCCGTATCTATACGTAAACAAAGGCCCGTGACAATTTTTCACCCCTATCTCTCACCCCAGTCTCTTCATGCAAATTAATCGCGCGGATATCGAAAAGATGCATATCGTTAGTTGAATTGATTCTCATTGTCAGATGTTTACAGCAAAGGCTCTGCCTTTCTTTTCATTGTACGATGAATTCATTCAGCAGATTTATTGTAAATGACAGTTCTCGTGTAAATCCCTGTGATCTGTGTATGTGTGTGGGGGGGGGAGTGGTAGCAGGTTTATATGCTAGAAGAAAGGAAACTGTGTCTTGAACTGTCAGGGGGTGGAATGTCGTGCCAAACAGGGAACCAAAATTTCAGCTTTCAAAAGACGTGGAGAAACATAAAGTTGCCTGCGTCATTCGATTTTCGAAAGAGAATTTGAAAGAGGAAATTTTTTCGCCTGGAATTCTAAGAATTTTTTAATTAGCCAGTCGAAGATTTGAAGTTTGCTAATGGATTACTGTATCTTGGTTTGACAAACTACATAGGTTTGATTGGAAAGAGCTTGTGCTCTTTTGCTGTCGTATCTAAACAAAATTTGAAACTTATATCTGATTTTGCACATTTAGAGGTATTTCATGATAGTCTTTCAGGTTATGAGATCCAAATTGAAAATTTCTTAAATATATTATTGTGACGTCATCACTTAAAAGGACACTGGGAAATACCGATTAAGGCTTGTATCCTCAATTTCTCATCTGAGAGGCGGGAAAATAGGGTATCGGGAGTCTTGAGGGCCATCCAGAGGGGGCCGGGATGTATAGGGACGGGGCAGGGGACAAATTGCCTTAGGGCTCCAGGGTTTAGGGGGCTCTCAATGCAATAAATTCCATGTAACAATGAAATTAATAAAGCGTAAGAAACGTTGGATAATTGACAAACGTTTAACTTGCCGAGAGCACAATAAGATATTATCTTATCGGGAAGGTCGTGGGCCTGAGACCCCTTCCCCCTAAAAAAACCTATCGTGGGCCTGAGTCCCCTCCATCCAAAAAAGCCTAAATTTCCACCACTGAAACGTTGGCAAATGTAACAAGAACAAATTTCGCCTGGGCACTCAAACTCAGCACGGGCTGTACAGGTGCTATTTCCAATTGTTCTGAAATCCGCCCAAATTAATCCATTAGCCCATATGAGTGAATCTTCTGCTGAGAGATCATTTTTTGTCCAAGGTAGATTGATGTAATGTCTCAGGAACAGACAACCAATTTTTAAGTTTGCCAGTGTCAATCTTATAATGACAGAGGGTTAACATGTGTCAAGTGCAATTTGCCGTTTTACCAACGTAGACCTTAATCAACGTTTTTTTTCATCCATTGTATGTTTCTGTAACGTTTTAAAACCTCCTTCAGCATCTATCTTCCTCCAAGTCAATTTCAACTGCACAAACTTGCCAGCTCTTTCCTTCTTCACCCGCGTCTCCATCTTCCAATTTGCTTGCTCCTTGTTAACAGGCTTGATCGATTTCTTGCAGTGCCAGTTCAGTTCAACAGAGAGAGTATCGGCAGTCGAGGATACTTGAAGAGTGGATGAGCAAGTTTGGGTATAGCTTAACTTGCTTAGAACTAGCCAATCAGAGCATGCAGTTATTCATCAATCAAGGCTCAAAGGGGCGAACAAATGAAGAGGTCTGTGCATGAAGTCACCTTCACAACATTGCTTGAGTTCATTTAGCAATTTTTGGGTCCATTTTGCAGCACGCTCTTTTGCTAACTATCACTGGCACCCATAAACACCACAAGGAATCGTAAAAAGGAATTCATCGACAAAAAATGAAAAATAGGCCAATCAAATCTACTTAAACTTTTAACTTTAACGCCAAAACCGAGCATCCTTTTAAGGCAGTTTGCCCAAACATGCAAAAAAATACAGTAAATTTGTAACTACAAAATTTAAAAATGGGAGAACCCTCAGCAAGATAACTTTCTAACACTCAACAAGATAACACTCAACTTTATAAGATAAAGATAAAATGATATCTTATTTTGGTAAAATACATTATTGTTCAAAACCAAATCAAGTTTTATGTCTTTATGTCAGAAGAGAATGCATTTTTGGGAAACCCTTAATTGAATCAATAGGTAAAAATGTCCAAGAACCTATTAATTGTAAGCTGTTTTTCTTTGTGTGCAAAAAGACACCTGATTTTTGAAGTTACCCAGGCCATTCTGTGAATGAAATAGGTAGACAACTGGCCTTGTTAGTTGAAAATGGTCTTTTATTTGCAACAAGTTGTAAGCAATGTAAGCTTAACCACTCGCTGTTTACATTCACTTTTTAATTAATTTACATTCACTAGTATTTCATTAACGTCAAAGACTTTTCAAGCCTCTCTTCATAAACTGGGAGTCTCCATATCAAACCAGTCAAAAAATGGCATAAAGACGAGGCTGCAATGTTGTTAAACAGTAAATCAGGCCTTTTTAGTTAAAAGGCGAGATAACAATGTATATTTGCCGCTTCTTTTTATTCGCTTCCTAAAAGGAGGGGCACATGTGTTTTTACGCCCATTGGGACTGTTAATGTTGCGTTGCTAGTTTAGCTTTGTTAAACCGAGTTTGTGTTATTAAGATGAAAGGAAGCGAATGATAATAATAGAACCTTTCTCTAGAAGACCCGTGCTATCGTTCTGCAAAAGCTTTGTATATCTGATAACAACAGAAACAATGTACAATAAATTTCTTTCATATACTATATGTTTGGTACCGCTTCACCAAAATCTACTCAGAAATTAAAAAGATTGACACTTATTTATAAAACCGGCGACTTTTGGTACATCTGTACTTTGCTATTTTATGCTATGTACACATTTATTTACGAACCCATGTGTCACAAAAAGGAGAAAACAGAATGTACAAATTTAGCATTATGTAGGTAGACCAGCGGCGTATTAACGGACTAGTTCATTTAATTTCAATTTCCTTACAGTGAACGTGTAAGAAGTAGCTAAATTTCAGCTGATTGATACCTTCTTAAATAAAAGTGAACAGAAAAAGTCATTATAAATTGCTAATTTTTATGATAAAATTAACCATAGATAAAACTGTATATTTAGTTATAATATTTATAATACGTGTTTACAGGACAGTTAACAATTTATTACAAGTAATAGCAATTTATTTCTTAAAAAATTATCAAAAGTAACGAAGATCAATTAAAGAACACAACCTGCACTACATCAGTCCTGCATGGGCAGATACATTCATCACCTCTCCACTCTTTTAATACGTTATAAAAACGGTAATATTCAGGGACTGTTTGATGTCATTTGAGAATCCGTGCCACATCCAAGGAAAGCAAAACTTTCTGTCCCAAACCAGTGTCGGGGCTAGTGCAACTACTAAGTGCTCCCTAGTCTTAGGGCCCAAAGAAGTTCCCAAAAAAGGATTTGGTAAAAGTAAAAATCTTCTTGTAAAAGAAATGAAAACAGAGATGTACAATATTTTAGAAAAAGTAGCTTTCTGGCCATTCTATGCGGCTTCTTGGTGTTGTGGATTTGTTTGCCAGTTGCCACAAAAACGAACCCTCCGCTTTGTAGCCAACTTTTATCTTTTAATGGACTTTGATTTCTGTTTAGGGCGTCTCAGATTGTTAACAGTGAAACAAATTACCCTGTCTACCCACTCTTTTATCAACCCATTCTTCAAAATTTATACTACGAAAGTGCCCAGTGAATTTGAAGGGCCACTCAATGCTCCCGCTACATGCTATTGAACTTGGCTTTGTAATTCATTTATTTGTCTATCTTTGAATGTTTTATTGGCCACCTTTAGCAAAAGCCAAACATGATTTTGCATTTTGTTGTGCTGCAAAATGATTTAACAATTTCTCGTTCAAACCAGTAACAATGTGATAACCAAAAATCATATTCTTGATAATCTTAGATAACTGTTTTCGTATTAAACACGATTGGGGGCATTTGAAAAGCTAACGATTTACTCGATTAACTCACTTTTTAAGCGAAGTGTCTTGGTAGTTACAACTTCCATTTGTTTATTAGATTGAAGACATCGATGAAGAATTTAGTCGTTGGGAAGACACAGTGCAAAATACTCTAGATTTTGCAGACCTTTTGATGGAAGATGCATTTATAGATACAGATGCCAAGAAATTGATAAAAAACGACGTGGATAGCTTGACGGAGAGATGGAAAGAAATAAAAAGTTTGAGATTTTCAACGCAAATCACGAGGTACTTTTGAAGCATATGGTTAATTTTGATGAGCTTCAAAATTGGGCTCTGTTTCTTTGTTTTTAAAGATGATGGCCGAAGCCCAGCTTCTGAAAAAGGATTTAAAGCTACACGCAATAATGAAAAAGCGGGTTGTGAAAGGCCGAAAATGGTTTCCATAAAATCTGATATTGCGTAATCATATTCTTACGAACTAAAGAAATGTTCAAAATTTTTGACAATACTACAGACATAAAACTTTCCGAAATGTCGTTTCTTTTTCAGAATACAAAAATTAACTGGAAAGGTGATTTATTTGCGTTCGTTTGTTGACCTCATTTGTCTGAAAATACTCTTCGAATATTCAATCACCTCGTTTAAGTACTTTTTAGATTTCTTTTGATCTTTTGTGCAATTTGACTTTTATTTCTGATCACGACAAACAGCACCTTTTGTGAATTTTTTTCACTGTTTTAGATTCGTAAAAGTCTTCATGTTTAGTCATGTACGCTTGGCAGGTAGATTTGTTAGTTAGACCAGTCGACATGTAGATAGATGCACTGTTCCCAGCACGTCCATCGTGAAGGTCGATTTTGTCGCCATAGAAGAGGTTAGTTCTTCAATGATTCAACAGCTCTAAAAAGTATCTACCCCTAGCCCCCCCCCCTCCACCCCCACCCAGAAAAAGCTATTGAACTGAATGATAATGTTTCACAACCTTTAGATCTATTTTCAATCATCTCTCGCACCCATCACTGTTACCACGATTTTATATGATTCTCAAAATGTTTTCTATTTAGTTTTTTGATAGCTTTGTTAATCGTCAAGGAATTTCCTCTACCCCGCAATCTCTCACAATGATATATTTATGCCTTCATATTTTCAGAAGAGGTAAGTAACTTCTTCCTGTTTTTCCTTCAGAGTTTTTGCGCATTGGCGGGCTGGTTGGCTGACAGGCATGGCTGGCTTATTGATTTTAAATTTTCTTAACCATTTTCTGCTTTCTGTAAAGTTCTTTCTTTGAACCCTGCAGGTTTTTTATGTTTGTTTTAAAAACGAGAAACGTTTGATTCATAACGGAATTGATTTTGTTAGCAGTTTGGTTTTTCGCTATTTAATTTTGAAAGACCAAAACCTCTAATGCTGATTTTTATTGATTTAATCTCATTACTTCAAGTTATCTTAATACTTTTCTAACAATTTATTGTAATACGTGATACAAGTTGTTTGATTAAGATTAAGCGTTATTGCTAATAGTCCTTGGGCTGTGTTTGTATTCAAATTAAGATTACAAACAGTCTATTAGGTAGCTGGCCCAATTGCTTGCCACCAATTCTTTTAGAATATCATAACAACGAACACGTTTCGAATGCGGCCGGCCCCACAACAAAAGCCCCCAGGGGCCCGCTTGATTGTCATTGACTCATTGGCGAGCAAACATGGCAGGGCAACAGAAAGAGAAGGGCAGGTGTCGCTGTTTCACCTGAAATCGCAAGCCCTTTGTTTGTTGAAAAGATAAATCCCATTGTTGATTATTCACAACAATAGCGGTTAACAATGCGTGGCACGCGCGCGAAATTTGAACAGATCAGACATTGCTTAAATTCAATTGAGAAACGATTTTGCTTCATTCCATCGTAGCATTGACGGGCAAATTAGAAGCAGAGGAACATTGGACAATTGGAAAAGCGAAGTAGCTGCAGTCATGGTCTGGATAAAAGAAGCAGAACATGATCTTGATAAAATTGACGATCTTGAAAGTAGTTTGGTTATGTTGGAGGAAGCCGCATCAAAAATGGAGGTAATTACCTAACACATTTATTTATTTTGATGGTCCAATTTTTGTGCATGGCATAAATGAATAAAAAATCCATAGCTGAATGAAAATGATTTTCTTTGATTTCAAATGTATTTGATTTCAAATACTTGATTTTAGTGTGATGAATTCCGGAAAATATTTTCAGATAAGATGGGTTTACGTAACTGGCAAATAAGAACTAAGTTTTGACAAATACTGAATAATATTCAATGATCGTGTTATTTCGATTCCTGACCGCAATGCTAAAAGTGATTACAGTAAGGAATGGTGTGATAAAGTGAAAATCAGCTGATTTCTGTGGAACAACATGAGCGAGTTTTGCAAAAAGCGAAACCGTTGGCAATATTTGATCCGCTTTTATACTTCAATAATCCTTACTCGTGGCGCACGTGCCAGTTTCCTATTTGTGAACCACTAGACACGCGACCATTGTTTGATCACAAAGCCTATCTTTGGTATTAACAGAAAACTTCAATGTTTGAAAAATTACGTGTTTATCTGTGGTTTCTTTATTGATCTTGGGTAATACATATGGTGACCTGTATGCCCAAACTTTTATCAAAATGTTGACCTTCCCCTTTTCTGCTTAATCCATTTGAGGTCCGTGTTTCTTCATTGGCCCGAGGTCAAGGGAGCATTATGGGAAATTAGCTACCAATGCATTTTGTGAAATTATTAAAGTTTAGCTGTTTTAAAACATTTTCCTCTGTGCCTGAGAGCCTTCTGCTGACCGAGAACCGAAATAATTGGAATTGATTGTCTTGATCGCCTAGTTTGTGTGGATCTGTAATAATTGCCAGGTGTATAAAGTTTATCGGTAAATGGCTCAATGGTTGTAGTTGATACATATTGATCATTTTCAGTCGTTACATGCTGAAATAAGCAATTATCAAGACAAGATCAACAGCGTCGTGAAAGCAGGCAGCAAGATAGTCAAGGAGGAGGAAGTCAGCAGTGATGCTGCTCCATCGATTCGTAGCGACATTAGGTCTTTGGAATCGACTTGGGAATTGCTGCGAGAGAAGTGCACAGCTGTTCAGTTGAGGTACTTTTTATTTTCTCTCTCCTTTCCATTTTACCTTATTCATTTTGCGTATTCCTTTTACATTCTATTTTCTTCTTCTGCAAATTATTTAGCCCCTCTGAAATCTTCTCAAATGGCTATTTTACCAACATTTCAATGCTGCAAAATTTATGCGTGAATTAATTTTATATGTGATTTATTTCTGCCACAGTATTCGGGAGAAGGTCATGTTAAGACAAGTACAAGAGAAAGAGTTCATGGCAGAATGGAATGAGACAGAGAATAAGATTGAATCATGGCTCACTAGTGCTGAAAGCGAGGCAGAACCATTTGACCATGCATGCGATGATATAACTAGTCTGGAAAGTCAAGTTTCTGAACATCAGGTAATTGTGAATTAAACCAATCCTAGAATATTAGCAATGCATCTTTGGTACTTGTTATAAGTAATACAAGCTAGTTTTTTGGCTTTGACGATATTCTCACCAGAAAAATTCATTCACTTTTTGCTTTGAACATGATTTTGGCTTTGATGAACATTTTTCAACAGCTTGTGTAATTTCAACCGATTATTTTGGTTTTTGAAGGAGTTGGTTTACCGACTGGCGACAGAAGAGAAGACAGTCAACGATTTACTTGATGTGGGAGAAAATCTTGCGGGCCAGAAATTACGACTTAGTGAGAACAAATTGAGGGTGAAAGGCGATTTGAAGTCGTTGAAAAAGAGGAAAACAAAATTGAATGCGAAGTTGGTTGGACAACAGGAAAGGTTAATACTTGATTTCAATTTTTGAAAGTAATTCTATCTCGTTGTTGGCTGTATCAAAAATTAATTTCTTCTTGCCAGTGAGACTTTTAAAGAAATCGAAACTCGTGCTAGTTTTAACTTATTATTCTGCGATTCCAGCTTGACAAGTTTCCTTGATCATTTGACAAGAATCGAAACAGAGATTTTTGACCAATGGGTACATCATTGTAAAGAAGTGGAAAGTATCATACTTGACCTTGGCAAAACGGAGAGCGAAGAGAGTATCGACACTGTAGACGGTGCAAAAGATTACATGAAGGCAGAAGAGGTGGGTTTAATTCTAATGTGTAAGAAAGAAGAACCTTTAATTCTAATGTCTTTACACCTTGCTGTAATTAATGATTTTGCGAAGAATGAGTCCTGCCCATTTGCTTTGCAGCTTTACCGAATGATGTTTTGTCAGTACTCTATAGCTTAAAAATAGTTTTTAAATAGGTCTTCAAAATTCTCTCGTCATGCCAAATGCTCTATAACTTGTGTGTCACATCCTCTTCTTCGACTTTTTTTTGAATGATTACTGGAGGCTTTAGCAATTGCTCGTCTTTAATGTTGTCATCTGTTTGTTTTAGGACCTGCTTGGGGAGATCAGGGATGTGAAACCTAAAGTAGATGGGGTTTTAACAGAGGGAGACGATTTGCTGTCGAATGGACAATTGGGAAAGCTCAGAACGCAGGGTATAAAAACAGCAATGAAATCACTGAAAGACCTTTATGGTAAAAAGGAACATAGCGCCCATGAAAGGCTCAGAGAGTGAGTTGTTCTATATATATTTGCTACATCTCTTTGGTTTTAGGCATATTTAATCCATTCTTTTATAAAGGAGATGCCGTTTTCTAACAATTAAAATTGTGTGTCTAGGATTGAAGAGGAACTGAAAAATATGCAACAGCAACAACACGAGCAAGTGACCACCTGGCTGAGCAAATGTGAGACGTTTGACCTGTGGATCGACAGTGAATTGAAGGATCTGGATAGCTATTTGCAATTCGGAGATGAAGAGCCTCCCCTCGAAAAAGTTCTTTCTGAAGAGCAGGGAATACGGGTACGTAAATATTCATGTTTGTTTGCTTTAACAAAGAGGCACTAAAGAAGATTGTTTGAAGCTGTCATTGGAGTCTGTCATAGGCGTCAAAATCGAAATCTTGAATGAATCATGTTTTGGCATTGTTTTCAGGGATTTCTACAGCTCTGAATGTAAAAAAATTGAATATTGTTAAGAAAGGATTTATAAACTGCCATAATTCGTCTTTGTTTGTTGAAATTATTTATTTTTTCGAATTGCACTGTTTTCTTTTCATTGTTATGAAATGACTTTTTGTACATGCAGGATATAAAAGCGAACTCAGATTCGCGAACCAGCATTCTGGAGGCACTCATTAAAGAAGGCGCAACCTTGAAAGAGAACAAAAATGTAGAAAAGGACCTTCCAGAGGAGTTCTCTCGTGTTCTTGAGTTGATGGTTAGCATTCAGTACAAATGGCAAGTTTTGAACAAAAATGTTGTCGAGAAAACGAAATTGTAAGTCATCCGTCAATTTCCATTTGATCAAATGCATGTAATTTTTCCGTGTTTAGCAAGATTTAAAAGCACCAATCACTCATCAATATAGAAATTAATAGACAAATTATCCGATTTCAGCTGGTGTGCGGAACTTTTAAAGCATTTTGTCACTATTAATGCAGTCCTATCAATAGGCATAGAATTAACAAGTAAAATTATTCTCAGGTTCTTTAATTTAAAGCAAAATTTTTTGTCCAGTAATCTTTATGTTTGTTCTTCAGTTGCTTGTAAGTAAACTCACGATTAGGGTCTAAAGTTGTGGTGTATTGTTTTGTCTTACCTCGATTTGTTATTTGAGCAGGACATAAATTTTGGCTGGATAGTTGCCAAGCAAAAGGTATGAGACGAAGTCAGTGCTTGTAGACGCAGTCAAGCTGCATCAATGTTTAGGCGTTCTGTACATAGTTTTGTGGAATTTTTTATGTTTTGGTGGAATTTTTTATGTTTTGGTGCTGTTTGTCGATAGGTTTGCCACTTACGTAATGCTTTAAGACACTTATTATTTAAAATCTATTGATCTTTTTCACAGGGTTTTAGGCATTCTATCTGAAATGCAAGGCCAGTTGTTGTCAGTTTGCATCGATCAAATTGATAACATTGAAAACGTGATCAACGGCCTAAATCCAATCTCTGACGGTTTCGATACACTTGCTAAAGATGCCGAAGAGCTCTCAGTATGTGGCTTTCTGAATATTCTATTCTACCTTATGATTTGTCTATTAATTTCATCTGCTTTTGATTAATGTCTTTTGAAACGGTAGCCTGCTGTGTAATTTCTACCATTTAATGAGGCTACAATTAATCATCGATTCTTGTTTACAGTTGAAACTGTATGTCAATTCTCGTAACGTTTGATTTATTTCGTACAGGAACTGTTTATGATGATCGGTCAAACGAGAGCCAACATTGCAAGATTTGATAAGTACGCAAATGACCTTCAAACATCAGAAGAGCTCCCGAACACCGCCAAATTTGAAGTTCGTGAAACAAATGAGATGCTCCATTCACGCATTGTGTCCGTTTCAACGAAAGCAGACAAGAGAAAATTAACGTGAGTCTTTTGGGATGCATCTTAAGGTGGCTCCTTTTTCGATTCTTTGTTGCATCATTTGAAGAGGAATTCGTTATTTTGTTCATTAGAGAAATCTTTTCTTTTTAATTATCAGGTGTAATATTTTCATTTTCAGATTGCACGAGAAGGTCATCGACGTTCTGACAGAATCACTTGTTGCTTTGCATGATACGACTTCCAGCTTAGAGCAGAAATGTGACGACTTGGCCATCCCCGACAACTTAGAGACAGTTGACTTGGTTGAGCGACACGCAACCCTTGAGGTATTGTCTCTTCGAAACGTTTTATTGATTTACTGATTGGAACTTCACCTGGTGAACAACCTGTCAGAGTTATGTCATGAGCAATTGTTTTGAGCTTCTTCTAGAATGCTACTATATCTCTCTTGCCATTTTGATTTAACGGCATCAAACCATCGATGTTGAGTAATTTGTTTTCTTTTTGTGCTAGCCGATAAAAATGTTAACCATTTCATACTTTTTAAATACTTTCTCAATTTGCAAAGGAGTATACATTTATTATGCTGTGTTGGAAAGGCAATTCACCTAGATACTGAAATCAATGCTCTCCTTTAGGACATTTTGAATCGCTTGATTGCTTGCGATGTGAGTTTGAAAGACATCGAACATTTGGGACAGGTGGCTGACAACTGTATGGTGCTGGAAACGGGCGAACCTGAGGACATAACAAAGGAAATAGAAACTAGAAAGCTGTTTATTGACCATGTTCAGCGATTGGCTAGAGAAAAGAGGTCTCGGATCTACGGCCTAATGGTTTACACTTTTAAGAGACGTGTAGGAGAACTGGATAAATTGTTGGGAAACATCGAAGAAGGACTGACAGACAATTCCTCAACGACCATAATGATTCCAAATGCTTTGGAGTATATGCGGGAAAATGAGGTAATTTGATTCCTATTTAAATTGTACAATTTCAAAAATTGTCAGTCAACTATTGCACAAAAAAAGGATAGTGTTGTATTTAGCCGTTTGTCAAACAATATGCATTCTCAATTTGAATTTTCAATTCGCATTTCTAGTTTAGATAAAACTATGCGCACTAAGGGGGGGGGCGTCATTTCCAGTTTTTGTGTACGTTTTTACATTAATCTTTATTACTTTCTTTTCCTTTCTCTCTGTCGTCAATTGATAAACTTTGTTTCTTTAAGGCTTCGTTGCAAGAACTTGATGATATACAAAAAGAAGGAGAAGAAGTCACCTTGCAAGTTACCGAGCTCATTGAATCCAGTGCAGTATCAGAGCAAGACAAGATAGAGTTGCAAGAGCGAAGCAGGAACTTCGTAGACCATTTGTCTGAGGTCTTGACGTCACTCAAAATCGAAAACAACAAGTAAGCTGCTTTGCAGTTCAACTATCTTAAAGTGTTACATCTCTTTCATGTACTTGGTTAATAGTTAGATATGAATTATTTTTTTAGTATTTACAAGGTATTATTCTGTGCTTTATATAGAATTTTTTGTTTATTTTATTAGCTCATTGTATATAATTTCAACTTCCTTTTCTTCTTTGATTTGAATCATATTCGTCTTTTTCAGTTTAAAACAAGCTTTCTCTTCGGCCGTAAAGGAGAAATTGTTAGAACTGAGAGAATGGTTGGATATGATGCAAAAACGAAGGGAGAGTGATGATCAAGTTGGACCTGATAGTATGGCGATCAAAAAACAAATGACAGAGATGAGTGTGAGTACAGTTTAATTTTTCCCTTTTTCCCTTGCATTCCTTTATGTCAGAAATGAGTAAAATTTAAATTTATCTTTCGCATTTCCTCATGCTCTTCCAATGCTGCCTTACGTATGCTCGAAAGCGATGCAAATAGGCAAGGGCAAATGAACATCACGCCAAACTTCGTTATAATTTTGCAAAAGTTGTTGTTTAGCCAACAATTCTATTCGGTGAATTAAAAGTCAAACCTATTATAATAGTAAAAAATAACGGCAGTTTCTTTTGCTAATGATTCATGAGACAATATATTTGTTTTAATATGGCAGGTCGTAGAAGACCAGCTCAAAGGGAAGAGGCTGGCACAAGACATCCACCACGATGACAGCCTGGCTACTATGTGCCTCGATACCGATACCTTGGCAAAACTAGCAGAGGCAGATCTTGACTGGCAGCACTTGTCAGAATGGGTTGTGCACAGGAAAAAGGTTTTACATGCTGCACAAGAGGCCTGGGAACATTTCCGCCAAGTCGAGGTTGACCTCCTTGACTATTTGAGAGACAAAGAAAGGCAAATCAAAAACTGGGAGCCAATAAACTTGGAGGACGAAGAGGCCGTTGCAGAAAGATTGGCCGTTTTAAAGGTTAGAATGATGTAAATTATCGATGTTCCATTTCTTTGGAAGTATGCAATTTTGAATCTATGCTTTAACGCATGTTGGAGTTTCTAAATATTGAAGTTGTTGGTTTTTACTAGGAAATGCTATCTGGTATGGAAAATCGAAAAGATGATGTGCAAAATATGCACAAGGCAGCAGACGATGTTATCGATTTCATTGGTGAAGAGACGGCGATGACGAATAGTATCAAGTCTCAAGTTGCAGACATTCATGATTGCTGGAACAACACTGTTCGTCAGGTGATCGAGGCTATAAGCAAGGTGAGGCAGAATTTCTAAAGTTCTGTGTGTTATATCATCAATTTGTTATAACTGCAACAAGCTCAGTGTGTGCGTGGATCATTTAAATGCTTTTATCATTTACAAATATGTTTGCTCCACTTTTATACAATCACACATTCTAATTTACATGTTTAAAATCAAATATGTAATTGCTTTTTTGAAACATTTCTCCAATCAAGCAATATTTTCCAGATGTAACTACGTTTAAAATTGTGACGATTTGAGGGTATTAATCGAAGTTTTAACTGTTTTAGTTGAATTTTGCAAAAGAAAAGCTTCAAAATCTGGAAGATGGAATAAATGAAGTACGGTTGTGGTTAGATGATGCGAGATCCATTTTGAAGTTTTATACTCCTGATATTCCCGATGACGTCATTGAAGATCTCAAACCAAAAGTCGAGGTAAATTGATTTTGCAACGTTTGTATTTTTTATGTTGCCGCTTAAGTTTAAAGCGAACTGCAAGGACCGCGGGGCATACAGATAGAGGAGGCTAAAACGTATTGTGGAGTTAATAGTTTTAAAGATTTGGGGAGGCTGAAGCCCCCGTAGCCCCCAAACTCCAACACCCTCTTCCGTGGTCCTTGGCGCGAACAGGCGATCAGCAGTTCATTTTGAAGTAACCCACTTTCGAGAACAACCATTCCTCTAAAATGTTTGTTTTGTAGAATTTTAGTGAGAAAGGAACATATGTCATATCTTTTGTATCTTGTCCTATTCTGTGAAAGGAATTATCATCTCATTTTGTATTTGCAAATATATGCTTTTTGTTTAGTACAATTTTAGGCTCAATACCTAACCTTAGTACTTTTTCTTTGTACTTAACAGAAAAAGTGCACCGAAGAGACTTTTAAACACAACACGCTAAAGAGAATAAACAGTCTGAGCAAAGAGCTGCTGGATGATATCGACGGCCCTTCGCACGATAATATACAAACAGACCTTATGAAGCTGAATAAAGACTGGAACGAGGTCACTACGGACTTGGGACGTAAAAAGGACATGAAAAAGAGGCCGTGTTGTTGGTGGTGTTACCGAAGATGGTTTTTAAAATATGGGTATTATAATTAATAATGGTATTTGAATTTTTTTTAAAGCTGTGAGAAAGATAATTGGTTTCAGGTCAAAAATTAAAAAATATAAGGTGTAACTTAGCATACGCCGTTATTGGGTAATAACCTTTTCGCGCGACACGTCTTCAAATTAAGGCCTTACTTGGGAGTTGGTTTCTTAATATTGAAAATTCTCTTAAAAAGAGATCTATCGATATTATACTATCGGATTGTTTGACTATTGGCGAATAATGGCACTTATGCTGCAAACCCACGAAAATTTAATTGACTAGGCTTTCCTCTCCTCAGTTTTTGGCTTCCTAGTTTATTGTAAAACGGTTTGTTGAGATTTTCAGTCATTTTATTTTAAATCAGAGCAGCATTTGCACTGCACTGACCCATCCTTCTTCACGATATAATCAAAGCTGCGAAAGGAGCTTGATTAGTACCTTGTTGAATTAATCCTTGTTTTATTTATAGCCATGGGTTGAAGTTAGACAGTTACTGTAGGTTAGCCACGATCATAAAAAATTACGTAACATTTTTTAATACAATTGCAGACTTATGTTGGATATTCATGTGAATAGATTGTTAATTGGTATATGCTTATTAGCATAGCGGATGCTTAGCGGTAAGAGGGGCTTAGTATCGATCTTGCCCGAATATCATTCCTTCTTTGAGACAAAATATCCCGAATGGAGCCTGAAATGGAGCCCCGAGTCCCTACGCCTACGAGAGCAACACGAGAGCAACACGAGAGCAACACGAAATAATCCGTTTTTTCGTGATTTTTTCGTAGTTGACCTAAAATCTAAAGTTTTATTGCAACATATATACATTCTTAAATTTGCATGAGTAGTAACATTCAGAACCTAACTTGACTGATGCATCTCAACATACTGCATTCATTTTATCGGGTGTGTTAGTTCTAGTTAGATAGTAATGGCCATATGGCTACTGTTAACCAGAGTTCTCGACCAATGTAGAATTTGAGTGTAGACTAGAATTAACAAATATTTTAACAGGTCAAAATTTTTATTTGTTTCACTGACGTATGTGTTTTTGAAGCAGTATTTTAAAAAGCATATTTTTCATCATTGGTTGTCTCTTGTTCTCTACTTTTTAAAACCTTCCTACCTCAGTCCTATTCTTGATTCATGGCATTGACTATTTCAATCAAGAACGATTCGATCAAGAGTAGGGACTATGACTAAACAATTCCAGCAGTTTCAGAGAAAAAGAACATGCGATATTGCAATTTGCATATCGACGTATGAGTCTGCAGCGGATCATCCTTATGTTAGGTACTGGTCAATTCACAGTATCCCAAGCTTTTCTCTTGCGAATTTTCTTCCAACTTCATACTTGCATCCAAACAGGAAAGAAAGGTTTTTGGTTTTTTTCAGTATATACGTTAAATCTTTCCTGGGGACCAATCTTCGTTACACATGGAAATCGAGGTCTACAATCTGCATTGAAACCTCCTAACCCTCAGGTCTTCAAACATACAAATGTGTAACATACAATTAAGTTGGCATGACTACAATAAAGTCTCACCATCATGTTCTTTATTTTGGAAATATTTTGTTCCCATTTTGACATGTAAGTGTTTCTTTTTTACCCATAGAGAAACCGTTATGCGTTGTCCAAATACTGAGATGGTTACAAACACTCTGTGTGATTCACAAGACACTTGACGCTGTTGATCACGAAATTTTGACACTCAAAAATGTTTCGATATAGCTTTCTGCCAAGAGGCTATCATTCGATGTTACAAAGAAAATTTATGATCACGTATTATAGAAAATTCATAATCAAATGCTTGTATTGAAATAAGCTTACCTGGAAATAAGATATGTTTAAAAAGTATTGGCAATAAAAGCTAAGCACGCAAACTATTAAAAAAATATCATCTTTAAGTCCCAAAAACACCGAACCAAAATCAAAAAAGGCTTTATTGTAATGTAAATTTTTGAAGCAAATTCTACCTTCCACTTATATGTTAACAAAATCCTCTACTTCTTGTCAAATTACATCAGAACAAAATACGATGAGTTTAATTTTAATTTGAATTTGTAAAAAAAAGTTGGAGTCTCGCATTCACGAATTTAAAAAAGGAGGCTAGTTCAAAAGTCTATTTTTCATGTGGCTTTGTAAACCATCACGATGGAAAGTATTGGTAAAGAATGCGGTCCTCTAAAACACGAATATGACAATTGCTTCAACAAATGGTACTCAGAAAAGTTTTTAAAAGGCAATGTTGATTCTTCGGTAGAATCTGTTCCATGCGAAGAGCTTTTCAAAACGTACAAGGAGTGTGTGACGGTGGGTTGACGTTGACTTATTTTGATAAAGTTTGCAAAAGATTTAACATTTTAGATTGCGAGCAGATCAGAGGTGAACACAATGGAAGCAGATGTACAATATAAGCGTCAAAGTGCACACAATATTAGTTCTTTACTGCTTCAGGTACATTTATGGTCATAAGCGTACGGGCCGGGGGGGCCAACAGTTTTCGAAAAACCATGTCAGTCGGGCAAATTTTCAAAAATTCTCCGCAAATAGTCGGGCAGAAATGACTTCAAATAACCCAAAGACTGAAAGCTACGAGTCAACATCGTTGCATTATCAAATCGACCAAAAGTGCCTTAAAAATGATAAGATGGTTTTTGAAAATTACAAGAAGCAAAGCGCTTCTGAATCGTATGGTAATAATGCAGCAATGCTTGTCCAGAAGATGTTTCAAAAAGGTTTGCATCAAGTACTGCCATTCCTGTATGAAACAACATCATTGCTAGCAACGATTCCAGCAACATCTTGCTCAGCTTAAAGATCATTCAGTGGCCTTCGACGTCTGAAAACATATATCAGATCAATCATGGGCCAAGACCGGCTTAGAGATTCACATTGGCACTACTTAGCATCGAGAGAAAATTTTCAAACGAAGTTTTGAAAAGTGACATGAATGCGATGATTGATACATTTGGACATAGAAAGCGTTGGGACTCACATTTTTTTGACTGTAGTCGAATTCAAGAGTTAGTATTTTAGGTGATATTACATAAGATATTGGAAAATATTATACATTGCTGCCCTTATCTATGAGAAAATTACATCAAACTTTTAAATCTGAGCAGTAAACATTATAGAAGAATCGATAGTGATAGCATGTCCCCCCAAACATGTCTCTGGTTGGTTTGCTCAACTCTCAACTGACTAAATAGTCAGTTGAGAGTTGAGCAATTATTTACTATTTGAGCAAAATATTTTTACTTTAGATATTTTGGTGAAAAAGAACTCGTAATAGAGGCAAACTATAAAGGTATAGAGAGTTTTGCAATCCAGAGACCTAGAAACATAATTTTATCATCACCATCTTTTTTCCCTGTAATATGAAACATGCCAAAGGGAAGGGAACTGCCAAAAATTTTACTTGATACTTTACTTGATTCTTGGTTGACCTATTCTGTAGACAAGAATAGGGCCTTGATTCACTATGTCAAGTTCTGTAAAATACTCAAGTAGATCTTGAAGAGTTATGCGTCTCCTAAGTAATGATTCATAGTCAGCTGTTGTAAATGTTTCTTGTAGTAGGATCACCAAGGTAAGCATTCCATAGAAATAAGTAGATTTGATATTCATGTTAGCATACCTGATGGAAATTTCCTGCCAAACAATAACAAACTTCATGTGAGGAAGTGATGTCACAAAATTTCCTCACAGTGCTGCTTAGCTTATCATACTTTTATTTATACAGTGATGCATATGATGCTGATGGTTTAATTGAATGGATGTTTGTTACTTTTTAGAATGCAATGAAGGAGAAGAACATTGATATAGAAGAAGTGATGAAGCAAGTTTTAGAAACTGATGAAGAAAATCAGCCACCTGGGAAAGACTGAGGATTTAACCATAGATTTATTGGTATTCATTGCAAATCATTTAAATATCTCTTTCTAGGAATGAGACAAACCATTTTTAGAAATTGGGAGCAGAATCAGGCAAATGTATAAAAAACAGTACTGAACCACTACAAAAAGGACTTTGATAATTACTATGACAATAATTTATGTATGAGTCATTTGCATCTTAATTTATTTTTATCTATGTCAGTTCCCAATTTTAGTCAACTATTGATAAATTAGTTGATTTTTTATGTCTAAATATTTTGTACTATATTTAGTTATGTCATTTGATGCCCCCATGAATGAAATATTTTCTTGCAATTCACAAATCATTTTTCTCACAAGAGAGATCAAATTTTCAAGAAAAGTATGTAGCATAAAATAGAATCATTAATATCAACGCTTGATGAAATAGACTGACCGTATTTCCTCGAAAAGCATCCACTCTCATAAAAGCCGCACCCCCTAAAAAATCTCCTCCTAAAACCATCCAAAATTTGAAAAGTGCCAACCTTTGAAGAAGCGCGTCCAAAAGAAATCGCCCTTTTCTCGGAAAATCTTGATTGATAAAAATTGCATAAGAATATACTACTCGTAATCAGTCACTTCATTAAATTGTGAAAATGGAAATATCTTTATATGTAAATTCAAAATGTGTACATGTTCTTGTAGTTCATCAATTAGAACGCTTGCTCACCTAGCATCCATCGTCATAGCTTGAAACTTTCTGGAGAAATGATTCAAACCGCTCGCTTACGTATCCTTGTTGGACTTAACATTGTTAATTTTTTATGACAAACCAACTTAGAAAAACGACACAAAATTTAGAAAGCGCCTGCGAAAAAGGATCCCCATCGAAAAAGGATCCCCATCGAAAAAGCGCCCCATCGAAAAAGGATCCCCATCGAAAAAGGGCCCCCTTCGAAAAAGCGCTCCCATCGAAAAAGTCATCAACAATGCGCTTTTTAGAGGAAATACGTCACTTGCTTATATCAATAGGTATAGATATGCATCTTGGGCAGTGAAAGCTAGTTTTTGGCCTAAAGAGTTTGTTCCCAGCTTCCCATCCTGCCATGTGCCTTTGAAGGATAATATAGTCTGCAACTCAATCTTAGTCCCAACCCCTCAAAAGAAGGGTACATGGTTATAGGTCACCCTTGGAAAAACAAAGACTATGAATATACCGAATGGGATAACGTTGAATAAGTCATTAGGAGTAGTAGTAGATGACAATCTGATATGAGACGAGCAATTAAAACTGTTAAAAATAAGATTTGTAGGGGACTTGCTTCACAAAAGAAGCTGGAAAATATCCTCCCGCAGCCGAACCTATGTAGTGTATATTACACTATTGTTGAAAGTCAACTACGCTACGCAGATGTAATTTGGGGTGGTCTTCCAACAAGAAAACTCGAAACCTTCCAAAGAATACAAACAAGAGCCCAGTCAACAATCGAAAGTGCTAAACCAGAAGGTAATTGGTCCTGTGATTGGCTGAACGTCAATAGTCTTATCTCGTCCAATCAATCGGTTAGCTATGATGTATAAGATAATGAATAAACTGAGTCCTGGAAGCCTTTGGGAGAATTTGCGCAATCAAGCTATGCAACAAGAAACTGCCAAGATCTTCAGATCCAGAGACCATTTATCTTCGATTTCTTCAATTCATGTACAGAACATGCGAAAAAGGGCTTTCAATACTCTGCTCTAAAAATATGGAACGACATATCCGTTGATATACGAGAGGCCTCAACTCTTGGTTGCTTGAGGCAACTGAAAGCAAACCTACTGGCTAATCAAATACATTAACGTCAAAGCACGATTCCCTGGAAGTACAGCATATCAAAATCATCAACCATATCAAAGCACCATGTTCCTTGTCAGCCTTTACATTTATCCGGTTGCTCTAAGGCCTAGAAATCTTAAGTGTGTAGATGAGGGACTTGCTCATATTTATGGGAAAAGTTGCTGCTTGGATTCCTGTAATTCAAATTCGCGCTTTCAAGGGATTGAAAGCATCCTAATATCTCATACAGGAATTAGAAGCGGTCGTTTGCAGCCCCCTCCCAAAAAATCACTTCAAGAAATTTGCTCAGGTGTTCGGTATAATGCGACTGGATGTATTTACTGGGTGGGGTCGGTGGGTGGGGTCGGTGAGTGCACTATTTCTATAACATCATCTGTATCTTATATGCATCAAGTATAAGTTTTGGCGCAAAAATTAATTTGTCCAAAATGCCATTGGCACTCGCATTTTAAATTTTAAACTCGAACTTTTAAAGAAAGCTGATATTTGTTTGAGATTGGAAATCTTCGCAATAACGGATATCCTATCAAAATCCGAAAGGAGAACTGATCGCTTGTTTCTTGGCAAGCAATAGAAGTATTGCAACTTGTGATAGCATTTCGTTAAAGTGGTTTCAAAACTATAGGCCTAAAATTTTGTGGAAAATATCGTATGTAAGCGGGATGAAGTCTGAAAATGGAAAATTCTGCAAGTTGGCCCAATCTGTTCCCATAGAAAATCTAAGATAAGAGCTGACCCTTTTGCGCAAATAATTCTCAGCAGAAAAAAGGCATTATCGCTAAATGCAAAATTGAAGGTAATTAGACAGGAGATGAAAAACGAAACAGCGTTGCGGAGCAAGTGAAGGTTGCTTGCAAGGACTGTTCAACGTGCTCTATTGAAATTTAGACTGCACGAGAGGGCCTAAGGCAACATTTGCTTGGCTTAAAAAGTTACGAAACTCTATGAGGCTTGGAGCTACGATGCTAACGAGTATCGAAAAAGAGTTGCGCAACAGTTTCACAAATGAAAATATCAAAGATCGCCTGGCTCAAGGCGCAAACCAAAGTCCGCCACTGGCTCTATCTTCTGTCCTCACAGTCATATCTTCCTTCACTATTGCCTATTCAGCCGTACACTTTGTTCTTTATTTTCTTGGCTTCCCCTTTTGTTTTAGATATTCTGACACTAATTTTGATTTAAACTGTTTTGAACTCGACATTATTTGAAGTAGATCTCATGGATAAAAGTTTTCAACAGCAGGCAATAAGAAATAAGTCATAGAAATATTTCAAGAATATAAAGACCTTTTTGTTCATATTATGACTTATTTTCAGTAGAAATGAAAGGTCGAACCCCTAAATTTTCGAAGGCCTGTCTTGGAAAAGGTATTTATGTGGTTTACGAAGATGGGTAAAACTATCGACCATCTAAAGTTTATAGTTGCACGGTTGATGTGCTGACAAAATACTCTCGGCTTTAGAGCCTCGGTGTTCCTATAGATCGTGTTCTTATAAAAAAGAGCTTATCATATCTCATGATTAGAATAAGACGTATTCAATTTCCTTGAAAAAACCTCCCTCTATGGACTACAAGCAGTCCAATGTTTTGGCTCATTTTAGTAAAATACTCTTCAAATTTCTATTCGCATTGCAGTCTCACCTTTTCAGTCTAAATTCAAAGCTTATTTTATTGACTTCTATATTCAATATGTTACTTGCCCCGCACATCCCATTGATATATCAGTCTGGTTCAAGATTATATTAACTGTAAATATAGTCTTTTTTGTTTTTATAGGTACGGTTGTTTTCTGTGGATTAGTTAACCTATAAAAAGCTCCTCATTCCATCATTAATCAATCGTATATACAAGTATGTGTTGTCTTTTTCTTTATTTATTGCAATATTGCAATTATTAATAAATTTGACCAAGATAATCATTTATCTTGATTTGACGTACAATCATGCATCTAATTCTGTTTCAATTTTTTAAAATTGCATGTAGAAATGTTTAATAATTCAATGAAGCTGAAACTGGTGTAAGAATTTTACGAATTGTGGAATCATAGTCAATAGACTTCGAGTTTAGTCGACGTGGCAGGAGTAACGCCAAGCCAATTCATTAAAGATGTTCTTTGATCAGCAGAACAAAAGAAACTAGTATTCCTAGTATTCCTTATAACTTTCGGCGGTATTGCAGCATAAGGACCCACTCCATAATAGTTTGTAAGCGGAGGGTTAAATGCAATTTCGTGAGCATTTGCATTTTGCTACTCGCCTACATTGATTGTTCTTGCCTGTTCAATGTGTACTACCTAATTTCTAGGTATATTTCCAGTCTGATTTGTATGATTTTATCTTTTTAATTCTTTTTAGTCGAAAAAATCGTATTATGTGCTTAATTTATTTGCAGTTTCATAATTCTTTGGGGCTTTTATCAAATAAGACTTATTTCATATGTAGATACGGTCGTCCATCAGTTTACATGCTTTTCGTAAATCTTTAACTTTGTTGTGGTAAATCCGAACTTGGCCTTCAAATGTTCATGGTTAAGCCATGACTCAGATTGATGTAATTACGTGGCTGCGTTTGTAGTTTTTCAGGCATCAGTTTTAGTTCTCAAAATTTTCTTTTCTTATCGAGACGGCCAGTTAAACGATTTTTGTTCTCTGCCTGCCCGTTTCCAAGGAGGCACTTATGCTTGGTAAAAATGTGTTTGTTTGGACAGCTTGTTTGACCAGCTTACAAAGTGCAGCACATTGTATACCAGCAATGATATTAATTAATAGCAACAAAAGAATTCTGTACTAACACATTGCTTTCAAAATATTGAAAAATTCAAGAACACTTGGGATTCTTTACTTTTATCACTGAACTTTGATTTCTTGCCCTCTCCACGCTTTTGATCTACACCTCCTTGTCTAACATAGCTTTTAAACTGTAATAGTTTGATAAAGTTAAAAAAATTCAATTTATCATAAGTAACACACATAGGAAATTTGTTATTTGTCAGAGGTGTTTATCATTTTTGTCACCCTGTCACTGGGGAACTGGACACGAGTATTCTCAAAGTGCTTTTGTTATTGAGCAAATTACCTTTGGGTCAAGTAGATTCCAGGCGCTAAAGAAACTTACAAAGAAAATGGACAATAAATTGAAATCATCCTTGATAATTGTGCTGTTCTACGGGATATGGGGTAAGACCTTAATTAATATATTTGTTTTGAGTATTTGCAACATTACTGTCCATCGGGAAGAATGACGAAAATAAGTGTACCTGATCTTTCGAAGAAAAGTTGATATTTATGAGGGGTGACAACAAGTTCTTACAAATACGATACTTTGAAATGGATTTTTAATTTAATGCAAACATGGAAACATTTTGTCTAGGGGCTTAATACGATAAGGTGGAAAATTTTCATATTCGACTAGACGAGTCAGTTATCGTTCTTGTAATTGGGTAGGCCTATATTTAATAATTTTTTTTTGTTTTTTTCCCCTGTATAATGATACATGATAATAGCGATAGCAATAACACAACATTGATTGCTGCTTTTGAGGCTTAGAGCCTTTTGCAGATCTTTAAATTTCGAAAGACAGTTTTTCATCATGAACTAAGTGTTAGATTAATTTTCTAAGAAGTGACAATACAAGTACTAACAACAACCTTGTAATAAGGCTTCGCCAAAAAAACGAGATCCACACTTTATTATATGCATATATACGCCTAGCTCAACCAAGAGAACAGAAATGCTATCAACTTGTACATATTTTCTAGCCTAACTTTATTTAATATAATAAAAAACAATACTTACATTTGGTGATATTTACTTACAGGTTTTTGTTTTATTAATTATTTTTATACGTAGGATCTGTGCAATGAATACATTACATGCTATTTACATTCAAACCACACCTTACCCTAGTAGTCTATAAGCTTGATTGTTCCTCTTTCTCTTCCTAATTCTTCCTCCCTATCCCTTGTTAGGGCTTAGCTATAGCACTTGTGCCTTTCCCTAACATTCATCATCATTATAATCGAATGGAAGGCTCAGGAATAACTGCTGTGTCTCTCAATTTTCTTCTATCCTGTGCCAATCTATACAACTGTACCTGTATTTTTTAGTTGGTTATCCTAAACCAAAAAACCCAGGAGGACAAAAGACTTCCTGGGGCAGCATTTTGCACATCTTTTAGACAGAGTAAAAGGAAATCATGAGGGAATTGGTCACTAAAAAAACATAAAAAATGGTAACAATAACAACTAAAGGCAAATATATGAAAGGGCAAAGGCCTCTTATTAAATTAACTCTGATTAAATTTCATTTAATTATCATAGTGATAGATGCTGCTAGAAGGCAAAGCTTTGTTTAATGGTTAATTTTGATTAGAATAGATGAAAATGGCCTACCTAAGAATTATCTACAAGTACCAGACATCTCATATTTGCTATGTTAAACAGCTCCTGACTTGTCATCTGATATTTCTGCAAAATCAGTGAAATACTAGAGTAAATTACTTTCAGTATCCCTTTGCAACCCATTATACAAGAGGCTGCTAAACTTGAAGATTACAATGTTTAAAGGTAAAAAGCTTTTTTCGTGAAAAGTTAATGAAATTTAGATAAACGCTTTTAGAAGAAATTTAGATGAAAGTTCCAACAAAATGATGGAAAAGGTATTGCATTTAAGACTTGACAATTTCTAAAAGCTTAGAAATAAGAACTTCCTGTGCTGTAGCATGAACTTGATGGTACTCATAAGTTTCCAATGATATGAAACAGCATTAAATGACACTGTGAATTGAGTTTCCTGAATATAAGATGAGGTGGTTTAGCACTTTTGTTTCTTTTTTTTCTGCTCTCTGCTTGAAAAATTGTTAGTATCCCTTATTTGCTGACAAAATAATCTGTTCTGCCTAAAACTTGATGAATTATAAATCTAAAACTTAAAAAAATTATGCATTCTTTTTTAATTTTGTTTTGAAACTTGTTTTGAATTTTGTGAATTTTTAAATTTGTTTAATTCTGAGGATGGCTCTAGGATCAGGGTTGTGGAATAAATGCTCAAAGGTCTGGGGTTTTATTCCTTGCCATGACCAAACTTTCCCTCAGAGAGAGGAGAGTTGATGGCTCTCCTTAATTCCAGACACAGGTTATCCAATCAGTACTATGTGCATATAGAAAAATTACCACTGAAATCCAAGCGAGAAAATAATATCTTTCTGTGCACACAATGGTAGGTTTTAGTTTGTATGTAGTTTGATTAAAAACTGCATGATGAGAAGGCAAGCAGGCTCTGCCAATTTTCTGAAACATGTCGGAATTATAGACTTTTTGCAATCTGGGTTCAGTGGAGCAACAACGGAGTGTCTTGGGCAAAATTTGTTAATGAAAGTGGAAGATGTTTGCTGGAGTCCATCTGTGTCAGCAAAAATAGATTATCTTCTCAATTTTCTATAGTCTAATTAGCAAACTTCTTCTGATGCTTATCAAAACAGCGACAGGATTTCCTTTCTCTCTTAAAATATTCCATTTCAGATGATTACGAGCGAAGGTATCTTTCTAGTTAAGCAGCCAATCCTTAACTCTGTACTTAATTTATTTGCAGTTCAATCTGTTTCAAGCACCTTGACCTGCCGGAATTGTCTAGACTCAAACACAACACTGATTGTTACTTGTAAATCAAATGGAAATACAACTGGTATGAAATTTGTTAAAGCTTTTTATTGTCTAATTTCTTATTATAAACCAAGTTTATTACCTTGATTTGAAAAATAATTCAGATTCTTTCTTACATATTTTTGGCTTTAGATTGAGATTGAAGAGGGTAAATCAAGTCTACATGTCAATTTTTATGATACTTGTTCTCATGATCCTGATTTTATGATGACATTAGAAAGGATTTGACCATGCTTAGGAGCTTGAAGGAAAATAGATTGCTTATTTATTCTTTATCGAAACAAGTGCTAGCTTTTGCTTGATCTAGTGTTTGTGATTTTTCCTTTTTTCCCATTTTCCTTACTACCATATTTGTTTCATTATAAGCTATCCTCTGTTGTAAGCTGCAGCAAAATGGGTTCATAAAAGAATGTAAGCTGCCCTTGATGATAAACTGCACCCATAAATTTCAGAACCAGGCATAGATACTAGGGTTGAAATGAGGTAGGCAAAAGCTGATAAAATCCTGATTGTTTACTTAAACCAAAAGTAGAGATTAGGAGTTCAACCAACACAATATTGTCCAGCATGGGATCATCAATAGCAACCAAAGGTAAGTTTTGCCCCATCTACATTATATCCTTGAGCTTCAAGTTAGCAGGAAAGCTTGCTAGGTTCTGGATAAAACAATGTAAGCTACCCTAGTTGGTAAGCTCCCCTCAGTCAAAATCCACCCTTGGTTATAAATTGTAGCAAAATATGCCAAAAAGTGTTTATTAGCTATGACTTATAGTAAAATCAATACAATGTATGGAATTTTTTTATTTGATTGCTCTCGTGTATAAGCCACGTGTGTAAATCACCTTCTTCCAGATATGTGTGCAAATGATGTTATTGAAAACTGCACTTTGACAACAAATTGTAGCAGTAAGTGATTTGTGTTTTCATTCATTTGAGTCTATCTTTTACTTCAATATCTTCATGAAAAAGTATTACTTCTATGTTAGTATGAGTTGCTTGCACCTTCATTGACCCAATTGTTGTTGGGGCTGATCGGGCTATCAATGCTTTTTTTCTGATTTTTTTTGCAAAATGCAACTGCATTTTTGTATTTTTAGCATCCTGTCTAGCTGATGGGGCTTAGGTCCTTCAGTATTACTTGTCAATGAATGCCTGGTTGGATAAAGTTGCTACCTTAAAAATGGTGCAATTCAGCCCCCAACAAAATATCAACCAGATTGTCATGTTTGTTATAAAAACTGATTTCATTTTCAAGAACACTAATTGGCAAAATTATTGATCTTGAAATTATTTGGGGGTTGCACCAATCTCTCTAGTGGTAGTGCCAGCTATCAAGGGATAGGATGTAGGATAGAAGATAATTTTTTACCCTTATTACAGTCAAAACTTTAAAGAATGCCCAGTGAGAGGCAAACTGGGCAGGTCAAAGTTAAACTCATTTTGATAGATGAATTATTAATGGCTGCAATTTTTCATGGTACTTTCTCCCTTTTTTTGGTGTCAATCAAGCCAACTTATTTTTTTAAAGATGTAATTGGAGGGTGTAATAGGTAACTCTCACAGAAAGTATTGAAATTTTCAAATTGCAGAAAAGTTTCATTTCTGATGTTTGCCACAGCTGCCTCAAAGCGCTTTACACAATAAATTGCAAACGTAATGAGAAATTTCTAGGTGCAGCGTCATTATCATGTGTGTATTTCGTAATTTCCCGAAATTCATTTTTTCCTGACTCATATGACGTCATTTGCGGTAAGCCAATCAGAATTCAATTCTGTTGTAATCTTATTGTGGCCTCGGAATAAGCTACCAATCAGACTTCAGTCGTGATTTCTCTATAAGTAAGGACCAAACACCCATTTGACAACCAGTCGTTCAGATTTTCGAACCGATAGTTAAATTGAGTGGAAGTTATACTGACAAGATGCAGATCTTCGTGAAAACTTTGACAGGAAAGACCATCACATTAGAAGTTGAGCCAAGTGATACCATCGACAATGTCAAGGCCAAAATTCAAGACAAAGAGGGAATTCCTCCTGATCAACAGCGTCTAATTTTCGCTGGGAAACAACTCGAAGATGGCCGGACACTAAGTGACTACAACATCCAGAAGGAATCGACCCTCCATCTTGTCCTTCGTCTCCGAGGAGGAATGCAAATCTTCGTGAAAACTCTCACAGGAAAGACCATCACATTAGAAGTTGAACCAAGTGATACCATCGACAATGTCAAGGCCAAAATTCAAGACAAAGAGGGAATTCCTCCTGATCAACAGCGTCTAATTTTCGCTGGAAAACAACTCGAAGATGGCCGGACACTGAGTGACTACAACATCCAGAAGGAATCGACCCTCCATCTTGTCCTTCGTCTCCGAGGAGGAATGCAGATCTTTGTGAAAACTCTCACAGGAAAGACCATCACATTAGAAGTTGAACCAAGTGATACCATCGACAATGTCAAAGCCAAAATTCAAGACAAAGAGGGAATTCCTCCTGATCAACAGCGTCTAATTTTCGCTGGGAAACAACTCGAAGATGGCCGGACACTGAGTGACTACAACATCCAGAAGGAATCGACCCTCCATCTTGTCCTTCGTCTCCGAGGAGGAATGCAGATCTTTGTGAAAACTCTCACAGGAAAGACCATCACATTAGAAGTTGAACCAAGTGATACCATCGACAATGTCAAGGCCAAAATTCAAGACAAAGAGGGAATTCCTCCTGATCAACAGCGTCTAATTTTCGCTGGGAAACAACTCGAAGATGGCCGGACACTGAGTGACTACAACATCCAGAAGGAATCGACCCTCCATCTTGTCCTTCGTCTCCGAGGAGGAATGCAGATCTTTGTGAAAACTCTCACAGGAAAGACCATCACATTAGAAGTTGAACCAAGTGATACCATCGACAATGTCAAGGCCAAAATTCAAGACAAAGAGGGAATTCCTCCTGATCAACAGCGTCTAATTTTCGCTGGGAAACAACTCGAAGATGGCCGGACACTGAGTGACTACAACATCCAGAAGGAATCGACCCTCCATCTTGTCCTTCGTCTCCGAGGAGGAATGCAGATCTTTGTGAAAACTCTCACAGGAAAGACCATCACATTAGAAGTTGAACCAAGTGATACCATCGACAATGTCAAAGCCAAAATTCAAGACAAAGAGGGAATTCCTCCTGATCAACAGCGTCTAATTTTCGCTGGGAAACAACTCGAAGATGGCCGGACACTGAGTGACTACAACATCCAGAAGGAATCGACCCTCCATCTTGTCCTTCGTCTCCGAGGAGGAATGCAGATCTTTGTGAAAACTCTCACAGGAAAGACCATCACATTAGAAGTTGAACCAAGTGATACCATCGACAATGTCAAAGCCAAAATTCAAGACAAAGAGGGAATTCCTCCTGATCAACAGCGTCTAATTTTCGCTGGGAAACAACTCGAAGATGGCCGGACACTGAGTGACTACAACATCCAGAAGGAATCTACTCTCCATCTTGTCCTTCGTCTCCGAGGAGGATACTAATGAACACAAATTCTTACGTAATATGAACACAAAAATCCTTAATGGTAGTTTTTTTATTTTAAATGTTGAAAGCACCTGACTGTTTTTTGTTGAAATTGAAAGAATATAAAAGTTTACCAATTTAAACTTTCGTCTTATTTTTTCATTGGCCTAGCTATATATATGAAATCAGAATGCTTTGTATTAAACATAAGCTGATTATGTAAATTCAGGACAGCCTATCCTGCGGTTCTTCCTTCTCTCACATTTTATGTAAATTTCCCATTCCAAATTCTAACTTTTATTGAATATGATTTCAAATTCTCTATACCATTTTGAAAAAAAATGATTGAAAACTTTGTTGTAAAATTTCTCAACTTATTGCAAAATTATGTTGAAGTTGAGACAATAAATTGCTAATTCTGCCATGCTGTGTGAATAATGTCCGGAATTGATTAGTTTTTGGATGGTTTGTTATCCTTTGTATAATTAACAAGAGATATCATTTTGCAAAAATTCTAGTCAACCTTTATATTCTTGGGAATTGCTGCTAAACATACTTGTACCCTGTAATCAATTGCTTAGCAATTAAATAACTGGTATATTGAGAACATGAGATTGAGAAGTCAGCTCAGGGTTAACAGTTAGAGGTGCCAGGTAAACTCTGGTGGCAAAATACTTTGGTCAAGACATACTAAAGACATTGTTCTGGTCTCTCTTACAGCAAATCCCCAAGCATGCAATAGTCAACAGGGGCAGTGGTATAGTTCTGGCAGAAATATCCCTAAACAAAATTCAAATCTGAGTTGATGTCACAAAATTTGATTAAAGTTATGAAAATTAAAATAATTTACTAACAGATGCCGAATAAAGTTTTGATGCTGAAATGTTTGTGAAGACAAAATCTGAGTTGATGTCACAAAATTTGATTAAAGTTATGAAAATTAAAATAATTTACTAACAGATGCATAATAAAGTTTTGATGCTGAAATGTTTGTTAAGACACTTATTTTTGGTCCTGTTCAGATTGCTGATTTTAATTTTTTGAATAAAAACACATTTCTATTCACAGTACCAGTCAATATCAATGCAACTTCATCGTACATGATCTCTGTGCCAGCCACTACAAAGAGCCAAACACTTTGGACAAACTCAATTTATTCAGCTTCACCTTCAATCAAACCATCACCAAAGCCAACTTCCAAATCACCAAACACCACACAGAAACCACACCAACCAGCCAAATCTGGTAGAAGATTTGATGCTGCTTCTTTCATTGGTGGAATGCTTCTTTGTGGTGGATTAATCCTGCTAGTCTACATTGCTGTGAGGTGCTTCAGATCCAGGCCAGACTATCACAAGTTGTAGTTTGTTATCTGAAAGTAATGTTAATTGAATATTGGTAGGAGCTGGTCTTTCTTACATTGCTGGCAAAAGATAACTTGAAGCTTTATGAAAATTGTCTAGTACTGTTAATTAGAATTTACATCCACAAAGTCATACACTATTCATCTTATTACTTATTTCTTATTATTTAGATAAACAATAACTCAATCTGAGCAATTGAACAATTTTAAGATTTTATTGTCTTTTAAGTGAATGGTTCCATCATAGCCATGGTATTTGGGTGGTTACTGTTTGTGGTTTAATGCAAAGGGGATTTTTTATTATTCATTAAATCCATAGTTACATGCTTCAAGGACAGATTACTAGTTATCTTGTTTGATTGAAAAACATTTGCTATCCATCATGTCATTCCATTGCATATTTCTCTAGACTGTTAATTAATTAAAAGTTAATTAAAATGCTCAGCTTGTTTATACTATGTCAAATTTTCAATTTTTCATTCCTTTTCCCAAATGCTACTTTTTCAACTCCTCCTTTCCCAAGAACAATTTTGGTAGCTTAAAAGTGTACTTCCAAATCTCATTGGTCATAGTAAACCAAGTTTACAACAGGGGAAAATGTGGGGGCTAAATTTGCCCTTGAAAACCAAAGTTAGTGTTCCAATGCTTATAGCAGTGATTTTAGTAAGGCTCCTCTTTGATTTCAATAACATATGAAGGATGCGTTGACCCAAAGTAAGACAGAAAAGTTTTTCACAGTGCCTAAAACCTGGAGCAATGTTGAGATTGTGTTTCTACTTTAAGGAGGAGGGGCACCTTGTAATTTATTTTGTAATTATTTTTTCTCAACCACTGTTCTGAGGGGGCTTGTAATAGAGAATTTTCTCAGGGAGGAAAAGGCATGTTTCAATTATCTGTTGATTTTAATCACCAATTCCATCAACCACAGAATTGTATTTATTCAAACTTTTAATATTCCCAGGGGTAGGTCATGATGGTAAATCAAAATATTGAAAATTAGAGTTCATATCATTGGCTAAATTATATTTAAATGCATTTATGGGTAAACACATCAAAGCCTGCATTTAATTAAAAATAGTTAGTTTTGAAGGTACATTTCTGATTTGCTGTTTCTAGAATAGAAAAATTTATTCCTTATTGATGGTAAAATTCTTTCAATCTGTTTATTTTCTTCAGTCTACAGCAAACATCAACCAGTTTTTGCTTAAACTCCTTTGAAAACCTCTAGGCAAAATACTTGTTATAACCCTGGTATAGGTTTTAGGTTTTGGGGCCTTAAAAGTTGGGGATTTCAAACAAGTGTTTTCTGTTATTGTCATACCTTTAGTATCTTTTTATGTTGTTATTTGAAATAAATGAAGTAATGAGACCATTTCTATCGGAGTTCATAATCTTGGCACAGGGAGTGGAGCAGAGGTCTCTTTCACACCAGAAGGGACATATGTGAATCATTAGGGAAATGATGATTAATGTGATAGTTTGTTCATGATAGCCAAACTGATTTTGCAGCCAGGTATCCCCTTTACAATAAATCTATAACCCTGTTGTTACAGTTGGTGGTAAGACTACTATCTGCAAATGCCTCTTGCAGGGGTGCTGTGGATAGGGGCACTACAACTCTCCTAAAGCACCACATATCTTTTAGATATTTTCAGAAATATGGCACCACTTTGTCAGAATTTGTAGCAAAATTTATCTTATTTGTTGCCATCATACCTTTCATATTTGTCCTAAAATGTGTTAGATCTATTCTTCTACCTGAATACCTCTATTGTTTCCATTGTACTTTCTATTGCTACCCCCATTCTTGAATATCAGAGACTCCTGAAAACGGCGTAACAAATACTGATTATTAAGACTTTGAATAAATCATTTTCAAGATGAAGGCATTTTTTAAATAAAAGGAGACAAAATCAATTAAAAAGATTAATTTGGCGCTCAGTATGGTGACTAAAATCTAAACATGATTTACAAAAAACCATATAGATTTACAATAATTTACAATTTACAATAATTTACAACATTGATTGCTGGTGAAATAAGCAAAGTAATGACCTTTCTTAATTAACTATTAACTAGCTATCTCTTGATTAACCTTTCTATCCAGTTCAACAGTAGGTCTGAGAAGGGTGGTATAAGGACATCTTTATTGCTTCCCGTTCTGAAAAGTGAGGTCAGAATTGGTAACCTTTGCAAGACCAGGCATTTTGTAATATTTTGTAATGACTGGCTCTTTTAATTTACTCTGATGGAGCCCTGTATGCCGAGGCGAAATATTAGTATTCCTTAAATTTAATTCATTTTGAAAATGTTATCTACTTACATTAGATTCTCATCATCGTTTTGCTTTGTACCTGAATATATTTCATTTTATTACTTATTGCAAGATTCACAGATTCTGGTGGACAGCCTATCCTGTGGTTCTTCCTTTTACACATTTTGTAATATGCCCTTTTAACTTTTACATTACACAAGAGCTAGACACAGCTAATACCAATGTATCTTTTATGTTGAATTTTTGCCTATATGACCTAAGAAGCTCTATAAGCCACACTTTTGTGTGTCCAGAAGATACAGCAAAATATCTTAGACATTTCAAACCAACAAGGATATCAAGTGTAATAGATGCACCTTGATTTACAGGAAAATCATGGAACAGAAGAAAGGAATCGCCTGGACTGATTTGTGGAAAAATTTCATAGTGTTGAATCAGTTTCACTGTGTGGTCATTCCCTGGCTTAAAGGAGGTAAAATGTATGTATGCTAAACAATATAATACATGCTAAAAATTGTTAGGAAGAATATCAAATCAATACAGGCAAATGACAACCATATGTTTATTTGTTTGCTTTAACTTTTGTGTAAAAGGCATTAACACAAGACTGCAGATACATTTGTGATGGTCTCTAGCTTGATATGACATTCTTATGGTCAATGAAATATCATCTAATTAAGTTAAATAGTACATACTGTAATAGTATTTATGGAAAAGAATGTGTAATATGATATAGTAAAATAAAACAAATCTTTTCAGTTGGAGATCTAGATTAACAACTGAACTATTTTAAATAAAGTTAATTATCTAGAATCGGTTATAAAAAGTTGTGAACGAGAGGTTTTTCATGTTAATCAGTAATCTTGCAATCCATTTCAATTCACTTCCAAAGCAAAAGAAGCTGGCATTTATGACCTCATTTGTTGTCTTACTTGATCCAATCTCTTTTCTTCATATAAGAATTCATATCAGCTATTTTCCTTTTTCCCTGAAGTAATCAGCTAAAAAAAATATTCACATTTTTTGTAGCAAAAAATTTCCATCTCAATTGTAAATGAATGAAATCTATTCTATAACTCAAGAAAAACGGTTAACAAAAGCCAATAATTTAAGTACATTTTCAGAAGAATATTTTAAAAATTAATGGCATTATTCATTATTCATGTTAATGATCAAGCCATCTTTGAATTTTATGATTTGCAAGTTTATCAAGTAAATGGTGAATTCAATTTTGGCAACAAATTCTAATTTCTAATAGCAAGATTAGCAGTTTTATTTAATGTGGAGATTGTACAAAACCACCAATACTATGAAAAGTATTTCCACATTGACTGTTACTAAATATTTAATACTTTTTGGTAGATTTAAAGTGGCAGATGGAAAGGATTTTGCTTCACAGAGAGGATGAAATCAAGTTTTCCTTTCATGAATAAGGTATTGGCTGAGTTTTCTCTATATTAATCTTATAGTTATGTTGCTTTTTAGTAATTAATGTTTTTGTATGATATTGCACAGTTTCAACACATTAGACAGAGTATGCCCATTAATGTTTTAATAGTGGGTAAGTATTCCAGAAAAATTTGTGCACTGCGATTAAGTCTGAGTCATTGATGCTTCATTTTTGTTTAATTAGGACAGGAAAAAATCTTATGTCTTATTTCTACTAAAAGCAAACTAAGCTGTCCTCACCAAGTTTCTCCATTGCCTCGACACATATACTCTGGTACATGTCTTTATTATAGGTGCCAACAAGAATCAGTGATGCAGTTTTTACCAATACCAGTCCAACATCATCCTAAAATATTTATTGTAAAACATCTAAAAATGCGCTGGATTTATTACTCATAGTTTTTCTCACTGTTCTGCTCGCTTGAAAAGTTATTTATAACCTTTCTTTTATCTTAAAATAAGATATCTAGAAGATGAATGTATCCCTTGACCAGTGTCTTTTTTGGGGCTGTAGTTAAATTCAAAATCCTAGACAACATCAATAAAGATAAATAGTATGTTCTATTCGGGTCAAATGTATATTCCATAGGTTGGGTTGAAAGTTTGTCAATTTTATTTTTAGCGCACTAAACTTTTGAATTTTTCATTCCATGCTTGCATCTACATTTCCTATGGAGTAAATTTGATCAATAATAGTTGGGCAAATTGAATGCAGCATTTTGACAAAAGAATTACGAATCAAAAATTGAAGATATATCAAAATTAGCCTTTGACTTTGTACAACAAATTTCAAAGTGGCATAAAATAGTTAATTTTTATCCAACACACTGAGAGTTTTTATTTCTTTTAATGCACTAAACCTTAGATTGAGAATTACCCGTTTTGCATAAATTGAAAATTTGTCTGCACGCACACATTTGTATTTTATTCCATGCAGCTGAACGCCGTCTTCTCTTGTTTGGGTTGGATGCTTAAATGCTTCTACCAGGTCTTCTATATCAGAAGTCGATAGCTAAAACCAAAATAATTGAAGTGTAAGTATACGTACACCAGAAAACTCAACCAAAAATTTGAACATAAACTTGTTGGCAAAAATGCTATTATGTTTTTAGCTTCATAAGCTGAATTTTTTTAGTTTGCTTTACAAGAATGTTTACTCTTACTTACTGTAAAGCCGCTAGAGCTTGCCCTCAAGGAAACGTCCTTTTTTCGCACAATTGCACAGTTGTCTACATTACCTGTAGCAATAAGAGAATCCTGCAGTAGACTTTGCAGTTGATTCATAGTAAAATACAAAGATAAAAAGTGTGTTGGCTTTTGGCTTCCGTTGGCTGTTTATTTTTAATCTCGGCTTGAAATCGAGGTTTTGTAAATAAGACGCTGTATCCATGAACCTCCGTTGCTATGTTGCGTTTGCCGTCAGGGGTGTTTTGGCTTCCGTTTGCATGATATGTGCTAAAGCTGCACGAATTTGTAAAGTCAAGCATTAGAAAATTAGTTTACATCTGCAATGTTGTATAACAGACCAAGAACTGCAGCCAGTTCAGGGATTGTAAGCATCCATTCACTTCGACCACTGGAGGAAATTCTGTTGGATAAAACGGCCGGTCACCCATCAAGGGAGGTAAAGTATAGTTATTCTTAGTCGTTTTGATCGGGCTTGAAGAAAAGTTATTGGTTTTAAGTTGACTGTATTACTGAAAAGAATAAATGAGAGCTTTGTGAAGTAGACAATGTTGTTAATAAAGCAAATGAACATGTCATAAACGGCGCGTCATTTTGGCAAATGAGCAGGTAGCTTGCTTCATGCAGGTTGTTGTTTACATTTTTCAAGAAGCAGGAGTATCATGACAGATCATTATGGCGTTGATATAATGTATAGTGAATAATAATTTTCAATGCTACATTTATAGATGAAGGTTTCAAATATTTCTAGAGAACCTTTATTAACTATGTTAACTGTTGCTTGTTTACAAGTTTCATAGTTTCATTATATGAAGATATCGAACAGACTTATCTATGGATAAACCTCATTTTATGTTTACAACTGGGTTCAAATAATTTGACTCTATTTTCGTATAGAAATCAGAGATTTTCAATTTTCGATTGATTTGTCTAATTTCTTATGTTATTTTTGGGTAACCTTTTGTTTGCTGTCATGTTTTCTCTTCCTTATTCAATTGCTTTTGATGACCTTAGCTTTGCTTTACACTGTGAATATTATGTTATTTAGATTGTGTAAAAAAGCGTAAGCATTTGTGCTTGCTTACATCTCTTTTTTTATTGAAATTTTGATAGTGATTAGAACTCAGTTTTTTTATTTTTTGTTGCTTTCATTGCTAAAGTTTCTCAAAGGTTTCTTAAATACCATGCTAAAGAACCCATTTTGAGAAAAAAATGAATTAAAGGCCCTGATAAGTTACAAGGGGCTCTTTTTTGTACTAATCTATGCAGATAAGACAGAAAATATATTTTCTCAGTTGAACAGTGCTAAATAATTGAATACAAGTTTCTCAATACTTAGGGTGATCAGTACTATGGTTTGTACTATTTTTTTCATCATAGGGCTTGGTCTCTTATAGATGGTTTCTTTGAAAAAGAAATGAGTTTACTGCCCATTTGTATGTTTTTGTTTTTCATGATGTAGATAGAAAATTTTCAAACAAAATCATTCTTTCAAGGGAGAAGCAACAACCAGGAGAAAATCAGAGCGGTCAAAGTCAGCAGGATGCATCCCTAGCCATCAAGATGGAAAGACATTGAGGCACAACTCTGAACTCTTGAAACTAGACATCAAAAGCTGGCTGAGTGAAAAGTCAGCCAAGAGTATTCAAGTAAAATCATTAATCTCTTATATTTTACTTTGTTGTACACTCTAATTCTTGAAATTTTTTATACAAGACTTGAATCCCTGGCAGCAGGTTAACATGTGATTTCGATATTGAGAATTAAAAATCCATTTAAATATCACCTGATACTACTTTTAGAAGTGTTATGCATGTACAGCTACTCATTAAAATTTAAAATCTCAAGTGACCAGATGTTCTAGATCAATATAGTTTTATGTGAAAGATATTGCTTCTTTGGCCTGTTTTGATTTGGTTTAGCTGTTTTTCATATGCAGGACTGTTGTCTAAAGCTTTTCATTTTTTGTTCAAAAATTCTAAAAAATATATTTCACAGCATCATTCTATAGATTAACCTCATTAATATATTTTTGTTCATTTACCATTTTAGGAGAAAACTGAATATGAATCAAGCACAGTGCGAAATCTATACAACACCTTATTAGATAATGAAACAGAACTAGTAGAGGTATTAAACCCAATGCACATTTTTCATTAATCTTTTCCTGGTTTTTTAGATCTATGATGCCCAAGATAGACAATAATTGACCATCCAAATTATACAGCTTGAATTAAGATCTTTTGGAGTACTCAATTACTGTGGGGCAAGAGAAATATGTGAATTGGCCAAATGTTTGCAAAGTATTAAGCATTTAACACGACATCTTTTAAATCTTTGCAAGAATTTGAATAAGGGTTTGTTGAGTTGTGGCCTTAGACCTTTGGTAAGATTTAGTTGCTAAAATGACTTACTGCTAGTTCCCATACTTGGAGGTTTTTCCAATTTGCCTAAAACCCCCCTCTCTAATCGAAATACGACTTAAATTGAGACACATTTGGCACTGAAGGCAGTAACGGTTAAGTAATGCCCGTTACATAATATCTAGCTTCATGCCTTTGTCTGCTCTGGTTATTCTAAATGATGGTTTTCATTTGTATTCAGATCATCTCCTGCTAATCAGCAGAATGCAGTTTTTTAATTTTTTTATCTATTGCCTTTGTTCACCAATTTGCAATTATGTTGGTCTAAAAAATTACATTCAAATGCTTTTAAGAGTGTTGATGATTATCTTGCTGAGACTGAAGAGCTCCAAAGGCGAAAGAGGTATCTTCTGATGAAAGACTGGACTGAAAATGTTTACAACCCACTAAAGGTAACCTACTTGATTGTTTACCAATCAAATATTCATGTATTTGTTTTTTAAAAAGACTACTAGGATGGCTAAAAAGTTGAGAAACTTGAGTACTAGGCTCAAGAAAAAATAAGTAACTGTAAAATTTGCATTATTAAAAAAAGAGTCCGAAAGTTTTCATTCTTTTGGTTTTTTCTTGGAAAAGAAAACATACTTTTTATTTGGATATATGTGTGTTTTTCATGACAGTCTGTCTTTAAATTCTTCCAAAAATGCCCAACTTCAAAACAAAAAGGCAATTTTAGGTCCCAATGATAAAAAACCAACTAAGCAACTTTTAGTACTATAATGCCAAAATTTGGATGCCAAATTAAGAATCTTTGGTACTTAGTGCTGATCCAAGTTTCTTTTAAAAAAACGTGTATGCAACCCTTTGATACAGCCAATGTTATGATGTATAAAAAAGAAGGGATTATCAACATAAGACAAGCTTGTAGTTGAAATGAGTTGAACAAGCTTGTAGAAATGTATTTGTAGAGCCGAAGCCCAAGCTACAAATAGGCATAGTGATACCATTAACATCTTCAAATAATAATGATAATGTTGATTTAGACAAAATGGCAAGGATCTTTACAGGAAGGGGCGACATTTTTTCTTGACATTGGTGTTAATAACTACAAAGCATGATGCACAGTGCTACAAAATCAATGGACGCTGAACACAGACCTATAATCAACTAAGCAAAAATTTAACACAGATCGTCTAGGCAACTAGTGTGGTGTTTAAAATCGAAAGAGCAATGGAAAGCCAGATATGCAGAAAAACGGGGATGGGGGACGGGGTGGGGGATACCACGAAGGAAAATTGAAACTATACTCTCAATCGATCTTTCAAAACCATGCACTTATTTAGCTGCAATTGTTGTAATTTATAATCATGTCGTTTTATTTTATTGTTTGTTACATGATTGAAATAGCTGTGAATAATTTTTTGCGGTACAGAATTTGAAAATAAAATAACTATAATGTCACTGATGATATTGTTGTGTAATTTTCTTATAGTTTATCTTCATTATGATTTCATTCTAACTTTTTGTTTTAACTCACTCTAACAATTTTAATTCACTCTAACACTACAAATGGCTTTGAAAAAGACAAATATTTTAATACATCCTTAAGATTTTCGTCTGACAATCTTTGGAGTATGAAACGTCAGAACATAGAACGAAATACCTAGTTGTGGATCGAAATAGGTCAGACTGAAACGCGAGCACGCGACTGTAGAGATTCAATAATCAGTGCCGCTTGTTTATTGAAAATATTCCCAATGGAGCTGTTTTTCGTCTTTATGTAGAAAGATTCAAAAACTGCTAGATAGAAATCTAGATTCAAAAGCTCACATTTCTAATAAGCTTATTTCGATCCACATTTGGAAATACATATTTCGTAACTTAGAGTTTTTATACTCTAAAGAGTGTCAGACGACAGGCTTTAGCAAGTTTCATAATATTTGCTCTTTCGAAGCATTCCATACTAGAAATCAAATAACAATGTTTGTTTTAGGCAAGTATAGACAAAGAAATGGAAAGTAAAAATTATAGAAGACTTGACAAAGGGAAAAGGAAGATTTACAAAGATTACCTTGCTTACAGCAACAGAAAAGTAAGTAATATCAGCCTGCAGTACTCTCCATCACGGCAGTATCACCGAAAAAAATGCAGTACTCTCCATCACGACAAAAATGTCATGATATCAGTTTTAAGTATTTCTGTATTTCTGTCTCGAATTGTTTTTCTTATTAATCGAATTGTTAACGTTTTCAGGGAAATGTTTTTCTTGATACAATGTCATACGAGGAATATGACCCTCTCGCAATCAGTGGACATCGCCCGGGACCATTAAAAGTAAGTGAAATCAGTTTAATGGCTTTAGATTACCAAAGCATTTCTCTCGCCGTTTTGGTTTAAGTGTGCCATAACGGTGAGTCAAAATCTTGCGCTGTTCCTTACATTGTTTCTGTAAGGTAGTCATAACATTTCGCGAGGCAAGCCTTGTTGGGGGGGGGGGGGGGGGGGTTGGTTGTGGACTACAAAAATACCTGATTGAAATATTATTACCTGAAATTCTTTAGTTGCTGTCACGAACCTCTGCAATACATTTTGTCAATCTAACTCTGTATATAATTCGCAACTTTCGTTTTTATATGATAATAACGGATATTTCTAACAATTTTGTCAAATCTCTATATTGGGACGGGAAAAGGATATAGTTACTACGCGAGGCGGCACCATGGTTGCCGCCGAAGGAGTAATCATTTTCGAATTTTGATGCTTTAGCCACCTGGAAAATGCAATCTTTTAAGCAAATTTCACTAAAGCAATGCTCCTAATTCTATTGAAAATTATTTTTTTTGCAAACAAATTGAAGAGCAGATAAAGACAACTGGTACAATTTTGCCATGGTCTTGAAAAGTACCATGTTGTCAGTTACTTCTTGAGCTAGGTAACAAGCGGCACTGGTTGTCAATTTAGATCCCTCTTTCCATCTTAGCATGCCTTTTGAATGTTAAAAAAAACTGGAGCTCATAGTGAATTGCAGTTGATTCTTCTACCGAGAAATTTTAGGGGATATAGATACAAAGCACAATTTTACCTAAAGAGGGCCTGGATTTTTGGCTTTATAGCCAACAAGAAATCATTAAAGCTTTGTTTGTTTACCTTTATTCATCACTATCAGCCCTCTCAGACTACACTTCATCGTATTCTAAACTTCTAGTCAAGGCTAAATCTACTACAATTCAGATTCACTCCATTCGGCTGCTAGCATAAGTTTACAAAGCTCTGCACAACTTGAATCCAGCCTTTATGAAAGACTACTTTCTTCCAAAACCCAATAGCTATAATCTTCGAGAAATTGATAGTCTATCTGTTCCAAAGGTTAAAACAACAAGTTATGGTATAAAATCTATTAGCTTTTTGGGTCCAAAGATTTGGAATTCTCATCCAAATGAATCGAAAGATTTTTTGTATTGTTCACTGAAGTTTTTTCTGATATATTCTTATCTCCACAGTCAAGAACGCAAGAGATAAATTTAAGGTTGTCGGGGAGGGGAATTTACTGCGTTTTTTAACCCTGGGTGGGGCCCTGAGTCTTATTGGAGCGAAATTTCTCTAACAGCTTTCTCTAAACGATTGTTTTATGACATTTGAATATTTGCATGTTCTGGATATTTTGATGGAAAATTCCCCAACCGTGCGAGTTCTTTGGCAACAAAAACTAATTTGGTAAGCATCAAGTGACTTTCGTGCGTATACAGGCGTAACGTTTTACAACTTAACTGAAATATGATATGCAATATCATTATGACCTGAATATGAGATTCTTGTGGTACTGTCTTTAAACAACATAACAAGTTTTCAACAGTTTAGCTATTTAGGCGACTTTTGCTATTCAAGGTTGTCATGAAGAAGCCCAGCGACCCCTTACAGTTTCAAGCCGCAAAGCGAGATGATGAAGAAAGGGTCGTAATCTCTTGTCAAACGGGTCTCGAGTTGACAGATCGTGAAATAGAACAATTCCGACTGCCACCGTTGCCGTTAGTACCCCTCGGACGACATGGCACTGGGTGTGGTAAGCTGTTAGAAATGGAGCTACATGACATTCAAAGCGATGTTAGACAACGCAGTCAGTAAGTAGTTTTAAATGTTAATGTTATAAGCCCCTTTGTATCGAATATCTAAGTTGTCGATCACATGCAGTATGTGAAAGCAACCCACTAATCTCTCAAGCTCATGCTGGGCGACACAGTGGCAGCAATTGATTTCTAATTTTGGGACAGGCACAGGGTATTTTCAGTGTCATTTGTTTTGAGTGGTCTATCTCATTTCCATCTAAAAACGTTCGATTGGCATTTTGGGGAAGGTAAATGAAAAGGGAAACAAATGGCGAAGTCACGAAAAATTAAAATAGTCAACTAATGGCGTATTTCAATTGTTAAAAATTGTCAAATGTTAAAGTTTTCAAATGTTAAAAGTTGTCTGGGGACTAATAAAGTTTTCCGAAATAAATATTACGATTTTTACTTCGAGCAAAATTAACAGAATCAAGATTGGAAAAGATTCATGTATTTCATGTGACATTGAAACAATAACAGAATAAAAACATCAACTTTTCATGCAGCTCTAAATTGACGCATTTATGAAATTGAATAGAAAAGCTTATCACCTATTTTATTTTCTGTGGAGAGCAACTTTTTAGATTGTAGTTACATGTATGGTTTATTTATTTTCAGAAGAAGAATGCTTGGAATCAGAACAAATAGTGACATTGATTTTGAAGCTTGGCAAGATGCTGCATTGGAACCTAACGTGATTGACAAAGAACTTCGTTCTAGGAAAAAGAAGCAGTTTCAAGAAAAACACGAAAGCACTATTCTTCTAACATAGAAATAAGTGTATAGGGCCTAGTTTTTTAATGAATAATCCATACTGAATAAATTTTTTTATCATATATTTACAGGAGAATTTTGAAAAATATATTGATTTTATGAATCTTGCTTAGATTTTTCAGAATGTTTGATAGTTTTGGAGTACAATCTTAATTGTACTCCAAAATGTCTTTTTATTTGCAAATACAGAGGCTAGAGGCAAATGGACATTCTGTTTTCCAAATACCTTGTAACATCTTGCAGCAACCTGTTGAAGGGCTGTCATATGATATTGCATACAATAAAAATTTGCAGCAAGTGGAAATTTTTAGAAGCATTTAGCAGTGGCGAACACCTGGGGATTGTGAGTGGGGCAGTCATTCCCCAACATTTTGGAGGACAATATTCTTTTGTTCTAAAACAAGGAGAAAAAGAGACATCATCTTATCAAAAAAGAGGCTTGCCCCCACCCCCAATATTTGATACCAATAAGTGTCCACCCCTGACTTTAAGTATATGCAACTCGGCTCCCTGCAGCATAGAAATTGTGTTGTGTTTTAGCTTTATGTAGTGCTTGTAGCAGCCAGTTTTTTCATTTCATTCACATTTAATTTCTTGCAATTGAATGTAGCGAACAATCACCTATGATGTTTGACACAATAGTAGGCCAGACTGTAAAATACCTTGTGCTGGGCTGGAAATGGTGCATGGAAAGCATGAGAAAGCAAATTATTTGGTGATCACAATAATTTGACTTTACCATTCAACTCGCCCTCCCCTCCCACCCCCCCCCCCCCCACTGCTACCGGGGCCTTTCCTTTATTAACATTTCAAGGCCTTAGGCTCAATTATCTGAATTAATCTCAATTTCATTTGCAAAGTTTTTCAAAAAGAAGCTATGTTACAGGTATTCGAAATATTGCCTACGCCACAGGACAGGCACAAAAAGAAAACATTAACAACTTTAAAGAACATATACATTTTAGTGATTAACTGGCTTCTTTTCCTCGTCCACGGCCGAAACCACGGCCAAAACCTCGCCCTCTCCCCCTGCCTCGTTTGTAAGTTTTCATTGGTGGGTTTTTCGTTCTACTGATCATATTGAGCTGTTGGAAAATTGCTCTTCTAATGTCTATTTCATCTGGTATCTGAACGAAACGAATCTTTTCACCTTGGACAAATATTTCATCAAAATGTAGGACACGTCCATCAACTTTTGTAAGCGTGACATCAAGCATTCTAATGTTCATAAATCCATCGACATGTGCGATTCTTCCATACAACGCTGATTCGTCGCGCAGTTCTACGGTTGTGATGCATCCTTTGCAAGCATGAAGCAAGCAAATCAGCGTTTTTTCAGCCGAGTACTTCTCTTCCCCTGCTATTTCCACTACTTCAGATGCCGCCATGTCTTACATTCTAAATGCGAGATTAGCCTCGTGTTGATTTGGCGCCAATTTTGATAGAGGATGTTTGATCGGTGTGATGATGTTGTGTTGTGAAATTGGATCACTGTTGAATACAAAAATAAGGCTGCCTTGGCGAAGGGCATCTGCTGACCCCGACGACAAATCCTGGTGAGTTTTCCTAAGCACTGTTAAATTTTAGTTTAAGAAAGGAAATATAAAAAAAGATTGAGAAACCTTCCAGCCTGTATATTAAAACAAATCTAGAACCGTATTATGATATGCATGGTAAGGACCATATTTTGGAAATTAACTGTTACTTCAAGTTAAACATAATGAAAAACATATATTATATTATCAAGTGTGCCCAGCCTGTAAAACGAACATCAATTTGCATAGGTGAAGGCTTTTATAAAAAAGGCTCACATCTGAAGTAAATCAACAAGTGTATGACTTATGTAATGTAATGAATCTATCTTTAAAGTTTTAGTAGGTACAATGAGGTGTTGGAAAATATTTTTACTTACTGTTTAGATATTTACTGCAGAACAAACTAGGCATTTTTAATGCAAATAGTAATTTAGTTTTCCTTTTCTTTTAATACTGATGGTTTTTGTTTTGGGCCCATTGAATTAACAGGGATTTTGCGAATATGAAATTTTGCGAATTATGTACTAATTTTTCAAATAAGCATGAAAGTTGGTGATTTTGTGACTTTCTGTTACCTGTTTATCATGGAATTGCTTTGGATACTATTTATCAAAACAAGTCCAACTATGAATTGCTTGTTTTCCCACTGTGTAAAATGTTTCATGCCACTTAATACTTTGTGAACCATTTTGGTCCTATACAACACTTTGCAGGCCATAAGTTGAATTTTTTTATTTCTAATTGGCAGCCAAATTGTTTTGTTGTAATTTTCTTTATTGTTTTATCAGAACCATCGTGGAAAGTTTGCTTTTTGCATGCCATAGGTTTTACACCACTAATATTGGTGTCCGATTCCTACCGCCAGCTTGCTTAAATTCATTAGGCATGCCTTGTAATGCTGAGCAAACCTTGCAGAAGGATATGTAGTATAGTTTATCTGTCTGACGGAGATGTGACCTTTATCAGATTTTTTTCACATTCCTCAAATTGTTCCATGTTGTATCATTTTCAAATGAAAACAGTACACAGAAATCAGTGGTGTGGCCAGAGTGGGGGTGGTTTTGGGCACATATAAACCAAACAGTAGGAGTTCAGGGGTCTACCCACAGGAAAATTTTAGCAGACCACAGCCTTAGAAATAAAGGAAAAAGTCTCCTATCGCAAATATTTCTTAAATAAGCTATGTCATTTGTAAGTGCCGCTAGTCAAGGCCACAAGACATCTTTCTTTGGACATTTTTAAACATGCAGAAAAAGCTTTAGATAATTTTTAAATATTACACATATAGCAAATTTTCAAATGAAAAACCAGAACATTCATGCCATGCCAATGCAATTATGCCAAAATTTTGCAGAAAAAATACACCAAAATTTGGCATAAGTACTGCAATTGTTTGCAAAACATTTTTAGTGTAACATGCATGTTCTCTAGAATGGTCTCTGAGGCATTGACATCATGTCTCACGAGATAGGTATTGTGTAACCTTAAACATTTTTGTGTGGGGTCATCATTTCCACTGCCTAAGAATGTGGAAGAAAAATGTAGCTTAAATGCATGAATAATTGTTGTTCTTGTGATGATGTGATGTGAGTGTTGATATATCAGTAGTGAATAAAGTGTTTGTATATCACTAGCAGCTGATTTATGCTGCATTTACAGCTACAAACTCCAGATTTTTTCAACCAAAATGTCAATTGCAATGATTTGAAATATTATTTTGCAAAGTAGAATTCAAAGAAAATTTTGTGAAAGGTCAAATGTCACACTGCCACAAAACTGCTAAATTGTTACAAAAAGCTCAAAAATTAATATAGCGTTACCAACCTCAAATTGAACAATGCTCTTGAAAGTTTTAGACTATGAATGCACAAAGAAGACACTCAAATAAATTATTGTCAAGAACATGTATGCAGTGGCAGACACCTGGGGTATAAGGGATGGTCATCTCCCCAATACTTTGGATGGCAATGGCTTCTTGTTCTAAAACAGTGGGAAAATGTGATGTCATTGTATCTAAACAATAGGCTTGCCCCCCCCCCCATTATCTAACCAAGTTTCTTTCCTTGCATTTATGTTACTGCTAAAGCATAAAAAGCTTTAAGTTTTTTAATTTGCAGAACAACTATTATATACATGTATGTGTACTTAGAAATTAATGAAACATCTTTCCATTTTTTGAGGACACAATGTCAGTATTCAACTCAGAACTTGCTGATGAAATAGAAAAAGCAGTCCTCTTGATGAAGAATGGTGAATCCGATAATGCAGTCAAAGTTCTAAAGCAAAGTACTTTGAAAATTTGAACAATGTTTTCTTTTGTTGTTGTATTGATATCTTTAAATAAATTTCTGCTTTGATCTCTTATAAATTCTGGATAAAGGTCTGATACTACAACAAAGGGATGATATTTATAATGTTATTACAGGAAAGCAAATGCCAGCCAATCAAGTTGCTGAATCATGGTTGTGTGAGTTATGCATCATCACTTGCAGAATAAAGGTTGGAAATTGCAGCCTGATTTTTCAGTTTTAGTATTCAATATGTAAGGCTGATTATCTTTAACAGCATTACTTTCTCAAACAACTCAGAAATATGAACATAAACTAATAACACAGAGAACTGTCAAGTGGGTCAGAAAGACATTTACTCCCCTGTTTAGCCCCTGAGTTTTTTGTTAGAGAATCAATCTGGCCCACTTTCAATATTTCAGCATTTTGTCCTTTGTTTGTATGTCTAGATAGATATTTTATATTTTCATTATTCCCACTTATTTCCATTGTATTTTGGATTACCTACTGGTGATGTCTTATGCTTGCAAACACAGTGAACTATGCAAATTACAAAGTCTTATTTTGAAATCCTTTTTTAAAAGACGGAAAAGTTTGAAAGATCATCTGACATAACAAATTATCGAAAGCAACTTTTGGAACTTTTAGCAGAGGAGCAAGGTGCATTATCACAATTATCATATATTTTGACTAACTGACTTATAATATTGATTACAAGTTGACTAGCATATATAATAAAAAGTAGCTTTCAAGGTCAATCAACAACTGTTTTGATCCTGGGCTCTTTCCATCAACTACTTGGACATTTTGTACTCATTTTCATCCAGCCTCTCCAGACATATTGCTTTCTATTTGGTAAAAGTATTCAACCGGTTTTTAAAGCTCTTTTCTAACTCTATTTTACAGCCATTTTGCAGCAATGGCCTTCTCCAAGTATTCTGTTATATTTACTATCAGTTACTTGCATGCTCCAGCAATTTTTCGAAAGCAAAAAACACATTAGCCTTTGTAGCTAAAGCTTTTTAAATTCCCATCTCATATAAGTTTGATTTTTTTCTATTTTAAAGATTTTGCCATTTTAGTGAAAGTAAGAGAATTAAAAAATAGTGAAAATCAGAAACATTAAAATTTGTTAAATCCTTGGATATGATTGTTAAATTTTGGTGATTAATTTTCAGGAACTCCTTGCTCTGTCCTTGGCTCCATAACCGAGTTGTGCAGCATTTGCAACATCCTTTCATTGGATTTGGTAGAAAGAAATTCTTTTCTGGTGGCAGGCAACTCTCTAAAGGAAGATGTTGGCCACCATTTGGCTACTGCTACAATAAGAGGTTTTTGCACATCACATTTGTCAGTTGATTTGCGATGATAACTTGTGCTTGAAGCCAATAAAACAGAGCAACAGACAAGCACTTGTTTAGACATGCAGTGATGTAGAAGTTGTTTTGCATTCTCTTCTTACTCATTAGCAATTAGGACAAAATGCTCAAGAAGCTCTCACTTATTAAGGAAATAACAGAATCACACTAGAATTATATCAACATATTTCGTCTGTTTTGATCATTTTGAGTAAAGCTCACCGTTAAATGCATCCATATTATTTCGCATTTTAAATCAATTCTGAACAAACGTCTGAGCACTTTGTTATATTTCAGTGATGGTTCTCGCATCCAATTCTTTTCAAAAGAAAGCAGAGATACTGAACCGCTCCCAATCTTGTAGTACACCAGATATCGTGTCGTTGATCACCGAATGCTGCAGAATGTTGCAAAATGCTCCAGGTACTCTACCAGCTTGATTGCAAGTACAATAAATACATTCTAACTTTGTTCTCTCAATCATAGTTCATCGGAGCTGCACGGCTCGTGCAAATTGTGCCTCTTATATTTAGAAATATAACCCTCTTGTCAAGTTTTCAAAATCGATTAGCAAGCATAAAATGTGAACATATTAATGCGTGAACACGCACCATAATCCTCAATGAAAATCTTTAACCTGTCCCGCTAAATTTTAGGCGTTGGGTAGAAGTAAAAAATAGTTTCCTGTTGAGTGATTGAGTTGAACTGTCTTAGGATTAGTCACCTTTTTTGTTTGCCATGAAATGGTTCACCCAACAAACGCCTATTTTTTTGCCTAGACAATTTCTTCCTCGCCGACGAGGCGGTTTGTTGCAACAGAAGTAGAAGTCTACCAGATAGTTAAAGTCATTGTGATTTTAAACATTTGTTGAGTGTTTTGAGTCTGGGTTGCACTTCAATAAGTAGCGTAGGGTAATACTGAAAAGTCGAGGGAAGCGCTGCTTGTAGATGCACAGCTCTTTCGACTGGAAATGCGTTATGATTTTGTTGTGAAGCTATTTTGATGTTTTCATGATTTTCTGACTGAAAAATGGAAGGGCTACGAATTTTATCAAACAGCGGATATTTTACAACAAGATGCTTGGTGAGTACTTTAACGTTCTATCGCTGCTAAAGCGAAATGGTTCTAGCAGTTTTCTTCTGATTCAATGTGATTGCATCTCATTGTTCTTGCGTTTACGTGTAATGCAAGTTCAAGTCCATTTTTCATGCAATCGTCCAGTATCAATTTGTCGGTTATTAGTATTTTGTCTTTTTGTTTGAATATCGGTGTCGTTTGCTTGTTATAGGGGAACAGAGTAAGTGGTTGTCAATGTGCCTTGTACATGTTTCAATTATGGTAATGATGCTGCTATCCTCTGAGAATCAAGGTAACTTCAACATGCTTTGTTTCGATATTCTAAGCTACATAAAAACTCAACTTTTCGAAATTCTTACATCATTCTATGATTTATCAAGATAAACTAACCTCATCGTCATTTTTGTGCTCTGTAAGCTCATTATCTGTTGCTAAATTTCAAACGCGAGGAAACATTTTAGTTTAGTGTTCAGTTCATCGTTAATTTTGTTGCCTTTTAATAACAAAGTCTTCCGTAAAGACCGAACATATCTCTTGCTCGTTTGACCTACAAATGATAGTTTCTTTGATACGGTGTGAGAATTGACAATATTCAGGAAAACGAATACAAAGATCGTCATTTTCTACCTTATTGCAAAATTAGTTGAGACTGCGTTCCCTTGAACATTTCTCCGTCCGTGACGTCACACATCAATATTCAGACGCACCATTATTTAACAATTACGTTGTGCTTATTAATACAATATTTATTGAATACGCGGACTTCTCCGTTAGCATATATGCACTGAAAGCACAAAACATATATATATAACATATATATATAACATATATATAATTGAGCGGGTAGCTCCATGTCCACATTGTGAACTTAGAAAAGTCAAGGATCACCAATCGTTAATTCGCATTGCAGTCCAATCAGCCATAATTTATTCTGTTTAATTCCAAAATGATTTTTGCTTTCAATATGTTTTCATATTGATCTTCATTAAGGCCAAGCATTCGAAAAGCTGGTGTTGGAACTTTTTGAATTAACAAGAAGAATCAAAATACAGGTATAGACAGATTAATGCTTGTTTAAGGCACCACCTTCTCTGTTGTTCACAATTCTCCTAGTATATCCATTTCGATTCCGTTGTTCAGTACACAGGCTCCTGCTTAGCGCACCTCCTCGGCACTGCCTAAGATCCACCAATTGTTTGTGTGTTTTCTTTGATCTTCACCGCCGGTCTGATCTTCCTGCTCCGACTGCGGCAAATCAGCTTTAAAAAAGCTTTTCGAAATCTCTCATTGCCAAACCCAAATATGACTGGGTTAATAGCTGGCATGAACTGGGTTATAATTGCGGTTGCTATATCCAGCCGTATAGGTATGACAAAATCACTATCAAAAATCTCCATCAGGTTGACAACTATAAAAGGGACAGCGCATATAAAGTAGTTAAATATTACGCTAAACAAAATAATGGTGCCTCGTATTTCGTCTCTTTTGCGCTGACTTTGATTCAGTGATCCTTGTGCAAAGAAGGTTCTCGTCTGCCGTAATTTTTGGAAGATGCGCACCGAACAAAACAAGAGAACGAATAATGGCCCGACCATTGATGTTACAGCTACAACTATCGAGAACGACAAACTGGTCCTGATGCGACAAGTACATGCCAATTTGCCAGGCGAGAAAGTGAAGCGAGACCAGCCTAATATTGGTGCCAAGCCAAGAATCATGTGGTAGAGCCATATAGCGGCCATTGCAAGTTTGACGTTTTTGCACTTATCGCTGTCGTATAGTGCAACATAGCAATACCGCTTTACCATTATCAGCATCACGAAAGCAAATGAAGAAAATGTCAGGACGAATTTGATGTATCCAGATATGTCACAAAGAAGTCTACTTGGTCCTGTGGAGCCAGAATATAATCCATGAATCATGAAGCCTGTATTTAGGCACATTAACAGGTCACAAACAGCAAGGTTAATGATCAGTACACTAGGGAGTTTTTGTAAAAGCTGTACCCTTCTGTAGACAAAGCAAATGGCAACATTGGCAAAAGACCCAAACGTGAAAATAATAATGATAATGCTGATTATTCCGCTTTTCTCTGCGTTGCTAAGCAACATTTCATTCTGAACGCTGGTGTTTTTCATCATGATTAATGGCGCAATTTTCACGACAAAGTCTTTAGAATATTTGCAGCGATCAGCCTTTTCCATGCGGCGAGTGTCAACCCTGACATTCCAGTGCAGAGGCGAACCGTTGCTTTCTCAAATTCGTGAACGTTCTACCATCTCAATACATATGAAATCTCAGTTTTTAATGGTACAAACAAAACCTCCGTTTCTGCGTGTAGCGGAGATGGATTGTCACTCCAGCCTGGCTTTTATGCAATCTGTTAAATCCACTTTTATCGCGTTGAACGAGACACTAAAACTACCTAAAAGTCCAACCCAATTGAAGTTCTTTCTCGCTTCTGACAATCAGCTATCCCCAGTTGATGTGCTTTTCGAATATAACTGTTGCGTATTCGCGTTTTTTAAACGAGGAATTCAAACGTCCGGTTGTCAGATGTTCGCTGGTCCTTCGGCCCAAAAGTTGAAAGTCTGCTCAAAAAATATGGTCATCTTCTATCAATAAACAATTTGTTGCTTTTCCTTCGTCGTCTACTTTTTCATAGGTATCTTGAGGCATATCCAATTGCTTGTAAGAATCTCACGTATTTAGCTACATCGATGTTTTTCGCCTTTCTCTTGAACTATCTAAATTTACATTGTTCTGTAGCCATGCATTCAAATCCTACAGTTCTCTCTTCACCGCAATTGCAAATACAATCTTATTCAATTGTTAACTTAGTTTTGCATGATTATCCATGCCTTGAAGCCATAGCTGTTTTGTCATTTGTCTGCTTCACTGATTTTCACTGTTTCCATCATTTCTCGTACAATACTTGAGCTTTTCCTTGTTTTCGGTCACTCTGTTTGATGCAGTTCATCCTTAAAGCCCCTCCAAGTTTCGCATATCTCTTGTTTGTCCTCGATCAGTTCTCATAGTTTTACCGTCTCTACTGTGATTCCGTTTCATAAACAATATAAGCGTTATCTCTGGCTAGACTAATTGTCAGCATTAATTTTGCAGGATCCGTCAATTTCTGGTTTGGTAGCAGGTGCTTTATTGCAGCAGGCTCATATTGAAGGTCGAATGGATTCACTTTGTTCAATGCAATTGTAACCAATTCTTTTCGCTTAGAATTTTAATAGTTTTATAATACTGGCGTCCATACGATGTTACAGTGGTGTCCTAAGTTTAGACGACGTAAAGTGAAAAGCAAAGGCATTGCTGAGAAGCAGTTGTTTTTTTAATAATATGTCTTCTCAGTAAGTCACAATAGTGTGCTTTATAAAAAATTCTGCGCAGTTGATTTTTCATAAGACTGAATGAATAATTTTCAAATCAGCAAAAATAAAAAGCTATATTTATTCGTACAAATTTTTGACAAGGGATTTAAGAGCTCTGTGAGGAAATGTATGTCAGGCAAAAATGCTCACCGAAAAGTTGAATATATAGTTTAGATGCGCGTATGTAGGACCTAACTCCGATTTTTCGAAAGTGTATATCGTGCCTCGTAGAATCTAGTACTAACCTTTTGGAAAATATTTTTTTGTGGGTACATTGAGAGAGGGGCTTGTTATGATTGAAAAGTGGAAAAGGCCGTCTGGGAACTATTGTTTACACCGAATGGTGAAAATCGATACCATTTTAAAACCATTTATACAATTATTGAAACCGGTTGACAAACCAAAATATTAAAGCTAGTAATATCGTAGAAATGGACATAGGAGGTCCTTGTACTCGTTAAAACTGATTGACAAAGAACTGTCACAATCAATACCTTCTCTTTTGTTACATCCTCTGTGTTTGGATATTTACTTGTGTCTCCTACGATGCAGTGCTGTGATTCGGTTTTATTCGCTCTCTTTTTCTCCTCCTTCTCCTTATTATTTCGCCGTTTACTTTAAATTTCTGTAGACTTTGAGCATCAACTATCTTCGTTGGCCGGCCTTTTTCAAATGATTAGTAAGAGGGAGGAGGCTGCCAAGAACCTTATTGAAAAGTATCAGGGATACAAAAACACAAGCAAACTTCTTCAGCTGTTGACAGGTAATTGATCATTCATATAACTTTTTTGTATATTACAAGAACCAGAGATGGAGCAAAAGTAGATTTGGATTAAATTTCTTGGAAGAGTTGGACGAAATTTTTTGTAGCCTGATCCTTAAATTGGTTGATAGTGCCCATATTTATACAGTTTTAGCAAATGCTTCATTTTATATATAGGAAAACACAGAAAAGACACATCCTAGTACGATTTTGAATTGTTCAAAGTTTTGGTTAGAAGTGAGTGCAGAGCGAATCAGCCAAATACTAGCCGTATAATCGTATAATATCGGATGGAAATGAATTGAATCCATTATAGTGCTGTTTACTTATGTACTAAAATCTGTACTATATCTGCATAATGTGTGCTTTTGCAAAAGAGCCAATCAGCAGGCAATATAGGAATATCTGCGATTTCTTGCCATAAAGTCAAAATGTATTGAGGTGTATCAAAGCCGAAAATTTTAAACCCAAGGGCTGGGTTATAGTGTACCTGTTTTTTGTATGCCTCATGTCCACGCAGTGTCTCCTATCCGCTCGTCCTCTCCAATATTGGAAAAGGTTTCTTTTTAAATACGGTAGCATAATAATTTCACATTGGTGGATTCACTTTTTGAACCTTTTTTTGTAGCCTACACGCTCCTCAAGGAAAATAATTTTATGCACTGCTCTGTTATAACTCAAGCATTATGTTGCCAGCTGAAACAAGAGGGTGATGAAAACGATAGCCTGTTGTTCAGCAATGCTTTGAATGTTCTTGGCATTTGTTACTTCGAAATGGTATGTTTTATACGCCTCTTTTCGTATCTATCTGTGATGATAGTGGTACTATCTTTCTCTTATTTTTCACAAAGGGGCTCATCTCTATGATTATTTTACCGTCATGTTTCAGTTATAGGAATGTTATTTTATTTCAACTTTGAAGTCATACAATGAAAGCATTAAACAATACTTTGTAGGAAAAGCCCAACATCGCTTGTCGTTTATTTGAGAAGTCGTCAAGAACGTTCCCGCGTAACAGAGCCCCGTTGAAGAATTTACTCCTGACGCTTGAAGTTTTGAATCAATTCGAAATCAAGTTGGATTGTATTCATCAAGCTTTGCGGGTTTGTTCACCGTCATTTTTCCTTTTTTCGTTCCTTCAGCCAACCTTGTACACTAACTGTCAAATTAGGAAGGCCGTACAAACACAGCACTAGTCCACTTGTGCCGTATTGGTTTGAAACTTCAACGATACCAACATACCTCCAGAAAATTATATAATCGCTTTTAAAGCTTCTTCTACTGTTTCGTTGAATTTTCATCTTCTTTGAATCAACTTACATTAGCTTAACACTTCCAATTAAGTGCCATTCAAGAAGTCTGAACGCGACATTTGATCAATGCATGCCAAAATCGTGTGATCTTCTAGTTATCAAGGTTTTTTTCACAGCTGTATTCAAACTGCTTATGTTGTTTTCCTCGTATCCAAAGCAAAGTATTTAAAAGGAATAAAGTGTGTTTCAGTCCCGTAACATGCAGTGATAGCGTGTCTCAGAATCCGTGTCTTTCCTATAATGTACCGTTTCCTTTCGGTTGATGATGCTATTCCCGTGGTATCTTTTTGATTTCTGTCGCTTTATATTGCAGCTAGTGCAATCTGATTGCCAGATGCCCTTAACTGGCCACCGAGTGGCATTTCGTTTTGAGGAAATTTTCGTTCTCAAGTTGTGTGCTGTAGTCAGTTCAAGGTTTCAAGGTTCGTCTATTTTTGTTGTCATCTATCAATGTCGAATAATGTTTTTAAAACTTAAATTGAACTCGTCAAGTTATTCGGATAAAGGAATTATTCTTAAAAAATCTTATGCGATGCTATTGAAGTATTTCAATTATATATTATTGAGTGAATGTCCGGCGGGCTCTATCTGTTTGGTCCAATGTATATCGTGTGTGTTCCTGAAAGTAGAACCTGGACCCCAATCTCTAACATACTCGCAAAGACTTATAAGTCTATGCTATATATTTAAAAACAAAGACTTGAAATTTCTTATCTAGGATTAGAACAATATACAAGAATAGATGCTACTGCAAAATTTTTTGTACTTCAATATGCCATTGATTTACCTAAAAAAATATCTTTAACATCATATCAGTAAATTCTTGCCCTTTTTGTGTTTCCTCTGACTGATAAAAAAGTAACCCTATTTTCAAGATTCTGTGCCCCAGAGTTCTAGCTTTCAGACCAACCTTTCCCAGAGTTTTTCAGAACTCACCTGTAATACGTTTGATCAACTGACTGAGCCCGCCGGGAGTAAATGGAAACATTTCGCCTCCCTTTGCCATTTAAGCATGCTTTATCGAGTCGTTTGATGACTATACAAGCAATGTCTTTTTTATAAAGGAACAAGGCTATGTGGCAATGGAGATAGGCTTTGTTTATACTTGCCTTGTTTGGATGAGAGGCAGCTGCTAAGAGACCTTGCTGGTTGCCTATTTCAGCAAAAAAGGTGGGTTAAAGGATGCCCAACTTGAAAGAGGCGTGTGTCAGTATAGATATACTATACTGCTTTATATAACATATACAAACATGTATACATGTTGTCTTTTATAATTCTGAGTCCTTGCTAGCTCATCAGCCAATCCACCAGGTAGAGCATTTCGGGGCTTATGATCAGTATGCTCCTTTACACCTGGCAAGGCTCCCCACAGCTTTTAAGGCAAGGCTCCCCATAGCTTATCTTGGTCAAGTTTTAGGAGATACTTCCTTCTCCCTACGAAAAAGCTCCTCTTTCCAATTCTCCTTTACTGCAAAATATCTATATATGATGCAATATGAAGACTTACCTTTACCAGTTTCATAACTGATATTATTTTGTTGATACTGTCTTGTTGTGGATAATTTGGATCTAATGAAATTGAAGATGAGTATCGAATGTTTGTTTTACAGATTCAAAGAGGCATCTCGTGCATATCTTAGTTTGATAAGAAAGTCCAGACAGTGCTGTTTCTCTGGGGTAAGTTTTAACGTGAACTGAAATTAATAACTGCAAACATAGTGCAAAAATGTTTTTTATGCGCGCGCATGCTGACGTGATTTACCTGCCCGCGAAAATTGTGTCGTTCTGTCCCGGATGCGATTGATATAAAAATATATGAGAAAACAAACTTTGAATTTTAACCTTACCTCTGCTTTATTTTTATGGAGTCAAATAGATAAATTATCTACTTAAGATACATTTATATCATTAAATTATGGCTTTAAAACCTTATTAATCTCTTCGTGGCCTATGCTTTACTGCCAAACTAAAGTATCCTATGCCTAGGCCTACTATTAGGCAAGAAGGGAAATATGAACAATTTAAAAAGTAAATTTTCAAGCGTTACCCAATTTTCCGCCTCTGAAGGAGACAATATACAAAAAAATTGAACTTTTGACTACAAGTATACAAAAATTCAGGATGCGGCATGGTGGAAATTTTTCACGATCGTTAATTCAAATATCGAACAAAGCTTCCCATGTTGACCTTTCAAAATTTCGCTTTTGTTTGGTTTCCTACTCTTATAGAAAAATACCGAAGCGATTTCAAAATCGCGTTAAAAACAGCTACTTACATTCGTGACCAATCTATTTTAATGAAAAACTTCCATGAATATACCGCATATCCCAAAAAGTATGGCGGTTTTAAATCATCATTCAATCGCACCCATAGTTTGACAATCCTAAAGTTAGGTATCTTTGCGGTGAAATTATGAACGTGACCCAATTTTCCAAATATGCCAACCAATATAATCTTATTTTTCGGGGCATGAAGATGAATCAATAAAAAAATCAGCGTGCGGCATGGTGCCGTTTTTGAGATAAAATAAATTTGAATTTTGAACTTTTTCTCCGTGGAACTGACAATATTTGAGGCATACTCACATGGTAAAATTTTGTATATAAAATGAGCCGATCAGGCTTTAAGTTCACTCCGCCATGCTCAGGTCTTTTGTGGTTGTGGTGACACAAAACCCTATAACATTGCACCTCCCAGGAGGCCTGGATCGGAATCAAAGTGTCACATGGTCGGTTGGCGGGAAAAATTTTGCGCGTCGCCATTTGGCCGCAGCTTGCAGGCGCAAAAGCTCTTTGCACAGCGGCTGCAAACATTTTTGCTCTATGTTATAACTGCATCATGCAATCTATTTTGCCTATGTAGCATACTCCGCTCATTCTAGATTCCCCTCTCCTCGTAAGCAAAGTGAGCACTGGAGAAACAATAATCTGGATTTTCAAGGCGTTAGATTAAAAGAGCTTCTGTTCTTTAACGGCAACTATTAATTTTTTGCATATTTAGATGAATGTTTGTTTATGTGGCTTTCTAATATTTGTATTCAGTTTGACAGTAACATTGAGTTTCATGGACTATGGTATTTGCTCACAAATTTTCCAACCCTGATATGGATGACATTGAGAATTTAGCTTTTCTTGTGTGTGTAACTTTTTAAACGCACAATGGCATGAAACCGTATGTCAAGTTAACATCTTTGCAAACTGTGTGCAAATACTTTTCTTTGAAGCTCTATTTGTTTTATAAAAAGTATTTTCTGAGCATCTTGTTTTCTCAAACTTCGGTCAGTTCCACTCCTGTCATCGAGTCTCCTGTTGCATTCTAGAATAGCGATGAAAATGGAAATCTGGTCCTGCTCTTCCACCAGGCAATAGACGCGTTAATGAAAGCAAAGCTGCACAACCAAGGGCTTGTCTTATGCAACTACATTTTGCAGTTTCCTGCTTGTGTTACGACCTTGATTACAAATTCAACAGGGAAGATCCTGCAGTTCTATGATGACGTCATCACTCTTGTTTATAAAAGTGAGATTCTGATGCATCTTGGAAAAGACAGCGAGGCTTTATCTGTTTTGCAAAGGCAAGACGTTTTTATTTCGTTGGCACGAAATTACTTTTCCCGTTTTATCTCCGTTGAATTTTATTTAAAGTTGCAGGACATTTCTTCCATGTTTTATTTTAATTCTGCCATATAAAATGTTTACCCTTTTTTATAAAAAAACTGCCCCTGTATTCACTGATGTATTCTGTCAAAAACTCAATTAACAAAGCTCTTCTCAAATGGCATCCAGGAAGAAGACTTGAGTCAGAAATTTAGTTTTCTGCTAAGAAATCAAAGAGGTTGTATGAGTTTAAAATAACAATATATTTATTAACACTTTGCTTTCAACTTATCAGTATAACTTCAACATTAGAAGAAAACATTGGAATCCGGCAGCCTCTTGCTAAACGATCAAAATTTGAAGGTTTGACATTCCTTCAATTTTTCATTTTCTCAAGCTTCTTTTTGACCTTTCTTACGATATTTATCTTTGAAAGTTATCTGCGTTTTATTTCAGTTTTGTAACGGTAATCATTAATTAATAGTATTGATAGTTTTTTGGTATTTTATTCGGTAATGATTGATTGAAAGGTATTTAAAGTGATGACATGTCTTTCTACAAACTTGATATTTCCTCTCTTTCTCCCTAACCATTTCTCCCTTCCCCTTGTTAGGGACTAGCTATAGGCTCATGCGCCTTTTCCTAAAATCACCAACTAAAAAAATTTCAGTATTTAACGACCGTAGCTGGTGGTCGGGAAGGTAAAGTATAAGATTAAGGTTTTGAAAGGGGTTGGCTGTCTGTTAAGGCACACAGGAAGATGTGAATACAAGGCTGGGAAGAAGAGTACATTCTCCCCTTTTGAATTCAGCAACAAGATTCTCTTTTTTTAAAGTTTCTATAAAATGTCATAAGAATAAAGTTTTTCAGAACAACTTTGAATTATTTTATCAAATGCCAAAGTGGAATTTCAACAGATATCTTATTATTACAATAATTTTTTATCGTAGTGGGCATTCCTGTTGAATGTATTTGTACCCTGAAATTGGATGAGCTAAAGGCAAGTCTCATTTTATCTGTCGTTTTGTTAAGTGAGACTATTTTAAGATGAGCTAGTAATTTGATATCGCCATCAGATGAACAGTGAAAATCCTAATCGGCAATATCTCTGTCCTTATATAGACAAAATTATACAATAACACTGGCGTCGCATTGACGGCGACAAGTGCCTCGAAAGAAGCATTGGATCAATTCAAAAATGCCGTCAAATCAACCAAAGGTACGTTCTTTTTATCAGCAATCCTCAATCCACGCGTGGAAATTCTTGAAATGTGATTTTATGATGCTGCAACTATAGTTTTTATAATGGTCAATATTACAAGTATTGAACATTGTATTCGATTAATAGAGTGCCTTCTAAATGGCTTTGAAAAAAGCAAACATTTTACGACATACTAAAAGTTTTTTCGTCTGACACTCCTCAGAGCATAAAACGTCAGAATAAGGTTCCGAAAGAACACGATGGAAAATATATACCCAGTTGTGGATCGAAATAGGCCAATCAGAAAAAACGCAAGCACGAGACCGGTATGGTTGACCAATCAGTGCCGCGAGCCTAAAGAAAAATTACCAATGGAGTCCAAGAGAGAAAACGAACTCCTTCTGTCTACACAATGGCGGCTTTTTCGTTTTTATGTAGATCGACTCCAAAACTGCTAGATGGAAGGACGACCGGGCTCTGCCAATTATCCGAAGCATGTCGTCATTATAGAGTTTTGCACAATCTGGGTTGTCTAAAAGATGTTGACCGATGGCAGAATCACTTGTTTTAACAGTGTTTCTAGACCTACAAGGTCGAGGAGGCTGTTCTCTTTGAGGGGCAGTTTTGTTTCTTATGTTGGAAGGAACATGCTGTTTTATCCTATCCCCCAATCTTTGGGTTGTGCGTCCTACGTAGCCAGAATCACACTGGCACGTAAATTCATAAATGACGGAACTTTTTTGGTTGGTAGGAACGCAATCCTTTTGAATGGATGGAAGGGCTCTCCTAGTGCTGTAAACAATCCGAGGATTGATAGCAAAGAAACAATTGGTTATGGCTTGCCTAATCTGACTCTCGAATCGCAAGGAAGTATTACCAATCCATGGTAGTTTCAAATAAACTGGGCACTTTTGCGGACCAAACTTTTGAACAGCCGAAAAACTTGCGATCTTCTCCTTAGTATAAGATAAAATGACGTCTTCTGAATAGCCGTTGTCCAGGAAGATCGAGTTTTTCCAGTTCGGCGTGCAGAGTGCCTTCTGTGAATCAAATTATCGTTATCATTATTGACATTATTAACATTATATACCTTGTCAATGGAAATTTAGCAGCTAGTTGAGTTAGGAATCTCCACTCCTGTCCGTCACCATATCTCTGTTTTGCTTTATGGCTGCTTTTTTTCATCCTTATTACTAAAAGAATAATAACGATTAAAACTTGGCTTTTTTTAAGTTTTATAAAATAAAAAAAAACTATTGATTTGTCTTTGCTTGTATTGAGACTTGAAATTGGTGGATTTCTGAAGCTTTGCAAGTCTTGTCGCTTTTTCAGTATATATGGCAGGCTTTTCTTTCTTACAGATACCATCGACGATATTGTTATTTTCAATTATTGCAAACTGCTCTTCGATCAAGGTATGAAGGGCATTGCCCTAAGAAACTGGCATGAAGTTTACAACGAAAACGTGTCATTAGCGGATTTAAAAGAGAAATTATCAAACCCTTTTAGTATTCATGACTTCTCTTGCCTCAGCGCCGAAGTTTTGAAAGATTATTCGTGAATGTTATTAAGTTAATAAAATGAAAATTTTTATAAACCAATCGGTCAGAATTTCTTTAAAACATACTTAGTTTTTTCGTCTAAAGATCGTACTGAATATTGTGTGCTGTGAAGAGCTGGACCAATTAATGAACGAAATAGTGCACTATGTGTGCCGAAACACCAGTCCTGTTTTTTAATCAGGGTAGAATGTAATCTCATTTAAAGAAATACTGCAGTGTTGCAAAGAAAGTATAAAAATGAAAATTTATCATATCTACGTCAGTAGTAAACCTTGGGAAACTTTAGATGTATTTTTTTAATTTCTTTGGACATAAAATGGTTATTTGGCAAAGACAGTCCAATCCCTCGATAGTTGGAAAATGATTTAGCTACTTTTGGTCCATTATTGAGGGACATTTCTTTAACTTTGGTAGTCTGTAGGTTTTCCGTCGTGCAGAAATTGTAGAAGTAGAAATTTCTTCAAGAAGCTAAGAAATGTGATAAAGGCTCTCTGATCAAATATGATAGTGTGATGATTGGGTTTCATCCAGCTTGAAACTCGACAGATATGTATTAACTGTTCAAAAACGGTTTTGAGCATTTTACCCAACATCTCACAGGGTTCAAAGTACAAAGTACATGACATTTTGTTTTTTGATTGGAAATGTCCTGTGTTTATATGATAAAAATAGTAAGAAATAATTTGTTTAAAGTTTGCGTCAAAATCTGATAGCATTGTGAAGGCTAATTAATGCCAACTATCGGAAATATCGAAAGTATTTACAATGTAAGACAAATAATACTGTAAGACATTACAAGAGGTTATAATTCAGGGATTTCCAACTAAATTTGTTGGTGGGCCAAGACAAATACTTACGTCACAGGTGGGCCAGATGGAAGATTATGTAAATTTTCGGCAAATTTTGTAGTGAGCAGTAAACGGATTACACAAAAAATGATACTTAAAGTTACACAACAGTTGTAAGAAAAAATATCGATACGAAATGTTACATTTTCTGTTTGCAGGAAGTTTATTCAGATCACACATAAAACTGGTAGTTGACTTGTGAAGTATGTCATGTAAATGTTTGTCTAGATGAGCTTTGACTATGACTTTGATTTGTTCAGCTTCATAATAGAAAACGTCTGCTTTTGGATTAAATCAGTTTGCCTAATAAGGAGAAAGCATGCCCAAAAGTGGCATGCTGGCAGGGAGGCAAGGGGGCAATTACCCCCCTGTTGACATGAATTATCACCTTATAGGGACCCCGAAGACACCCTAGCCAAATAGCTAGCAAGCAAGGACAATTTACATAAAAGAACCCAACAATTCAAAAGGAGGACATTGTGGTGCCAGTTACAACTTTACCGGATTGCTATCGGAGCGGAGTAACTTTCTTATCGGATAGGGGTTTGAGTTACACTACGCCACACCAATCCCGTACACAACGCTCGATTAGCGGAGTGGAAATCACTCCGCTCTGGAGGTGATACGAATATCACTCCGGAGTCACTCCGTAGCGGAGCGTTGTAGTGTAATCGCACGAATCCGATATGCTCCACTTTGGAACAAAGGATTTTCTTATTGTTTTCTGCTTGAAGCAATTCGATCGATAGTGAATGCCGCTTTCTGAGATTTTATTGCTGTTGGATAATGCCAAATCGAAATCGTGAAAACATTTTCGTATTTGGATTTCATCTCTTCCTGAATTTTAATAAAATGGCCCTTGGACGAAAAACATACTTTAACACATCAGATAGCAACACAATATCGCTATCCGTCCTACGACTCCCCATCATTTATCTCTCAGTCTCATGCATAGCTATTGAAAACGAATTCGCAAGAGCACATAGATTCGAAAATATCATCAAAAAATTTAATCTGGTGGATTTTGTGTACCAGAAATGCAAAGGAATACAGGCTTATGAGCGAACGGAGCGTCGTAGTGTAACTGCTACCCTAAATATCATTCCGGGGTAAAAGTGACTCCGCTCCGATAGCAATCCGGTATGGTGTAATTCTAGCCTGTATAACCACGATAAATCGCTTTGAAGAGAACAAGAATCACATTCCATTCATTTTTCATTTCATTTCATTCCATTTTTCATTCTTCATTCACGGTAACCCCGTCGGCAAAGGCCGCTTTTCATTTCATTTCATCTTGTAACATATCACCTCTTCCTTCTTACTTGTTGATTCTAAATAGTCGTGTTTATATTTCTACACTTACTTAGGCTAGCCCTTACTTTTTACGCCGTCGTAGCAGGATTAGTGCATGACATTCGTGACTAATCTTGTATGTTCTTTAGCTCACCCGGGCGCATTTTGTTGTTAGGATACAGGCCACACTAGATTATTCGAATGCTACGACCATGAAGAAAGGTCAGAAGAATCAAGCAAGCTTTTAGAGCCACTGTAGGGCTCAACATATACATCAATATATCGCTATAATTTCTACCATCTATTGTTTCGCAAGTGTCATTGTTAAATCTACCTTCGTTGCAAGCGTACACTAAAGTAAATCGTTTACATTTGTATTATTGCCTTGTTTTGGTACGTTTTACCTACTCATTATACCAGTCTTTAAGCAGTAGTTCTCTTGTCTACTCATATCGCAGTTTGTTGCCATTTCATACCGTTACGGTAAACGGCGTTACCTTATCTTATGCATTGAGTTTCGTTGCTATTATCGTGTATTTATTATTCGGAATACACTTACGTTAAAAAAGTATTGGGACACCCTTCGAAACTTCGAAGACATTTTATGCAACAAATTCGGAAAGACTTTTTTAAAATCTTTCTCATTAAAAAAGTACGGCAGCTATTTCCACGTCGAGTCACGTCGCCCCTTATGGAACGATTTCAGTAAAAATTGTTTCCTCAGCTTTTTGGTACTTGCTAATAAAATAGAAGTACTATAAGCACATTCTTTGCTGTATAACCTACATGCTTGTGTAAAGACAGTCTTATCGGCTTTTCTCTCTTTCTGCACGAGCAACATTACTATAGGCTACTTTTCTTCGTGAAAAACTTAGGCCATCGCCCCTTTTGGAACGACTCAAATTTAGGCATGCAGAAAAGCGCACAATGGAGAAAAACCGGGAATTATTATATGGCTTCTTTCCTTCTACCTTTATCATTCGTCAGTATCAACTCAGACTTTCGTTGAGCCATTTTTTTCAAATTCAGAGTAAGAAAAAATAGTTATCCCCCAGTTTGGTTTTCTTACTTGAATGAGACTTTATCACGTGTAAAAATCCCGGTGAATGAAAATTTTGCAAGCTATTGTTTAGGTTTCAACGAATATTCGTTTTTGGGAGATGAAGAAACACGTTGTGGGGGTTGGTTTTGTTTTTAGCTATAAAACCGACCGAGGGAATGACCAAGAAAGTTGAGGTGCAGGAAAAAAAGAAGGGTCGAAGGTCTAATAACAACTTTTTCGTTTACATTCTGCTTACTTTTAAATTATTCTCCTAGCTTTTAAGAACAAAATGAAACAACGATAATTAGCAAAGAGTTCAAGTAATGGCGTCAGCAAAATAATTTCGTGCGTTTTTTGAAAATAAACAAACCTAAACTCCTTCATATTTATTTTTATCATTGCACAGTCAGAGATCATGAAAAAATCGAATCGTTCCATAAGGGGCGACGTGACTCTAACTTTGGTGCGCTTAACAACGATCGTCAAACACCATCTCAAGATTCCCACGCTAATTCTAAACGATTTTTGCAGACATTAGATACCAGGGGCGTACCGAGGTAGGGGGTGGGGGTGCCTTTGAGGAACCCGCCGATAATTTTGGGCTTAACTGTTAAAGTTCAGATTAGGCACCACTTCATAAAATTATTGGGAGGCTGCAAGGAGTTTTGTTTTGCTGAAATTTTAAGAAATGCCAGGAAGAAAAAGCTGAGAGATTTTGTCCCAATATGGAGAAAATTATGTTGCATTAGCTAAAATATTTAACAACGACACCAGAAAATCGATTAAACCCATCATATAACTTTCAACTTGTGGATATTCATTTAAGAGAAAGCTTGCGTCACTGAAAATTGCTTTAAAAAGTGCACTTTCCAGCAAACTGGAAGCATAAAATTTCGAAAGTTTTTTTCCTACGGCGGCAACCATGGTGTCACCTCGAACAGTATAGTTATATCATGGGCTTGTTCTGATATGTAGACCTAAAGGGTTAGAAGGCCTGATATTATCATGTTTTTTTGCATCGACACAATGTATTGGAGGATGGTGTCAGCAGCTCCAAAATACATACATTCTGTTGCGAGCGTCATGCTGTTTATAATTTGAGAAAGAATAATGAGTTTATGGTACCAAGGGTAAGAACAACCATTTATGGAACCGAAACTATCAAATATAGAGGGCAGCCTCTTTGGCTCTCTTTACCTTAGCACAAAAGGAATGCTCAATCCGAGGGGCGATCCACTCTTGCAAATAGCGTACGAGATTTTGCCTAAAACGATTTCCGGGGATTTTCAGATGAAACAATAGGATTTTCACAAAAGGTGTACGGGATTTTCTTGGAGTGATTTGCCCCTCGGCTCAATCTATTAACCAGTTTAAGAAAGAAAGAAAGAAAGCTGGAATGGCACCGACTGTACATGCAAAATATGTAGGACGTTCGTGCCACAGCTTGTGTCACTATGGTTACAGCTTACTAGAGTTCCTACGCAACGCACTGAGCCCTTAGCCTCTTTTTGCCATGGAGGCAGTTTAATAATGACCTGCTCCTAGAGTCTGCCATACTGCCGCCTCTAATCAGTGACTGCCACTACAAAGAGTAGATTTTGACAGAATTTGGCTGTTGCAAAATGCCTACAGCATGCTATGATTGTGGAAAAAATGCAATTTTGAAAAGGCCAAAGACGGTAAGTATCCTTTTTAAAAAACAGACTAGCTTCCCAGAAAACAAGTTGCGGTTAAATCTGATAAAATCTTTCACTCTAGTCTAGTAAGTTAACATCAATCCTTGTGGATAAGTCAGTTCAGTTTCGTTTTAAAATTCAACTACATACATAAATCGTTTAAATTAGCAAAAGTTCTGCTAAAATAACAATGACAAGGTATAAATGTAGAAACATGTACAATTCAAATACAAAAAAGACACGGCGAGTTATAAAAATTTATATATTATATTTATTATCTTAACCAACAAACAAGAATCTTATAATATAATGGTTTTTCACCTGTTGTGTTTCATTAAAAGCTCAAAGCCTTCTTCTTTCAATGCAATCAATCTTAAAAATGCAACATGATCTTAAAAAAGTTTCTCAGTCGTAGCTGTGAAAAAGAAGTAAAATGCAAAGGAGACACCTTAATGGTTTGGTTGCCTTAATGAGCGCATGCTTAAGTGTCTCCCTCCATGCAATTTATCTTATTTGTTTGTTTCCTACTTTTCTATTGTTTTAATAGCCTTTATTTTACCAAAATTAATTTACTCTAATATTGTCTTACATTCTTGTTATGTAAAACTAATTTATGATGCATTGTGTGTAGTAGACTTTAAACATTTACTGAACAACTACATTGTGTTTACATCATTAAACACTCTTTGACATAGCAGAGTACAGAAAACAGTTATCATCATAACATATTTAAAGATATGATGGATTGTTGTTTCTTTTTTTTAACTGCATTCTATGAAACTTATTATGAAATGAATGAAATGCAAGGAAAAATTGTTGCACTCTTGGCACTAGAAACTTTTCTTGCTATGCCTAGAGTCTAGATATACATATTGTTGATAATTTCATAAAATAGTAACTATTTTTTAAGGGAGCTGCACTGTGCAAAGAATGTTTTTTTAACACTTTTGAAGAGGAAGTTCACAAAACAATATCAACAAATAAGTTGTTTATTCCTGGTGATGTTGTTGCAATAGGAGCTTCTGGTGGCAAAGGTAAGACAGTTTTTTATCATAGTTGCAGAGTTTCAGATGCTAAAATGCTGCAGATTTGAGTGATGTGCAGCAGGAGACAGCTATGGAGGAGCTTAATTAGTTGTCCCGAACTTTCAAATATTTCCATGGCAATACGATACAGAAAAGCAGCAGGGGACGGAGGGAGATTAGAACTGCAGGGCACAAGCCTGCAAAACATCAAAACATAGGAAAGACAACTCTATTGGTTGCATGAAAAAAACCACTGACAATACTCAAAATGTTAAAGTAAATTTTGAATATTGTTTGAAAATCATAGAATGACAAGCAGGATGCTGGAGTCTCCAGCAGGATGTGGGAGACTTGGCAACTATGTTTATGCAACCTCCAGCCATAATATGTAATAGCCCTTTATGTAGAAAAGGGGGGCTCTTACTTATGCAACATCAAGTCTCTACAATATCATGTAATCTTATGAATTGTTTCTAGATTCAACAGTGTTGGCATATTTGATGAAGAAGCTCAATGACAAACACAACTATGGCTGTAAGCTAATTCTAGTGTCTGTTGACGAGGGCATTACTGGGTACAGAGACGACTCTCTTGAGGTAAGTGTATTCCTCCATCTTTTTACAATTATTGAGATGATATTTGGTATGCAAGCAATTTTGTTGTTAGTTTATTTGTTGGACATACAGTTGAGTTGTAACAGGGATAACTCTGATTTTCACTATGTCCAACTGATTTTCAGTCCACATTGGATTTCCTACCTTGTTCCAATAATGGCTTGCAAATGTATTCAATGTATTAGTCTAATACATAAAAATTTCAAATTGCACATGAGTCATTTTATTGCTTCAATTAATATTTTGGTTTGAATTAATTTCTTGTAAAAACAAAACTGTTCCTCTTAAGTTTATACCAATCTTCCTCCTTGTTTTGACTTTTTTTCCCATAGTTGATTCAACCCCGAAGGCCAAAATGAACCATGTATGAACGTTCCTTTCTTTGTATTAAGATGAGCTTTCTAATAAACCAGGATTTATGAACAAACAAAGGCTGATAAGCTGTTGTATGTCAGCTTATTGTGGTTTCAGTGCGACCATAACAACAAGGGACTAGCTCACACGCCGCTAGTATAAGGGTAGTGCATCAAAAAATCCATTTTTTGATGAAGCTCAGAGGACAGAAGCGATAGGCAGAACCACATCTTTAGTTAAATTGAAGGGATCGTCTTACCTGCGAGTTCTAAGTTGTTGCAAAAGATTTTGCAAAAAATGCTTGTGTTTTTACAGGTCAAGCAAAGATATTGAGATAGCTTTCTATGCAGGAAAATTTAAATGAATAGGTAGTGTCAATCAGGCACGTAAATACTGGGGGAGGGTGTGGGGAGGTGTGACACCCCCCCCCCAATCTTTCATCCAGTCGGAAAATTTGAGGACTGTCGGAAAATTTAAAGCTGTTGGTAGAAAGCTAGGTGTATCGGAAAAAATTTGAATCATTTGTGAAAATTGAAGTTTTGACTCAAATGACCTTGTGAACTGTAGCTCAAAGAGAAGCATAAGAAAGGTATAAGTTCAAAAGAAAATAGTTGTTTGGTAAAAGGCAGACCTGAAAAGAATGAGAAGCGACGCAATACCGAAAAAACGAAATTTTGTATGAAAATGCAAGTATTTTCAACTACATTCGTCGTAATTGGGATAGTGTGATAATCATTCCATCAAATTGCCTCTAAAAACGGGATACAAAATAGAATTTTAAGATAATATTTAACAGCAATGCTTAAAGAAGCGAAGTACCTTTCCGCCGAGGTCTTAGGGGCCTCATAAAGTAATGAATTCAATTTTAGGAGTTATCAAACTTAATAAGAGCATGTCTTAGAAATAACAAAATGTTTTAAACGATTGCAAGAAAATACCTGCAAGAAGTATTCTGAAATGTATTTTAAGCTAATCTAAAAAGGGAAGTCACTTCTTTAGAATATCCCTTAGGCCTCCGACAACCTCCCGCCGGCCCCTTCAAACTAGCATAATGGGTGCCCCATAAAATAATAGGCATAAAATATCGCGAAGTATTGTATTGCATTTTTCAAAAAATGGTTCTTCAGTTTAATAATTCTATCAACTCAACCCCCCCCCCCCCCCCCTCACTTTGAACTTCTTGGCGCCGCCCCTGTTAAAGACTAAACGACCTCATGATTCTTACTTGCGAGAAAGACATTTTGGACAACGTAAATTTAGATCAGATAGTGAAGCAATGGACAAGTCGTAGAAGGAGAAAAATTAACACCTCGATGTTCCAAATTTGCAAAATCTAGAAACTTTATCGTACAGCTGAATAATTATGTTCGAGACAAGGTTTTGTTGATAAAAAACTAGTAAAGTTTAGGCCCTCATACAAAATTGGAATTGACCTTGGTCAGTCGGAAAACTGCCATTAGTAGCATCTTTATGCAGGGCCGCCGCACGCAGGTTTGAAGAGGGGGGGGCCAAAACGAATAAAAAGGGCACAAACATATTTTTCCGAAACATTAGTAAGTGCCAAAATGGTACAGATTCATGGTAATTTAGAAATTTATAAAAATGATGACACATGCTGGACATAGTGAGAACTATCTTCGCTGAAAGCAGACATGACTATTTACTTCATTTAGGGACTACGCACTCTTGATCATAATTATTTGTTTAGCTTCCCATCTCATGGCCTTCAAGTTTTTTTGAGAGTGTAAATCTTTCTTCCATCTATGATTTATACTTCTATTACAATAGGTTGTACTTGTTTTCCTAATAATTTGCATTGTAGGTGAATTTGGCCCCGGGTAAGAAGCAGGCACACATCCTTCTTTTACACTTGTGGCAAGCGCATTATACTCAACAAATACCAATGAATCCAATCCAAATTATGAACTGAATGAAATTTTCGAACTCTTAGTCATACTTCAAAGCCAATTCCAGTCCCTCTTTCTTTCAAAGCAAAGTTTCAGTATGATTATCGAAAGCCCATTCCAATTTAGTCCCCCTTCCCATCGCCACGGTATTCGCGCCTTCCCATCGCCACTTAAACACATAAATTTGTTCGCCTCCGCAAAATATTTTTTGAAAGCTACAAATTTTTATGTTTAAGTAATCTTTACGCAATCGGCTGAAGGTGCGGATACATTTTTCACTGCCATAGAAAATTCAATTTGCAACATTGGTTAGGTTTTTAACTCTCCTTAGACTTGATCCCGGCGGGCTCAGTCAGTTGATCGAGCGTATTACATGTGAGTTCCGAAAAACTCTGAGAAAGGGTGGTCTGAAAACTAGAATTCTGGGACATAGAATCTTGAAAATAGGATTGCTTTTTTCATCAGTCAGAGGCAACACAAAAGGGCAGGAATTATATTGAAGTACAACAAATTTAGCCTCTTGTATGTTGTTCTAATCCTAGATAAGAAATTTATGTCTTGGTTTAAAGACCCTCTACTGCTAGCATGTACTCATTGCAGGGACACAGCTTTTTCATGTCTTCATTAAAACATCTAACACAATGTTGTGAAGTAAGCAATATGTTGCAGTAATAGTTTTACAGCTGTCTGGTTTTGTCAATATACATTAAGAACCATAAGGGATTGTTTTTAGCATCAAATTTAGTGAACTCTGCTTTTTAACTTGCCTAGACATACGTTCAAGAAAAGGAATGGTTCTAAAATGAATTGGTATTAAAAATTCCTGCTCAAGCTTGAAGAATCTCAGTGAAACGAGTTTCACAATTTGTGACAAAGTCGCAGAATAGGGTACATTTTACTTAACCCAGAATCAGAGATAGGGATCACACACGATATACATTGCTCCAACTGACTGTGCTCGCCGGGAACTTGATGTGGAACTTTCACTACATACTAAGGAAATTTCTCGCGAAAATGGCAGTCTCCTTCACAGCTGATATCATTCATCACGGGAGCTTGAGTTTTTTGCATCAAGACCAAGTAAAAATTCAAGGAAGTTCAGTGAATGGTCCTCCAACATCACCCAGAGTTATGTTATTTTACTTAGTTTCTTAAGACAGAATATCTGGCATTGAAAAAAACACGCAATTTATTTATCAAAAGGGGCACTTTTTATACTTTTTGCAA